TCACGTAAAACACGATTCTTACAACGAAAATTACTGAAACCAACTTTTAACGAAGATATTAACGTTTTTATTTCACACTGGTTACGAGGAATTTGAAGTGCCCGCTCACAAGAAACTCAAAGCTCTACTTGAGTCAAATCGCGCACTACAACGGTTTCAGCAAGCTTCTTAATCGCGCAATGTACATTTCCCACCATGTGTTGTTCAAACTATAAGCAATTTGCTATAGCTGAGCCAAAGCGTCAAGATCGAGGTTCCCAGATTTTTATATCGCAGAGACGTTCATGATAACGTTTAGCGCTCGATGTGAATCACGCAGAGAATGGAGTTTTCATGAGCGGATGGTTAGAATGCACGCACCAAGAATCATTAAATATCTTCGAAAGGAGTTGATTTTGGTAAATTTCGTTGTTCGCATCGTGTTTTACGTGAAATTTTGGTTAAGAAACATGTATCAAAAGGCTTAAATTCGAACCTTGTCCAGTGGTCCATTCCAGCAAGAAATTCGTATTTTATTCGAGAAAATTTGGCAACACCTGAAAGCTCATAGGGCGTTCTTCCTTAGCACGGTAGGATGCTCATCTCTCGCCTTTGCGGACGATCACCCCGGCCACGGGACGCGATCAATTTCCGAGCAAGGCGTCGCAGGCGCCGGCCGTGCGTTGAGCGGTGCGAGCGCGTCAGGTGCGTTCAACGGTGCCGCAACCCTCCCCTCCCCTTTCCACTCCTCGCCGGCCGGGCCGCCCTTGAACCCTTGCGCGCCGAAAATCGATTCAAATGAGTGCCGCCTTTTGTTCCGCTGCCTCCCGCCACTCGCCACCGCTTCGGGAGGGAAACACGCACTCACTATAAAAGGCCTCGCCAGGATTGGTCCAAAAATGAGGCTTAAACTACACAGTTCGACAACGTTGCATTCTCAAGTGGAGAAAATGTCAGTTGCTACGCTCTCGGGAAGAGTATGGACTCCAAAGACTAGGTTGTACTCTGCCGTGCTAAGGAAAAACGCCGTATGAACTTTCAGGCGTTGCCAAACTTCCCCCGGCAAATCACTAATTATCAGGAAAATTTTTGAATATTTGTCTACCAATTTTTTAGATAATTCAGTTCGCAATCTTATCTAAAGATTTTGAAAATTTCAAGGAAAAATATTTATAACTTCCCTAAAAAATAAACATTTTATCCGGGGAAATGCGGCAACTCTCGAATGTTCATACGGCGTTCTTCCTTAGCACGGCAGTACTGCCATGATAAGGAAGAACGCCGTATGAGCCATCAGACGTTGCCAAGTTTTCTCCGATAAAAACCGAATTTATTGGGAAAACTGTGAATATTACTTTCCAAAGTTTTCAGACAATTTTGTACACAATTAATTTAAAATATCTGAAAATTTCGAGGAAAAAAGTGCATGAATTGTGTCAAAAGTACAGGTTTTATCAGGGGAAATTTGGCAACTCCCAAATGCTCATACGGCGTTTTTCCTTAGCACGGCAGCAGTCCTGAAAAGACTAGCCTGTACTCTGCTGTGCTAAGGAAAACCGCCGTATGAGCATTCCAGAGTTGTCAAATTTCTCCGGATAAAACATGTAATTTTGAGGAGAACTGTGCATATTATGCAGTGAAATATTTCGATATGTTGGTTCAAATTTCGAAAAAATTGTCTGAAAATTTTCAAGAAAAATATTCACTATTTTCTCAATAAATTAGCTTCATACGGCCTTAGCACGGCAGATTATCTGCCCGATTTTGTATTCCTGAACCCCGTGTGCACAGAGACGGATGATCCAGCAGTTAGGCAACGTTGGCTTTCCTCCATTTAAACACGTGTTGAATGATCGATCCTTGATTCCTTGGCTGGTCCCTCCGAGGATCGATATTTTTCCATGGGTTTAAATGGAGAGAAAGCAATTGCCAAATTGCTGGAACCGCCGATGCGTGTGCACATTCGTCGAGGCAGGAGAAATCAAACATCAGCTCCCAACGAAAACGGATGCTGCGATTAGTATACGAATGAAAAGAATCTACGGCCGGCAACCATGTCATAAGGAGCGATGAACCTAATTCGGCAGAAATTATTCACGCATTCCGACAAGACGCTCGATGCCTCAATGCGATCAGACGTAGATATACAACGCTACGCAGTCCTATGCGATTTCCATGGTATAGCAAGACAAGAGCGCAGACTGCCCTGCGATACCCGACAAGGGAAAAACATACATGAACATTCGTAGACAGGAAAATGTACCCGCTAAATTATAATTGGATTACATTCCACATTTAGGAACTACAATTTCTGGCTCAGTTGAAAAACAACGTATGTCCCATTACTTACACTGTACTGCCATGCTAAGGCAGAACGCCGTATGAGCCACCAGACGTTGCCAAATTTCCTTTGACAAATCACGAATTTTTAGGACGATTTGTACATACTTCTCTTCAGTTTTCTGAGGATTTTGTTCGTAATTTGATCAAAAAAGACCGATAATTTCTCGGAAAAATATTCATAACTTTCTTTAAAAATTAGTGGTTTCCGAGAGAAAACTTGTCAACGTACGAATGCTCAAAAATCAGGCGTTTTTCCTTGGCACGGCAGTGTAGACTTACGTGTTTGCACAAATGGGCCGGAAATTGTAATTCCTAGGGCAAAATGTACGACCGAAAAATTTAAGAAAAATCGGCTTAACTACATCAAACGTTGCCAAATTCCTCATCATGTTTGATTTTTTTGCGAGAAGAAAACTGAGCAACATCCTGAATTGAAATTTGGCGAATATGTTCGTCGTAGCCTGAGGAAAATGTAGACGAAGTTTTAATGTGTTATGTTGGTTAGTTCTCTGTTAAAATAATGAGACATGAGAGGAATTTAGGCGACAAGAAACGCAGTTAAGTCGATTCTGCTCAAATCGGTTCAAACGAGGGCAAGTTCCTCCACGTGATGATAAAATTTACAAAATTGACCGCATCAATTCTCGGGCTTAACTGTTTTTCAACCAATACACTTGTGCAGTGTGCTAAAAATTATCCCATCAAAAATAACAAAAATCGGTAGAAGGAATTGGGGCAGCGTCAATTTTAGAATCACGCCAGCATGTGACTCAAGAAAAATTTACATTTAAATAAAAATCGCAACAATCAATCAAGTAAAAGGGCAATTGAATGACTCCATAAACCAAAAAGTAGAGTTTTGCCAAATTGTACTGAATCAAACCCACATCAAAATGCTTTTGTGATATGTATATTTCAATGCAGGCTTGTCAATGAGATGTTAATAAATGCTGATATGATTAGAGACAAAGAAAAACGAATGTTTGGGTGTCAGGACAGAGAGACAAAAAAGAAATTAGCATCAAAGGTTAGTGTCTCAGGATTCAGCACAAATTAATTAGTAATCATAATTGGGGGAATCTTCCTGGCTGTATTAGATAAAAACTACATACTCAAGTGCCAAATTTACAGATTTCAACTTTCTCCTAGACCTGTAAATTTTAAATATTTCTCTCCAACGTAAGAAGCATCTAGTTTCTACTGAATTCTGTGATGGAAAAATTGAATTTTCAGTTTTTCACACAGAAGGCTTTTGTGTAAAAATGTTAAGCCTACTGAGAACTTTTTCAAAATTGAGACAATTAAAATTTTGCACAGTACTGAACTGAAAATTTTGAGGAATACTTCGCTTCTTTTCAAAGTAAAAAAAAAAAAACTTGAAGGTGGTTTAATTTTAGTGATTTTGAGAATCATCCAAAAATAAATTGTAAATTTTGACTACTAAAAAAGGTAAAATGAAGGATAACTTCATCTTCAAATGATAAACGTCGAGGGATTTGACAATAAATACAAGATTCACCAGTCAGATTTACCCAGCAATTATTAGAATATTATTACTACTTTATCAATACCTACACTCTGTCAGCTCACAGCATGGTCAATAATTCAGTTTCGCAATGAGGTACACATTTTAATGCATGATACCTACAAGACTTCAGTTAATATTTATACCTTTCAACCAAACTGTGATCAACTGGAAAGTACCTCCTTTCAGTACCTAATCCTAAACTGCACCTGGGCTTGCATTATTGTGGTCAGTTTGCTAAAGGGAGCAAGTTAGCTCAATCGATCAGGTGTGAAAGTTAGTGAGAAATACAGAATAAATTCTAGATGAATCGTTCGGGGAGTGCCCAACTGAGTTGAAAAATTGGGAGAAATATATGGTCTGCTTCTGCCCTAGATGGTCCAATCTAAATGCCAGGTATTACTTACAATGGATTTGGTTCATTGAAGATTAAAAAACACGCTAGAAAGTACTCTGCACGCTAACAAGGCATCTGCTTTAGAAATGTACAATCTATTTGGTTACGTTTAACTATACATTAATGCTTACTTGTACTTTAATTCTGTTACTTGGAGCTGGAGATCATATAGACACATTTGTGCTAAATGGAACCATGTTAAAAATAGACCCTGCACATAGTTCCTTTCCATAAAATACTTTGATATTCAAAAACACGTGTTTGAACAAGGGTAGGGTTAAAAAATGGATGCTAGGATTTAACTGATTCCAGATTGCGTGACTATTGCTAAATTCTTCAAAATGCTGTTTTTCTTAAATCGGATACCTACATGGAACTTTAAAGAAAATAGAAGCATAAATAGGTGTGGTGAGAGAATAATCCGACCAAAACATATTGGACCATCAGCCAATGTGTGTAAATTAGCAGATGGTGGACAAAACGGCACAATGAAAGAATTCTGGCGTCAAGAGCGCGAAATTAACAGGTGGGCAGGTGAGACAGAAATAGAAGCTGGGAAAATGCGTGTCAGCAACTTTCGGCGGCCTCTGGGCCCCACCAACACGCTGTCAGGATGCTAAGGCTAAAGCCTTTCAAAATTGAACCGAAAACAGGCGCTACCCAGAACATGAGATGGGTATAAACATCTAGACATTCAACAAATTCGAATTCGGTGAATCGAAATGGTAGAGGATGGGCAATGATCGTGGATTTTACCTTTAAAGCTGGACACAGCCAGAAGTGTGAAGCAGGTAATGGAGAACCACATTGTTGATCACTGGTGCGAAGAAATCCTCAAAACTAACACTACTCTTAGAAAGAGATAACTTGAGAACTTAAACCGACAACAATAATGAATTAAAGAACTAAACTTTCAGACACTGATCAAGAAATATGATCGGCCGATGAAAAACACAGCGAACTAATTCCGTACGAAACACAGCGACAACGCTTTGCAACGCGTTCACACGGTCAGGTAAGAGAAACAAAGGTTCTCTTGGAAACTAAAAGGCGAAGAATAGTCGTCGAATTCGATAATAAAAACATCACATAATATAAAAAACTAGTATTGATTGCAAATACTTCTAAACCACAAGTCGGCTTGCAGAGTGAATTTACAAGGGAAACTCGACGCGGCTTCGACCCAAACGGTGCTCAAAATTCAACTGAAAATCAAATTCAACAAAAGCAAGCTAGCAACCGTTATGCTTGTTAGCTCTCTCCGCGCCCAAACGATCTTAGTTCCGTTCTTTGCCGCTAGTCCCATCTTTGGCGCTACCGTGCAGAGCAAGCAGGGAGACCAAACAAACTTCTTCGCTGTTGCCAATGTGAATCTAATAATTTTCGTGATTTTTTGTCTCTCGATAAAATGATCTTGTCTACTTGTTGCACGATAAAATCGAATAAAATTAATTGTAAAAATAAAAATACTTAAAAGTTGAAACTCAGACTTTACTGGTATTTTCGATAATAAGTGTTTTTAAAAACTCTCATGAGCTCATTTTACAGTTTGGCATCACTGACAACGTTCATTTTAAAAAAAACGCGGCAAAAGAGCCGTGCGTCTTTCAGTCCCAGATCTAGAACCAATAACTGAATTCTGATTCATTTATTTTTTCCATTATTATAAACTTATTCTGGACACTTTGATTTTTTAACAAAACATTTTTCAGTTTTGAGGACTGATTTGAACATTTCAGGTTTTGTTCTGGCTACAATGAGACCCATCTCAGCTCTCGGTTACCTACTAGGAAGGAAAGAGATTAAAAAGATTTTTCAAGCTCAAAAAATAAGCGTATAGTAAAAGAAGAAGGAAAGAAGGAGAAAAGAAGAATAAAAAAGATGTAAATTACTGCGAATAATCTGATTTATTTTTTTTTTTTTTCATTTTTCTTCTTCTTTTAAATGGTTTCTTTTCAGCACATGGACTAATTTTAAAAGCTGGTAAAAATACTGATGCGTTTGTCTACTCATGTTGGGAAATGAAGCTCACTTAATTTAATTTTTAATTCACACTGATGCACCTTCTGATTACACATGAGTTTGTCTCTGAAACATGATTACTTTGAATTTTAATCAAAATTTTTAATCCCTATCGATTTGAATGTCACTGCATGACATTGTACAAGAAAAATGTTTTTTTCTGATTAATTACAATTTTTCATCCTGCACAGACCTCTCTTCACAAATAGTACCTGTCTTAAAAGTTTTTTTTAAATTTATATATATTAATGCCCTGAACTTTTCAATATTTAAACTGAAAATTGGTGTACCCAATGATACAATTAAAAGCTATATTACTCAATAAAAAAATCATTTTCACTGTATTTTAGAACATCTGATGTGTTATCCGGAGGGACAGACTTACATCTGTTTTTTTGCATGTTTATACATTTATTTTGTTTGATTTTCTAGATTAATTTACTACTTTTCTAGCTTTTTTTTCAAATCCATTTAACAGTGGTTGACCTGACCATATTATAGAACCACTAATATTAATACTGCCATGCAGAGGAAGAATGCTGTAAGAAAATTCAAGAGTTGCCAAATTTCCTTTAATAAAAATGCTTACTTTTGAGGAAAGTTATGAATAATTTTCCTTGAAATTTTCAGGAACTTCAGGAGAAATTCCAAACAACATAATCTGAAAAGCTGGAGGAAAAATATTTGTAGGCTTACCAGGAAATTCTTGTTATATCAATCGAAATTCGGCAACGCTTAAAGGTTCATCTGGCGTTTTTTCTTAGCACGACAGAATATGTACCCCTGTGATGAACTTCCGACACAGGGTTACTCAATAAAAACATTTAAAAAAATTTCTTGCATGTGGACTTAGAATCTATTAGTGTAAAATTTATCTTGATAAGCCTTAAAAAAATCACACCAAGTTTCATTGAATGACATCAAATGATTATAGGTTTCTATAAAAAAATAAAATGGGGGAGAAAATCTTCTATACAGCTGCTAATTTGGGAGAATATATTTTTCGCTAGTGTTGCCCCATCTACTTATACTTATTTGTAGAAATATTAAAATCAAAATCATAAAATGACTAGGTAAAAAAAGGAAGCTCCATGGAAGCGCGATAGTTCAATTAGGCCCCATTGCTTTGGCTGAATTTTTTCCGTTTGCTCTTTGAGGAGGGTCTTTCAAATGCTCTCCGTTTACTTTTTCTGTAAAAGAAAACAAGAATTTTCATAAGTCACACATTACGTACATTTCAATACTCTCATGTACTGATCTTTATGAAAAGGCGTTTTCTGACAGCTTCATAGGCGTGCATTGGGATGGTTAGAAAAAATCCACACTGACAAGTTAAACCATCTCGTAAACATCAATCAGATTATAAAGTTTTTTGAGCCGCTAGATGCACTGGATTGTTACATAGATCAGCCTTCAATTTTAAGCGGCAAGAATATTAGATAAACACAGGAAGATGGCATCATTGACAGTTCCAGTACTCTGTAGTTTTCAGCAAAAACTTTTTCATATATAAAGTCAGTTCATCGGGAGGTTTTTGGTAATTAACTAAAACTGGATTTAGAGATATTGTATTCCTGAAAGTGAGAGGAGATTTGTGCAAACCTAGCATCATTTCACTTTTTTTATATCGCAAGGATTTTGTAACATTCTGGTGCATTTACAGGGGAACCAACTCCTAAGGTCTTTCAATTTTTTTGTTCATGAGGGAAATAACTGAGGAAAAATAAATGCTCCTTTGCCTGTAAGATTGCTATATTCTTAGGTATTTTTAAAAAGAGACTGACTGAAGAATTAAAGATGATACTTCATCCAGAAGTAAAGAAATTCCACCCTCGGTTTTGTACTGGTACTCATTAGAGTTAAAACAATTTATTTTTGACTCTGATTATAATTTTTGGAACTTCTTGGCTTTGATTTCCCTGCGAAATGGTGCGGACCCAGCACCATTTCTCCACTTTGTTACAAAGAATGTAATCGGCAAAGTTTTGTAAGCACGAAATGCAAACTTTGCAGGTATCTATAGGTGAGTAAGTTTTTTCAGCATCTACTTGTTTCGATTTTAAAATGCGTCTCTTGATCACTGCATGAGATCAACAAATATACATACCTCTAAAAAAATAAATGCATTTATTAATTGCCAAAATTTTGGGAGGACCTACAGCTCTAATAAAACCCATAATCACAATCCCTAAAAAAAATAAAAATGAAACAAAAATATAAAATCAAAATGCATCATGGAAATTCTCAAATTTTTGGAACTATATCAATTACCATAATAAGACTGGCATCTGAAAAATGATATACCAAGAAATTCAGCACCGGCTAAATTTTTTAATAATTTTTTAAGTTGTGCATTACCACTTCTGAGCACAACGAGCCTTCAAAATCAAGCTTCATGTGTGCCTATTTTGAGAAACGCTGGGCTGTAAAGCAAGTTTGTTGATGCTCTTACACAAGTTTTCTTGTAGAAACATGAGACTATCACTATGTGAGTATGGATGCTGAGCGATATGGTGTTATCATTCAGAGGAATTAAATTATTTTCGTCTGACTTTTAACCAGGGAGGAAAAACCAAAGATCTCTCGAATCTCCGATCAGATGTTGCAACATTTTTACTGAATAATGTAAAAATGCTGAAAAATTCACTTTTCAACCCCACTTTTCTTAAAGTTGGCCCATAAGAAGTTCAATTAAAAAGCTAAGAAGTACTATTATAGTGAAGGGTGCTTTCTCAGTGCAGTATTGACAAAATTATTACAAAAAAAAATCCATCCACAAGAATGCACACTGATGAAAAAACAGCTCATAAAATTGTATTATCTCTTCAAAATGCAAACTACGAAAAAGTGCACAGTGCAGTGTTTGGAATATAAATTTCAGGCAAAAATAAATCATAAACAAACTCACATTGACAGTCAAAATAGTTTTAATTAAAAATTTCGGCAACAAATCACAATAATGAAAGGCATGCCTCTTATGTATTTAAAGAAAAATTATTCAGAAATTTAAGAACATGCGATGGGACAAAATAGTGGTATCATACAACAACAATTAAAATGGAAAAATAATCTCCACTTGCCTTAGTGAAAGAGAAATCAAAAAACTCTAAAAATATAGGTGATTCAAAACTGGCTAGAGCAAAAACATAACGAATTGATTGTGCCTAAATGCTTCCAGATATTATCCAGCAGCAATAATGAGAAAATTAAAAAAGTGGGGACCTGCGAAAAAACTGAAGAATTCCAGCTCATCTTGGAAGTAAAACATGATTTTAATTATTTGTTTTTGTTTGCAAAAGATAGTAACTTGACGGATGGACAACATTTTGCAATCAGAAACTACAATTTCTGGCTCATTTTAGAAACAATACCATTGGCCTCCCTATGCAGATAGACTTGTAGTTCCTTATTGCAAAATGCAGTCAAAATGTGTTCATGTGCTGAGGAAGTACTTGTGCGAGCCTTTAGACATGATCAAATTTCCTTGCATAAAATACGAATTTTCAGAGATGTGCGGATATTTGTCCGTCAATTTTTCAGGAATTTTATTCGCAATCAGATCCGTTAAGTTGTCTGAAAATTGATAGATAAAATATTCATAGCTCGCCTCAAAAATAGACATTTTGTTGGAGGAAATTTGGCATAGTCCAGGGTTTCAATGCTTCTCTTTAGCACAGCAGTGCTGCGCATGGGATGCACGAATTTACTTCCTTGTGAGATGAAAATATAAGACAGACGATTTATAATACAATATTTGACCCCTGTTGATACTTCAATCTCTGCATCAAATAAATGGTTACGTTTGAACAATTCCAGCTTTTACTTTTTGAGAACTTTAAGATAGAAGGAAAATTTTTCTGAAATTTGACCAGTCGGCGCAATGATCAGTTGTCTGAAGAATGAAATATGAGTTTCACAGCAGAGCCATTCCGCCGTGCTGAGGAAAAACGCAGTATGAACATTCGAAAGTTGCCAAATTTCTCCAGATAAAACACGTCTCTTTGAAGAAAATTACTTGTATTATTCTTTAAAATTTTCAGATGTAGATCATATTGCGATCAAAATCGGCTGATATTTATGAAGAAAAAAATTCAGAATTTTCCCGGTAAATTCGGCTTTTGTTGAAAGAAGTCTGGCAACGTCTAGAAGCTCATAAGGCGTTTTTCCTAAGCACAGCAGAATAGGACATTTTATATTTTACTTTTTTCGGTAATGTTTTTGATCCTCTCCACTTCCAACGACTTGGTTTTCTAAAAAAGATATCGACATCCACATTTGCCCGATTCTTTGAAAATTTTGTTTATCCTCTATAAAACTGGTATATTTTAGAGTAATTGATTGGATAATTCTCAAAGATGGTGACTTTACCCTACATTAACATTATATATGTATTTTTTAAAATTTCGAAGATTTGATTAAAAATGAGGAACAACTGATCTTAGAATTATTGAAAGACCTCTGTAATCACTTTTAACAATACAAGATAAAACACTTAATTTAGTTCAAATCATACATACAAACTTACTTACAACAAAAATTAGAAAATAAAATTTACTACATAATCAACAACAATGGTAAAACAATGGCACAAGATTACAATGGAAAGAACTTATGAGGACAATGACAATAGTTACGACTAAACATGCTAGTTGTAGCCTAGCTATTCGATAATCAATTTTCAATCGTTTTCTGCATCACTGAAGATTCATTTCCATTGTGCAGCTTTTATCAATCACGGTGCCTGCCTCCGATTTCATTGTTCGACGTCTATTTCTGCTCAAGTGAACACCGAGTCTGGACCAAAATAATCCCTCCGATTCGAAAATAAACTGCAAAATCTTTAAAATAGATTGGTTTCAGTGGGTAAAAATTAAAAATGAAAATTAGTGAAACCTAATATAGAGCTTTTATGGACTTAAGTGACCCATGAGCTAATAAAGTATGACAAAAGTTATGAGCAGGATTACTCGCTAAGTATTTGACAAAAGACTTCGAGCAGCTACAAATTTATGAATGTAACGCTAATCACAGTAACAAAAGAGTCAATATCTGCTTTCCTGCGCTTCATGAAAGCTCAAGTCAAACAACAGATGGAAAAATGAACAGAGGAAAAGGGCTTTTCTTCCAAGAAAAATCACTGAAGGAAATTTTGACTCACTTTGCTTTCTTTATGTAACAGATCTTGAATTACAATACCAAAGTATCTACAAAAACATGTTATCTAATGATTGTGTGACCCCTGGAGGCAGAAAAATAGTAAAATTGCTACAGCAATTACAACACAAGTGAGAAACAATCTATCTAAAACCGCGGATACCAGATAAATCCAGAAAACTAAAGGAGATTAAAACATGTTCTTAATCACTGCAATCGCCCAATTAAATGCAGAATGATTCGAGCTGGAACCTGTCAGTTACTTGCTTCACCTCATTTTTTGAAAACTGACTGAACAGTTTATACACAGGGACCCTGACAAAAAAAAGGGTGAATTTTTCATTTAAATCGGAAACACTTGAGTTTGAAAGACAAGGAGGATCACCACCACAGAATAACAGAACAATATCTAAATATGGAATTCTGGAAACATGTATCTCAAAGCAGGGTATCTACCTAGTGTAGACTTCAGGACAAAAAATGTTGACTTTTCCAGGTTTAAAAAATGACAGAGACACTCTGACTCGTTTAAAACTTTACACATACATGGAAAAAGGAACGTTTCCTCTGTCAATTTAAAATTGACCCCTAAGTCCTTAGTTTTTCTGCCTAAAATTAATTTTTTTATAAACTGAATTCTGACAGCTGTGAAAATCTGTAAAATAGGGCCAAATTACAATAAGTCTTCTTTGTGAAGTATCCGAACACTTTTGACCAATACTTTTGGGCGTCTTTTTCCCCTCCTGGCGTACCCCTGTTTCTCAGTCCTATGCACACCCTGCTTTCAAAATACCATCGTCTTTGAGTGCCTTCGGGTTAAATTATACTAGAGAATTAAACAACATGATTTTTAGCATGATTTTAAAAGCTAGCGCAAAGAAATTGTTTTGAGACCCGTTAGAAGAATACGAATAAAAATTGGGCAGTAACACCTTTAAGTTGTAATATTTCGTACCCATAAAAAAACACAAAGCAGAACATTTATCTACCTAAAAAAAATAGTCCAAAAATCTATTTCAGTCTTAGATGTTGATAAATGACTTAAAACAAAAATTACATACAAATTACACTACTTACATCGACTGATACCGTTATTGATTAGTACACTGATACACATTTATCAAAGCTATGATACGGGACATAAATTACAATTAGTATGACAGTATAGAGAAAAAGTATAAAAAATTATAAGACAGTGAAAAAGAAAATATGGTAATCAACATTGAGCAACTCAGAGGTGGTCCCTTTGAGAAATCAGAGGGAGGAGTTAACGGAGGAAGGAAAGGTATTTGTCCGCTTAAAATGCAAAAGAAAGAGCGCAAATTACAGAAAAATGTTAGGGGAAATGAGTAAAAAACAAGAGCTTTTATAGGCGCTTTAGATGAGTCAAATTAAACCCAACATGGACAGAAAGGAGTGCTGTCAATGTAAAAGTCAACAAATTAAAACATTTTTTTTTCAGGAGGAAAAGATATCTTAAATGAAGCAAACCTTGCCTCTACATTAAAATCCCGATCACACTGAAAACCACAACCAACCCGTGTAAGCTTTCAACACCACAACGCGATGGATATTGTATATTTTCAGACCTAACCTTGGACAGTCGGTGGATTGCATGCTCGGAATCGTCCAATGGGATGAACCCACAAAAACAAATTTTCTTTCCATCTGAGCATTATCATCCGCCGCAATGTTGAATTTGTGAGAGACAAAGTCTCTTCAACAATGACACTGAGTTTGGAATTTGCTTCACACATTTACTCTCCTCAATACCAGACTCACAAGAGCCCATGCTGTCAGAACAGAGTATATATTAATGTTAAAATCAAGGGGAAAAAACTAAGCAATGAACCAAGAGAATGGGTTTGAATTGAAGAATTCTATTTTCAAATTTGTTTTGAGAGAACAAGATGGGAAAAACTCAAAAAATAGTGTATTTCTTTCGGAAAATACACTTATATTATGAAAAACTCCTATGTCGGATCTTTTTCATTGCTCGTAACATATACTGATAAAATTCAAAACGTAAAAAACAGATAAACTGGCGGATGGTATACTGGTTATGGGTGGAATTTTCATCTTTTCATTGTATTTATTAATTTTTAAGGTCAACAATGAGGAGGAAAAAAAGATTTAGAGAGAAAATTCGGGAGAAATGTAAAATAAATGCAAAAAAATGTAAGAAAAAATGCTTGAATTCAAACTTCGACTCATTGGCAGTGGATTTTTAAACATCTGATTCGCCAACAAGTGACCAATGATTGTGATGTCTCCCATAACTTGATAAACGACTCTCAAAAGTAGTCCCTAACGTAGTCCTAAAAGTAGGGGTAGTGGTAGTAATATAACCTCCACCAGCTTAAAATATATATTTTTTGTCTCATAAAATTTCAACTGACATTTAGCTCAGCCTACCAAAATGCAAAAGAGAAATGGTTGTAATTTTTCTACCCAAACTACTGAAACTTTGAGATCAACTTATATTATAGACGGATGCATTTTTGAAGATCGTGGAGAGTTGTCTCGGAAGTGTTCTTGGCAATAGTCGGGCTGTCAAATTAAGTATTTGTTCTTATTGGTAAAAGTCATGGATAAAAAAAGGAAAATTTCGTCAAATAAAAAAAAAAAAAAAAAAAAAAAAAAGGAACCACCTCAAGATAGATGAGACCAAAATAACTAGACACATCAAAAAATTAAGACAGAACACAAAGCGTTTGAATAAAATGAATTTAGCGTATTTTGGGATAGAACTCCCATTACTATCCATCACAACAAGTGTCACTTCCACAACATCAATGTCTGCAGCATTCTTTCATTGAGGCAATGAATATGAGGAAGAATATATCCAATTTACAAAACAAAGTACTTCGAGAAATTCAATAAGTAAAAACGCTAAGTGTCTAGTCTTTCAAATCTCATACAAAGTTTTACCAGGATACGATGCAAAGTTGTAAATAAGAAAACACATAAAACTAACATGGAAAATAATATCACGTAGTGTAACTACTGACAATCTCTTGATCAACATAAAATAAGGCAGGTGCAAAAGTTTGGCGGGAATTTTTAGATACTCTTTGATGCTTTCAAGACTTGAAACTTTGAATTGCCTGCAAACTAGGAAAATTTAAGGTTCCAAGTCAAGCTGATTTCAAGGTGCACCATAAAATTCCAACTCTGTTTACCTTTCCATCAGACCTTGACTACCGAATCAGTTGCTTCAAAAAGAGAAAAGCTTTCAAATTTTAGAATATTTTTGGATGAGTATTGCTTGAAAGAATGCACATTTTTCACAATCAAAGTAAACATGAAGAATATTTGCTTTGCTTCGGCAGGAAATGATACTATTAAAAGATGATTAAATAGAATAACAGAAGAAGACTAATAACCGAATGCAAAGAGACAAAAGAATGAGAGGACACAATGCCCACTTTCTTCCACTAGACCATTAATGAAAAAAAAACAATATATATTGCCAAATGCTAGAAATGGATATCTCACTTGTAACGATTGAAAATCTCCAATTAAGTTTTATGTTCTTTCAGGAAAACTACATGAAAAGTTTTCTTGCAATTTTGCATGATTTTTTTAGTATGAATACAGATAACTCACAAAAAATTTCAATAGAAACTGTTGCTTAGTTTTCCTTCAAAAAATAAAAAAGAGCAGAGACTCACAACATTGCTGTCTAAAATAAGCATTTTTCAGGTTCAGCTATTCATAAGTAGAAATTAATCTGAAATTTGAAGAAAAAATTAATTTTGAGTATTTTCTAGTTCAATTCTTGTTTGCTTGCCGACGTGGATTTTTGCTCTTTTTGAGCACACTGATTCAATCACCACAACACTTAAAAAGTATACTGTGTTCCAAATGAAAAAAAAATTCATGCGACATCTCAGGCAAGTTGACGAACAGAATCACAAATATTCAAAGGGTTGCTCACATCTTGCAACAGCAAAACCTCGAAAACGTTTCTTGAAATGACGAGTCTGAAGTTTCACCCCAGTCTCGATAGACTTCGCTTTTCGGATCTTCATCCCAGTTGGATACAAACTGCTGGACATCTGACTTTGGAAAACCTTCCGTGTAATATTTCTGTAAAAATGTGTACACATCCATAATTAGAGAAAAGTTCTGTAAATGATCAAAAACTTGATAAGATAAGCTGGGAGTAAAAATCTGATCTTAGAATGGTTTGACAGCGCCCCAATTCAATTATTGCAAGGCACATTCTCAGAGGCATTTGCTCGCGTCATTGGGGTAAATTTTTGTAAAACTTTGACTTAGAATAGCAATAACAAAGAGGATAGACAGGCTTCTAGAATAATTAACAAAATAAGAATTTAATGGAGTTTGTGTAATTTGCTGGCCAATTCTTTGATTATTTTTCTTTTTTTATTTCAGTGTATCAAGGGACATTTTTTTGAACTCATACTTCAATTGTATACCATGATCATGTGCATACTTGTTGATTCCACGCCAAATAAGTTCACACACTTCTAGACTGCAACAGAGGATCGTCTACGCCACTTCCATTTATAAAATAAATGCAAGAGGCAAGACCTTCCCTTGCAGTTAAAAAAAGCGTAAACTCATTTGGCATGGGCTCTACCGCAATGTAAATTACCAGAGTATTTTGAAAAGCCTTTGCTGTGCTTGCTAAAAACATGGTTTGAACACAATAAAATTAGAGGAGAAATAAATCAGAAATACAACGTCCTGCGAGATGAAAGGTAAGTAACACATGAAACACGACAAGTGAAACAAAATTAAACATAGACATGGAAGGACTAAAAAGTAAAATTTAATTAGCTTAGTAATTATGTGCTTCCACTTGAAAGGCGGTGTACTTTTTCAAGAGCATTAAATATTGGTAATGCTATGTTATGCTCATAAAAGTTTCCAAGAATCTAGTAAAAAATGTACGCAATGTTTGGTATTTTCGAAGGATTAATATACCAAAAATTTGGCAAATCTCTCAAGTCGTTTTTAATTACAAAAGAATGAACATGGAAAACATACTTTTTCCTAGAGGACAGTCCTCATAGTTAAAACTCTTCCTTTGGTCAGAAACAGTTTGATAGCAAACATCCTCAGAGACAGTGGTCTATTATAAATATTTGTTGTCGAATAAAATTCAAGCAGGGTGAAACGCTCACCGTGAGGACTTACATAAATTTTGAAAGTTTCAACTAGATCCATTGATTTCTTTGCAACTCCTAAAGTTCCTCTACATGATAAGAAGTATTTCTTACATTTGAAGAAAGGTAAACCCTGCTCATTTCTAGTAACTTTTTAAGCATGGATCAGCAACGATACATCCTGCTGATTAATCACCTAATACGAGAGAACGAAAAAAAATATTACTCACTTTGATGGTTTCGTATGAGTCAGCGATGACAGAGATGAACAAACTGAGAATTACGTAAATGAAGAGACTGATGAAGGTATAGAGATAGATGCGACAGTACCACCAGAGCATCGGGGATTTATATGACATTATCGAGAACGTAGCATACATGTCATCTCCATTGATCAGTGCGAATAAGCACTCAGACGTGCTGGCTAATGAGCGGAACTGAAAGAAAAACAATACTTGCATCAAGAAAAAATATAAAACGAAATGAGGTTATCTGTGGGGACAATCACAAGTTACCTGGATGACTTGCAAGCTTAACAGAAACTTCAAATAGCAGATTTTTACTTTTTCGTATGTTTCATTTCCTTGAAGCTAGACAAGTTTTGTGAGTGTAATGCTGAAGGTAGTATCACTCAATTGACAGGCTATTTGACTGATCAAATGCCAGAAAATTTGATTGGTTGATTGACAGACGATATGGCTAGTGTGACGACAGATTGTTCGAATGGCCCATCGAGAGACGATTCAATTTATGGATTGACAGATGATCTGACCAGTTGCAATGTTTTTATAGTTTCTTCATATTTCGATTCCCTGACTTTTTTTGCTTTTCCCTGTTTTCAAAATTTTCAAAATTTCCAAAATTTCCAAAATTTCAAAATTCCAAGACTTTGTCTGTCTGTTCCCCAACCATCAATCAAAACCTCCACTTGAATTTTTTTTCTTTTGATTATGCTGACTTCCGCTAGACTGTAGGCAAAATCTTCACTTTTAAAGATTCAAATAAAGAAAAAAGGCACTCTGAAGTTGTTTGTACACCCTTGAAGGACACTGGTCAAAGTTGCTGAGCAGACACGCCACTCCTTTCGCGCAAAAATTCCTGATTTTTCCCATGAAGTCATTGAGTATCCCCCATTTTCTCCAAGTTGGTGTAAGTACCCCAACTTTCCCTGGCTTTCCAGGTTTTCGAGACCGCCAGAAACCCAGAAGTAGTATTGGTCATTTTGTTTGTCTTTGTCGGCAAACGTCGATAAATCAAAATTTATTCAGTCAATCAATAGCATTGCATTAGCACAACTCACTTTCATATGATAAGGGCCCAAGACAATCCAACCGCAAAACGTAAAGCCAGCATAGATTAGGATAGCGCACAGTAAAAACCTTGCAACTTGAGGGAATGCTTTTTTGAGCGTTAGGATTACAACCTGTGAAAGAAAAAAAGAAACTCAATAAATTAATGGACGGATTTTGAGAGATGACTTTGTTGACTATTAGGCATCCTCTTTAGGTGAGCTAAAGGAAGAATTTAGTTCAACTCTAGTGAGCTGATGATTGAAATTGATAGACAAAGCTATAGACAAAGAGGACAAAGGGAAAAAGAAGCAATCTCAGTGGTGAAAACAGGTGACTGCAATGGACAAAGAGAGTAAGTAATACCATTTAGCTATTCATTCAATTTATTTTATAAAAATATCAGTGTTGATAATATTAAGATGTATGGTATTTAATACAATAACTATCACAATAATAAGATGATCTTCTAATTCAAACTATCTTTGTATTGGAATAATTCGAACAAATTCACAATTGATTTCATAACATTGCATTGAAACAGCAACTCAAAAGAGACCCTATAGGTAGTCCATCATTTTCCCTCTTTGTCTACGACAACCACCCATTTCAAACAATATGATCTCTGCATTTTCTCCTGGTCTTCTTTGTCGATCAATTTCAAATATCAGCCTGCAGAGGCTCCTTTCAACTTTATTATATGCTGAGCTTGTTGTTTCATTACATACAATGCGAAATTTGCAGTGTGAGAGGATTACCAGTAGATGATCATTTAAATCTTGAGAATGGTTGTAAGCTGAGAAGTTAAAATAAATTGTTGCTGAAAAACTAAGCTATAAGATTAAAAGAAAAGTTGGCGTTCGATCGTGTTACTCAAGGAGAGAGCAAAACGAGCTGAACATGAATTGAAAAGACACAATGAAGTTGACACGAAATTTCTATTCAAGAGCTTAAATTTATGAAGCGCATCATTGCTATCATCGCTACATAGGTAGGGACTCGTTTGGAGGACAAAAATTTGACATCATTGAACAGAACAGCTCTATCTACAGGGGTACTTCAAGAATCAACAAATCATATTGTACTTTAGAATAGACATATTTTTCAACCTCTTTGGAAATTTTTATATTATAGTTTTAGTATAGCGCTTTTATATTTAATGATGGAAACAACTCAATTTTGAATTTCTTATGGACAGTCATAATTTTGGCGGAAAACTTACATTGTATGTTTTGAAGAAACCAAGGTATCGAAGAACTCCAAACCAGACAAGTAAGTTCCCAGTTCCAAGAAACACACTGCACACGTTCCACTGATCTCCAACCGATTGCTGAAAAAAGATTCATATTGCCTTCTTAAGTGACGAACTTTTGAGAATCATTCAATGAAGTAGGAGGAAAGTATGTAGGATACAGTAAAAATAGATTGAAAACTTCTAAAATAAGCTTGTAAGAGTAAAATTAAGTTCGCAGTTTGCTTCAGAATTGGTAGATTCCAATTTCCTGCTCGCAAGAAAAGCTAATAGACAAAGGTCAAATTAAGGGGAAAAAATGATCTAATTTGAGGCAAAAATGAGTAAAATGGAAATGAATAAACTCAACTGACAGAATGAACGATAAAAAAATAGGCACACACTGGGTGCTGGTCATTCCCCAGGTCAGATCCATCTCTAAATAGGTTTCTTCCTTCTCTCTCAAGTAAATAAGTTAAATATACGTATTCTGTCTTTGAAGATAATATGATTGTTTCTTTAATTTGAGAAGTTTCACAATAAATAATGGGGAAAAAATCGGCATGCTTCACTCCAGGAAGACTTCCCATTTAACTTTTATTTTATATGTTTTTACACTGCGTTTTTGACTCAGCTTAAACTCACAGTTTTTTTGTTATCTCGGTTTTTTAGTGTATTTTCCGAAGGAAATAACTTATGCTGGATTCCAGAGCTGGAATCAATAGACTCTTATTCAGGGTGTCTACTTAAACAGGCTGGCCAAAAATCAGTACTTTTACAGTACGTTCCCAATAAATTCAGTACCTCTTCAACAGAAAAATTAAGCACTTTTTCAGTGCCTCCAATTGACCAAATTCGAAAAATTTCAAAAATTTGAATTTCTCACTCAAATTGCAACAAAAATGACAACAAATGAAATAAAAATCCCGGACCTTCTTGCGGAATTTTCGCCTTTTTTCAGTACTTCCGGACCGCCCTCAAAAAGATTAGTACTATTTCCGGAAAGTCTGGAAATAGTACGAAATAGTAGATACTCTGTTATTGATTGCCTTGTGACCACTCTGTGAGATGTGATGATAATTCACATACCTTTCTTTCAATTCGTTCTTTGATTGCAGAACCGAATATCAGGAGGATATCATTAATAATGATCATGATATACCAGAGATTCCAGAATTCCCATCTCCCTTCCACACTTAGCTCTTTGCGATAAACCTCTCGGAAGAAGCGGATTGTTTCCTAGATAATAAAGAAAATATGAAAATCATTTTTGAAAATGCCACAACAGTAATTACTAAAAATAGAAAAGGATAATTTTGCTGCAATAGTGGCAGATGTGTAGTGTGCCCTATCATGATTTTCACGATTAGAATGAGAAATAATAAAGAGAACTTTGAGAATTCTCTTATGAGAAAGAAACGGAAGAGAATTGATTTCTGCCTGATAAAAACCAAACAACTGAGACATTCTAATTAAATGCATTTCAACTGATGTTTAGCAAACAGGCAGTGGACTAAAATCAAAATCATTTGTCATGGATTTTTGCAGTAATAGCATTTCTCACAGTGGTATTTTTATATGATGATTTTTATTTTTATTAGATCTTTCAAACTGAGTAATTAATGTAAGAAATATCATTTGCAGGAAAGACAGCTTCCATACGTAAGAGGTTCCCTTGTACTTACAATTGAGTCTTTAAATAAAATTAGGCAATGCATAATGAAATTTAGAAAAGTGTGAGAGCATTTGCTCCTAGCTCTCATATTTTAGCAAAATGGTTGTTTACTTCACCTATGAAGTTTAGTATTGCTATTTAAATAACTAAATTTTGAAAAGAATGAAAAATGCGGTCGTACAAATTTTAGGAGCTGCGCTCGATAGACTGCACGGCTACATAGGATGAGAGAACATACACAAATGCTGATGACAACGAAGTTCAGTAGACTTCGTAAAATGAAATCTATTCGATTATCGTCTGTAACAAAGAGAGATAAAAATAGAGATTTAGAGTTAGGTGAAAGAAATACGATAATACATAACACTGTCAACTACTATAAAATTAAAGAAGATAAAAGCCAGCTGAGATGCTGTAACCTGTGCTTGACATTTAACCAAATTAAATGGAATCGATTTGATCAATTGCCCTGGATGTAAGTTTAGAACCAATTTTCTTGTTCCCAATGCAAAGGATACCATCACATAAAAACCATCACACAAGATGGATATGTTAGCCCAGAGTTTTTACAAAACAAATAATTTTCAGCACGGCAAAAATAAGTGAATACTTACGCGGAAAAAATTAAATTGCTGATTTAACAATTCAATTGCTAGAAAAAGAGACTGCTATATATCAACGTATATTTTACAACAAGAAAATGCTACTTTAACCAACCCCGTGGTTAAATTAGCTTACAAAAGTGGTTAAAATAGCATTTTTTGTTGTGAAATCGACGATGAAATATTGCAGTCACTTTTTTTAGCAGTTGAATTGTTAGATCAGCAAATTAATTTTTTCCATGTATAGTTATTTTGAAATTAATTTCCTTCAATACCTCTAATGATGGAATATAATGATTAGAAAATCCTGATTTTCATAAGAAAATTTTTACTGAATATCTTGAGCAAGGAAAGACTGGTATTTCCCCTCCTTGTAAAATATCAGGGAACTATGACTTGTCCTCATTGTTTAAGCCTGCAACGACCATAAAGACACACGACAAGACTTTTTTTACATCTTCTTGCAAAATCTTTTGTGGTTGATGACTCCATTTATTCTCTTTGTATATGAAATAGAGACCAAAACAGAGCTTGAAAAGAATAGAATTTTAAGAGAGTACCTAAAAAAGATATATTTTACTCTCAACTTTTTAAAACCTAGTGATAGAATTGCTTCACAGTCATTTTGCTTCTTATACCCTCAAGGCGTTCTTGTGCTTGTAAAATCGATGAAATATTTTTTTTCTTTTTTGCCCCCCAGAAAATCGTCATCAAGAAAGAAATGTAGCCGGTGTTTCTAAATTAAGTTACGATAAGAGGACTGAGAACACTTACTGATGTACTCAACATCTCCTTGGCATACCAATCTGAATGGGTCTGCGGTGAGATCAATCAGCATTTGGCCATCGTTATCCGTATTATCGTAGGAGATCTAGAAGAAGACATCAAGGATTAGCAAAGGAACAATAGAGTTCAGAGTGCGATTGTTCTTTGATTTAGACCCTTGTTTGACAATTCTTTACTTCTATGGAAACTGATGAATTTAAACAAGTTTTTCAGCAACTTGGCAACCTGAGTTGTCGATAGAAAAATTTAGCAATATGAATAATTAGAAAACATTTGGGATGCATGTAACTTTCAAGACGAAAAAACTTTGCAGTTCAAAACATTTATATGACAAACAGTAAATCTAGCATGGTGCAATTTTTTAGCGCAGCTTTTTTCTACTGATAGATACAAAGATAAAATATGTAGATATAGAAACATGACAAATTAATTTGCATAGTGAATACTTACAACAATATCAAATTTGTAACAGTCAGGGGGAGTAATTGGGCCGGCTGCTCTGAAATTGACAGTTTTTAGGGAGAAAAATAATTCTACTTTGACTAGAGCAGCAAAATTGACTTCAATATTGGCGTCTTTTAAATAATTTATGATGGAAAATTCACCTCCTTTCGCGGCTGCGTCAGAGATGTTAACACTTATACACTCTGTAAAAAAAGGAGTAAGCGATAAATATGTTTCATATTAATTTAAAACTTATTTCAATTTTATGTTTTATACTTAAAAAGTATCACTTTGTATTCAGTAAAAAAGAACAGAAATATCTAATTTGGAATGTATAGAATTCTTAAATGCTAACCATTTCTTGTGATCCATTGCTTTCTACTTTAAGAGAAAATTTGTAATTTGCCCCTCTACTTCTGTGTTATGCGAAAAGAAAGAAAGAAAATAAATATCGGTTTTGAAAATTGTCTCACATTGCAAGATATATTGGTACACATACAAAATACATAAAAGATTACTCACGAGTATCAATTTCACTGTTGAATACATAGCTTTCATTGAATCCAAAAATGATTCCATCCTTATAATGATGGAAACATAATACTGGCGCTGTCATCGTATTATCGTCACTTGTGTATGAGTACGATCCAATGGCATCGCTGAGGTTAGCATACTGGAAAAAAAGTTAATAATATTTAGATATTGAGAGGACGGAGAACTTGAAGTAATTGGTTGATGACAAGACCTGACTGTTCATTAACTGATGAGCCCTAAAAACTTTGTCTCCCCCAAAAAGAAACTTATCTTGATTGCCCTGTTTCAGTATCTTTTGCTAGCATTTTATTTTTTTATCGGAGAACTTTCACATGAATTTGCCCAACATTTTTTATGATTTTTCTTAACCCTTGTAAAAAAAGATACTAAAATTTTCATGCAAATTCCTGTAAGGGTTCTCTCATAAAAACATGAAATGTCAGTAGAAATACTGAACCAGCGCAGGCGAGATACATTTCTTCATGCAGGAGATGAAAAAAGTGAGCATTCTAAAGGACCCTAGGGCTCATCAGGAACTATACATAAGAGTTTTTTTAACTTTTTTAGTTAAGGGAGGAGGAAAAATATGATGGTATGAAAATTTTTCATTTCTGGATAAATAATGATTTGTACTTTCAAGTCCATCAATGAAAAGATAAGATAAATAAATCATTACTTCGAATGTTCAGATTAGCATGTGGCAAAATGAACTGACTTGGAGATGAAGGATTCCACTTGAGCAGATTGATGTTTTAGCAAATACTTCTATGCAAAGCCCTTTCATAGTTCAATTTGCCAAACTTAAAAATAATGAACAATAAAATTGATAGAGACTTGAGACTTGGAGACAAATATACAACCACAAATTCTTATCCTATTCAAGACTGGTCAACCTTGCCCATACTCAAAGATTAATACAACTTCATTGTCAACTAATCATGGAGTGATTCATGTCTCATGGGGGGATGAGGCATTTTAAAAATATGCGTATAGATAATTTATTATTACAGATTAGAGCAGAAAAGAATTATTTCAGATATTATTGTCTTGTTTATTTTACGCATTATCATACATGAGTCTAGTCAGGGCCTGAATGTGAGTACATACAGACATATGAAAGAAAATTGAAAAAATATTTGATACACATGATGGGATGTTTAAACTCACTGAGGATGACTCTTCAGTTGTTAAAAGTATGTAATACAATTCCAGACACTAAAAACTCATTCAACTGAGGTGCAAGTTTGGTAGAGATAGTGTTACAGAAATGGGCTTTAAGAATTTTTTTAAAGGAAACTTGAAAATCACGAAAGAAATACTTTAAAACTCATCACAACTTTGTTACGGGATACTAAACTTTATTGGAGGACATGAAAAGAAAAACAGTAAAAATGTTGTCTGTAAAAAGCAACTGAGTGAGTAACAGTATGGTAGATTAGTGCTGGGTTTACACTACTTGGAGGGGAAATTACGGCCAAAAATTCTAAATATATCATTAGATTAAAAATGTAAACCTCCCTCTGTCTTCCACTGATGCGCATTGGGGTTCTTTCGAATCTAATGAAATTTCTGGAATTTTACCTTGATTTTCCCACAGATAGTGTGAATTAAGCACTATTCTAACATTCTGTTACTTTGTTTAAAGTCTTGTTCGATACTGAATCCTGATAAGATTTGTAAACAAAACCTAGGGTAATGGAAAGTCCCTGAATTCCTCAAAGAGCATTTTCCTTCATTCAGGGAAAGCCTTTGACAGATAAATCAATCTTAGAGCTTTGAAAACCAAAGTCCACCCTTTGTGGTTTGTAAATAAAATTCTATGATAGTTACAGATCTGTAACAGGAGCCAAGTACAAAGATACACTCTCCACAGTACTGGTCAACTATTTTAATGTTTTTTTGAGAAACTGATAGATAAAAACTAACTTCTATACGGAGTGCAAAACAGGCTTGCACCAGAAACTTAGAACGGAGGCGAATGAAGTTAATTTTGAATTTTTCACTTATTAAAAAATTGCCAATTGATGGGGGAAAAGAAAACTTACCCCAGTTAACGCAAAATCTAAGGATTCAAAAAATGTATCTTTTTTGTAGACAGCCATCGGCCCCAAAGCTGGCGGGTAGGCGTTCACTTCTCGGGTGGTATCCCAGCCTTTAAGAAATAGGTGTGAAAATGATATTCTATTGTCCCAAGAATAGTTTACATGGTTGTAGCGACTATGAGCAAATAGACACAGCTGAAACAGATAAAAATGCACACAATATAGTCTTACGAATCCTCAAATTCTTGATATCAATGATTTTACAAGCTCAACTGCAATGGGGCAATTTTTTTGGTGATGGGCAGAAAATTTTGGCACTTTAAAGTGTTGTGATGGGCTCATTATTTGGAGTAAAAAATTTAAAAGATCCTTAAACCTTTGCAAAAGAGGTCCCCTCCTTTCCCTCAAAGTTTCATTAAAAGAATAAAACTTTAGAGAGAGTAATACTGGAAAAAAGTGTCATGGATTTTACAAATGAAGGTCCTACTTTTGTAATGTCCATGACGCTTGTATAGTTTTTTCCGAGGTATGATTTTTGTAGTGACTCATTGAGGGACAGGAGCCCCTCTCAGAAGCTCTTAAGGATTTGTAGAAATTTTTCACTCCGAACAATTAGCTCTTTACAACAGTATAAAGTGTCAAAATGAAATGTCCAATGGAATTTTCAACTAAGAAACTTCATATGACATTGCTGTGAGAACTCCGGAGCATTTTCTTCACAGATGACCGGTTTAAAATGTTCTCATCAATCCAGGTATTTTCATCGAAGTTATAAAAGTGAATGTGTTCACGGTTTGTATAATTTCTTTTTTTTTGGATTCCCTGACTTCCCTTGACTTTTTTCTGAATATTTTTGCTCTTCCCCGACTCCAAAATTTTTGAAACCCTGACCTTTCCTGACTTTTGATAAGGCTTCCACTTAATGTTAGATCTTTTTCCTTTAATTTAAGCTTAGATCTGCTGAGTGCTAATTGCATCCGGTTTATAACTGATCGGGATCAGCTAAAGTAGAATCAACCAGCCACATCTGTTGGCATGACAGTCAAATATTAAACTGTGGCTAACAGCATTGAGAAATCATAGAAATGATAAAAGGAAGATATGTTTACCTGAATTGTGACAAAGAATATTTTAACTACTTGGACTAGGAACTTGTACGGTATTTGTTTCTTGGCTTCCCATTTTTCAATAGGATTCATGAAAAAGAATCTCAGCTTAAGTTTCATGTGCATTTCTGAGAGAAGAGTGTCTTTTGAAGAGTAAGAGTTTCCTCCGGTGCAGTGAATCGACGGCAGCTGCGGTGATTCCGCATTTTTGTTGATTAAAGGCTCATCATCTGAAAAAAAATTGTAAAGAAATGAAAAAAGAAGTTCACTGCCAGGGCTTTAAAGAGATGCGGTTGATTCACCTCATTTCATGAGATGATTTAAGTAGTGATGGCGTGGATGTAATAATAAACTTCCAGTTTCAACCCCCCCAAAAAAAACCTAAAACACTATAGGAAGATGCACTTTCTTCAACGTTTCTATCGAAGTTCTACTTTTAATGATGGAGAGAAGAAACGCTTTTGAAAGCTTACTTTATACCTTGGTGGTGGCTGTTACGACCTCAGTAACCTTCTTCCCAACGCTAAACAAGCAGGAAAGAAAAAAAGAACTGGATTTGAGAAAACTGCAAAAATTGGACAAGGTCTAAAAGTAGTTAGAGGGAAAAGAATGGGTTCAGACATGAAGATGGAAGAGAGGTTGAGTGTTATTTAAAAATTTGTGCCTACTGCCATTACAAGGTATACATAAAAATTAGCTAAGGTGTTTAACCCAGTCACTTTTTCGTACTTTCTGATAGGAAATGAATTATTGGGCATTTTATAATACATGAAATATTTTCAATGGATTCACCATTTCCAGATCCGTGTAATCCAAAATGAACCCTGTGCCCAGAAATGTGAAAATGATATGCAAAATGACCATGAAAATTGGCGTCTCCCCTTGTCAGGCTTACTTTATAATATTAAGACTAGATCGGAAGTAAAAACCTTCATAGGACATCCTTCAAACTATCTCCCTGTGTTTCCTCCTCGTTCTTGGCAACTTGCAATTCAGAACCAATCAATAAGTTTTGAAGTTCTGTGACTCAAGAGTCTCTGTAAGTGCAACAGATCATTCCAACTTGTCTCTGAGTACCCACCTTGAAAAGTTCGGTACATTTTGTAATAATTCAGTCCAATTCAAATTGTATACAATCGGCACCTTTTACTTCATATAGGAATTATCAGAGGTTTCTAGAAGAATTGATTTCACTTAGATTAATGAAATAAAACACCATCCCTGAAGGATTAGAATAGATGCAGTTTTCTCTCATACACGTACAAACATTCACAAGTAAGTACTTGCACAAGTTTAATTTTCTGATAAACCGGACGACAGATGCATGATGAATGATAAATAAAGTAAAAAAAAGGCACATGAGAATATTATGTATTGTGCAGAATGATAGAGAATATGCATAAATCATCAAATCATCTCCTTAGCTGCATGCAGAGTAAGGGAAAATTCCGGTGAGATAACGATGAAAAAAGCTCTGCTGTTCTCGGGCGATTATGAAAAAACTGTTCGATGAGAGTGAGTATGTATGTACAGAATATTCGGAGAATAGAGTTAAGAGAGGAGAATAGTACCTTTAAAGACCATGTTTCCACAGGAAAGATGTAGCAGAGGTGGTAGGAACAGGTATACATCAAGGTGAGGCTGCGACAGCAGTGACAACGGTAACTCTTGATAAAGGGTTAAGTGGAAAGAAATCAACAAAAATCGAAGAGATAATGAGAGAGGACATACCTTCACTAGTGTTATCAGACCATACTGTGCGCTTCGGGCTATCAGCTTCTTGTTGAGGTTCCTCCGGAGCAAATCTAATTCCCGCTTCCAAGGTGGACCCCGAACCAGAGTCCTCATTCATATTTGAAATTGAGCGAGAAAATACGGAAAGAGCAATACCTACTTATCATACAGAGAAAAATTAGCACCATGAAATTTGAATGACATATCTAACAGAGGCGGGACAAAGGGTGAATACTTGGAAATCAAATCAATTACGAGTGTGTAGATAACAACAAAGGGGAAGAAAGATAAAGATAAAAGCTTAGGTAAATAAATAAATTGCGGCGAGCGGGGAGGAGGGGTATGACGTAATAACTTCACCTGCTAAACTGCGTCGAAATTAGCCGAACGTTCACGAAGACGTCACGAACTAGTCCGAGTTTCAGGGTCCTTTGTTGTTTATCAAAGCTGCGTTGGCAAATAATGCAATAATTAAAAGTTAAATAGTAAAAACTTGATGCAACAAAAGTTTTGCGGTACCCAATCTGACAACAAAAAAAGCTCGGTCAGAATCGGTTCTTTCCGGAAACAGTGCTGCTCTCTCGGGGCAAAGCGTGTAATCACCAGTTGTGTTATTGTAGTGGTTATGCTGGATATGTGTGCGCTTTTATCACGAAAGTCGTCCGAGCTCTTCAAATCATGAACTTTAAAAATCAGTGTATTTCCTTTAGATTCGTGCCTTTGTGATCCCACCTATGTTGTGTCTAAATCTGCAAGTTTCGCCTGTTGTAAAACGTAGGACTTTTCCACAGGATGACCACGAATTTTGCTAGCAGCGACCTACCAAAACTCTCAACCCTGTCCGTCTACTAGGGTACATGAAAAGGTTTATGAACCTTGAAAATGGGGAATTGCCTGAAAGGATCGTCAGCAGAAGACATATCACTTCTTAGAGGCAGTGAAAATGGAGCTGAAACGTCTGACAGACTCGGACCACTTCCTCCTCCGTATAGGGTAATGCATCTAATGATACCTTGTCCTTCTGAAACAGGGAAAAGTTTCCTTTGTTACTTGATCTTCAAGTCATTTTTTTCTTGTATCATTTGTGACCTTTACTTCCTGCTCCTTATTTTTTGTCTGACTTTATCTTGTGTAACTTCATCCCTATTCTACTGACATTGAACACCTCTAATTTGGAGTATGTAGCCTGTAGCCTACCTTGCTGCACTCTCCTGTCTCCTCATGAGACTTACTATGGATTCCTTGCGGGCTTCGTGATGGTGCAGGATTAGTGCATTGAAACACCGCTCCTTTTATATGCTTCCCTGAAGCTGTCAATGCTCTCTTAGACTTGTTTGCCGCTGTCCATCAGTAATCTTGTTTGGAAAGATATATGTATCTTTACTGTCATGAAAAGCTAACCTAAAATGTGGGGTGTCTCACAGAGACAAAGAAACATTGAGTTTCTCCAAACTTCGTAAGTTTGCTTTGGTCGTGGGAAACTACTTCAAATTGGCATATTTTCACATGCCAGTCATCTAGCACTCGTTGCCAAACACCTTTTTTTCCTGTGATACTTGAGTGTTAGATCAATTTAATATTGATTCAATTTAGATTTGTGACTAGTATATTCTAGGGATCATCTTCAAAAAACTTCTCAGCATATTCATGAAGATCATTTCAAATTTTTTTTCTCTTATTATTTTCCTCTTACATTCACAGCTGAAGCATCAATCAGAGGGCAACATTTACTCACCCAAGATGTCAAGAAATGACTTTGTTTTGCTTTGAAGAGTTATCAGTACACTTTTTTTTACCATATCCTCACACGAACAAAGATTGGAGATTCTGAGACCTGTTTTCAATGCATATATTCAGGAAGCGTATTTTCCCATTGAATTGAAAATGCCAGTGGTAGTTCGAGTATGGGGCCAAAGGATCAGCCCCCCCCCCCTCCCCAAGTTTTTTTTTAAGAAGAGCTATTGAAAGATTTATTTTCCAGGAAAAAACTAAAACTTGCACTCTGAAGTTATTTAATTTTTAATATTTTGCCTGTGAAGGGCTTCCATGGCTGGAGTAGACCCTCGGATCCCCTCTATTTTTTCAAAATCCCCCCCCCCTCAAGTTTTAGCCCTAGCACCTCCACCTAAAAATGCGCTGAAGTATCTAAAAACTGTTCTAGATCCATATGAATACACTTTTGCAGTTCTCTATTCTCCAGTCATATGCATCTTTTGACCATCTTCTTTCAAAATGAAATAAAAAAAATTAGTTATCACCCTTTCCAAGTAAGGTCTTGAACGCCATCTCACATAAACCTATAAGTGTGTGTTCTGCTTATTCTAGGAAGCTCTTCCAATCTTCTATCCATCCCCGAATGTAAGCCGTCCTGTAAGTCAGCTGACTGAAGAAGAACAAGTCAAAATAGCGAAAAGAATGGGACTTATCCAGCACTTACCTACAGGGTCTTATGATGGCTGCAAAAAGAACAGAGAGTAAGTAAACAGAACAATAGATGGGAGAAGAATGAGGATGCGTTTGATTCCCACAACCAATGTACCTTTGTTGATTTTCAGAAAAGAATGATGAAATATTAATGGATATGTTGAAGGCAAGTAGTCAAATCAGGCATTTTGTCAAATGCCTTGGCAAATAGTCAAAGTTTCTTACTTAGATTGAAATTTTGATTTTTTACCCTAATTTTAGACAAAATAATTCGTTGCTCCTGTAAGAAAGAATTCTCGATAAAAATATATAGCATAGAATAGTATTTTAAACGATTTTAAGATCCTGAATGCACATTTATCATGAAATTTTCAGCACATCATTAAACATAGAATTTTGAAAACTTTAATATTTAAATGTACTGAAGGCATGTAAACAGGAAGGAACAAGGAGAGTTCATGGATTTGAATAGTTACTCTTCCCAAAATATTGAAAGCCTGTGAACTCCTTGCCATAAATTTACAGAATTCCTTGAACTGTCAAAATTTGACTACTGGCCTAGGCATTTATTAAAATATCTGATTTGACTTCAACAGATACACCAAGAGGCCACACCACTTGAACTCAAGAAATACACTATTTCTTTTATAATTTCTGTCTCTAATGAGGATATAGGATTGAATTAATATGTTTGAGTTAAAAGGATTCAATATTTTTTGGTTTCCTCGATCAGATGACAAGGTCTTACCCTTTTCTTTCTTTCGGCCATTGTGTTCTGAGTTGGCGACAACGGGTAAAATCATTTGGCCAGAAAGAATGAAAAAGATAATGGAGCAGATTTAAAAATGTTGATGAAATTAATTTAGGGTTGGCTCACATTAACATAAGAATTTCGTATTTTCAGCACAGTTATGGTATTTTGTAAGTATGCATATCGAGGAGAAATAGGACCTTACTCCATGAGATTCGAAACTAAGCTATTTACAATAGCCTAGAAGAAAGCTCTATGAGCATTTTGGGACCAAAAATTCCTAGCTAAACCAAGTGTTGTCTGTTCAAAGTTTCCAGTTCAAAACAGTAGTGTCAGGGAAAGAAAACCGTTCGAATTTCTTATCTGCCATGGCAAGGGCACAGAAGTGCCGGAAAATATCACAACTTCACACCCTATATTGACATCAAATGAAGTCAATCTCTCGCAATTTATTATTTAGGACACCAAAGAGGATTTTCCAAATTTCAAAATCAGATTTTTCAACCCAGTTTGACGTAAATGATACCACTGGAATTCATGAATCTGTCGTCTAAAGTTATTCTTTGTTTGTATTGTATACATAATATAATTACGTATATTACTAAAAATAAAGAGAACAAAAGAAATTAGGTGTCAACACCTTGAAAATTTTCTGGTTAAAGTGTTCAAGAAATAGGAAGGCTAGCCTTTTTGTATCTGTGACATCTATTTTTTAGCAGGAAATTGAGCCAACTTAATCACCAAAAATGTCCAGAATGTATGCCAAATTAACCCCTCTTAACTATGAAATAACCAACTCTTAATATTTTTTATCCATCGAAAGGGGTCTTTTTTCTAACATCTTATTCATCTACCAATTATATTTTAGCTGAATGTTTTGTTCCAATCTCTTTGCTCAGGTGTGTAATTTGTATGATGGAGTTCCTCATTGGCGACAACGTTCGATACCTGCCTTGCATGCACATTTATCATGTCAAGTGTGTGGATGATTGGTTGATGCGGAGTTTCACGTGCCCATCTTGTATGGAGCCTGTAGACGCAGCTCTTCTAACTTGCTACGATTCCAACAACTGAACCGGCACAAAGATGATCTATGTTTAAACATATATGGTAGATTTTTCTAAAAGAGAAGAAAAAAAATTAGTCATCAGTGCAGTAAGTTCTCGATTATTTCACTCTTCCCTCTTTCGTTTTCTGGTGTAAATATTTCTGCAGGAATCGACAGGAAAGCAAATCATCAGAGCCTGTTTGTAGAATGATTACTGCTGACCTTGAATTGACCTTTTTGTTTCACACGGAAGCAGGAAAAATATAATGCTAGAAATACTACTTGAGGGTGATTCGGGGAATTTATCCTAAGCTTTGCGAAGCCGCGTCAATAGGCTCCTTGCTTTCTGAGTTTCTACTTTCACTCATTTCATCCAGCATTTTAGGCCCTAAAAATTGCATTTGATTCTTGGTACGCAATACCTTACATGAAGCTGAGCGTCAAAATGCACTATTATTTCTGTGAATGTGCAAAGTTATGCCTATTAGGGGGTTTATGCTAGTACAGTAAAGAAGAGTAATTTTTGCCCTCTACTGAGGTTTCTTCAGAAATTGTTTTCACCCTAACAAATTAGAGTGAAGGTAGAACAGTATATTTTACGTCCAATCTTTTTAAATGTACGTAATAATTACAATAATTACCCTCTAATGATTTCTACGGAATTAAAAAAATCAATTAAAGTTTTATCAGACTCACAAGCCTTTTTTCCTGGTTCCTCAAGAAATAAGTTTTTTTTTGTACCACTTTGTACGTATATAACATCTAATTAACATTTTTAACCACTTTGCAATCAAACCTCATTGGTTTTTTTTCTTTGTAGTCTGCACTCATTTAAGCATGAAAAGCAGCTCAAGGTCAGATGTATTCCTATCTGAAAGTAGCTCTTCCCATTTTGTAATTGGTGCTGTCAAAAAATTGTAATAAGAGTTTCTTTTTTTTTAATATAATTTTTTTTAGATCTTTTCTCTCATGAAATCAGTTAATGGTTAAGATCTAAGTATATTGCGTGTCATATGGTAACCGATTACTGTAGAGTCAACTCAGTTTTTATTTTTGATAACTCTGAATCAATTGTCACATCAAGTCATCTGTAAATATGAAATCTAAATTTTTATACTTGAATTTTTTTTTCTTTTTTTTAGGGAGTTGTGTAAATTAGTTTTTTTTTATATCAAAAAACGGTTTAGTTTTGGATGATAATTTCAGAAAAATGTAGCGCGAAGGAAGGTGGTAAAAATGTGCTATTCTTTTTATACTTAAATTTTGTCCTCATCTTAGTAGACAGTAGGCCCTGTACTGTCCTTTTTTGTTTTTTTTTGTTTTTTGTACGCTGCTCTTCAGTGGTGTGATGAATCGATCTTTGATCTACCATTAAAATCTATGGAAAAAGATCAATTATCAGGGTGTTCTGGGCAAATTCTTAGTAATTGATTCTTTACCATGACTTCAAATGAGAAAATGAAAAAAAAAATTGATGATTCATGCCTCACCACTGCTGCTCTTTAGATGGATTAGCAATTGGACAGAGAATATTCAGAATGGATTCACAAGCTGCGAAACACTTAGTCAAAATAAGTTAGTGATAATTAAACGAGTATCTATTGAGATACTCGTAAAGTTGAGTAAGTTAAAGGACTCTCTCTTGATGAACGCATTCATTCTTCCTCTCGAATATTGCCATTAATTTTCACGTGCTATGTTTGCCGCGTCATTTCTTGGTCTCAGCTGATTTGAAAATTGGGCTTTCCAATTGCTAAACCGCTAAGATATTAAGAGCTAGTATTAAGGAGGATACATTTACAAATTTTTTAGCTCTGGACATTTGAAACCTCTCCTCATCAGGTTGCAAATGAAACGGAAGCAAAAATTTATTCGGTGAATTGTGATGTTCTTTCTACATGAAGTGTGATAAGCTTTCTTTAACTCGTCTACCCTTACTCTATATTTTAGTTCCGCCGTGAAGCAGTCTCTAAATTTGCAATTATTTTTCTACCCTTTTTCATCTGAGTGCGCTCAATGATGTGTTGCTCTTCAATGAAACTAGATTTCATGTAAATGGAGAGAATACTTGAGGCAACCCGTAAGCTTAGACATTCGAGTGAGATATTTTTTACGTCAATCATAAATCCTCAAAAATTGGTTTTCTGCATTGTTCCCAGAATGTTTGTTCTTCACTACGATTGATTTCCCTTGCGCTCATGTTAAGACAACAGATTTATCAGTCTTTTTTATTGTAAATATTTGAGATTAGTCGAGGAGACATAACGACTGGGTTAAAGAAAATGGTAAAATTGCTAGAATGGTCTTTTGAAGAGCAAACAGACATGAAACAGTGCAGAACATTTTTCACTAAAATTCTCCATTGAAACTTTTTTCTGCTAGGTTTACTTGTAGTAAATCTGTGTATGTTTGCAGTAAGTAAAATATACTTCCTCATTTCCTCTTTAACAACTTTAGGCGACTCACCTTTGAATAGTTCCATTTTATGTTTTAACATAGAACGGAGATTAAATTGTAATTAATACAAGTTTTGAAAACATGATCCGCTCTTGAAACTTTTTAGCTTTAAAATTTTCTCCGAAACACTTCGAGTTTCTAGAGCAAAACTGAAGGTGGCTACTTCTTCTGGCATTTTCCTACTTAACCTTAGATAAAAAAAATAGATTTGATCTTTGTTCCTTGCGGGTGAATAGTCCGAAACAAAAGGCATCACTGGTATGTAGCAATAGATTTAATGCACCTCACTAAAACCTCCCTGTAGACTTGAAAATCTTGTTCGGGAATTGAATGTGTAATATCCTTTGTTTCTATAGAATTATGTCAAATTAATTGTGTTTGAAGTCATAGTTGTGAACTTCCTCTGGAATTCATTCCAAGCGTAGCTCATGATTTAATCTGTCATCATCACGAAAGACGCAGTTAGCTTGCTGAGAATTCTCCTCAACTTTATCTTGTATTCAAGTCCTTTTTTTCTGCCTCAGTCGTGGCTTGCGGAGCACAGTTGTAATTTGCAAAGTCTATGCTCCGAAACTTTTCTTCTTTTCTATTTGTCGAAGCCTTGCTTGAAGATTAGTGCAGCTTTTAAGTAAAATGATACTTAACCAATGTTTGCGGAATCGACTAATTCTTCCCAGAATGTGGACGTAATCAGCCGATATTAATTTTAAGTTTCTGTGATCAATGAGTTCATTTTGCCATTTCCTAGTCCCAACACAATGTCGGCATAAGGTGGAAAGAGCATCGAGCCCTTGTTAAAAGAATCAAAAGAAAAATTGAGGCACTGAAAGGAGATTTACTCTTTTCCCGCTCAACACTCCTATTGAGTGAATTTCAATATCACTCTATGACTGCAAACCAAATCCTAATTTAAACACGAGGAGCACGTATCGTCGATCATGGATCAAGTGCTTGACCTCTTTAAAATGGATGTTGCTAAGCAAACAGGATCAATCAACAGGAACTGTTGGACGTATTTCTGTCAAACGGAACTGAGTGCATCATGACGTGAGTCCTGGTATGCATATATTCTTAAGGGTCTCAAGGCTCATGTCTTAATGCACATAGTTCCGTTTGACAGAAATAGGTCCAGTTATGACTGTGTATCTGCCACTAAGAGACGAGATGCAGTCTTGCGCTCGTTACAAAAAGCTAGTGTAGATAGTGTGGGTGTAAAAAGTGCCTGATCTTGCCATCTGCAGATTTCAGCGAGTGTGCGGTAAATCTTAGGTTGTGAGGCTATTTTCAAGAAAGATATTTTTTATTGCTACTCTTCTTACAGAAGCGTGGCAAATCGCACATTTTGACGTGAAATCCGGCCTTTTCCCACAGAATTTGACTTTTTTCCAAGAGGAGAATTTGAAATTTAGCCATAAGGCATAAGATGGCAGTTCTTCAGGAACGGTGAATTCTGGAACTCCCTGCACCCCTGTAGATAGATCTCGTTTCCCTAATGACAACCATACTGCTTTTATTCCTGAATGGAAAGAAAAACACAGTACTCCTAGATGGAAATACATTTCATCTCACCTCTCTCTCAAGCCATCAACATTTGCAAAAGTTTTTAAAAGTCTGAGAATTTTTTCAATCGCTCCTGTGTCATCAACTTCAGGATGGATATTGACCATTACCATCATAAGAAAATCAATCCTCATACTGTACTCCTTTGTATCATATAAATCAGAAATTGTGTATCGAATCTTGATTTATTGTTTTAGGAAGCGCTGTCCTTAGATTTGTCTTGGTTTCTTCCGTTAGAGCGAAATGTATAATGTACTGTAGATCAAGAGGTTTAACTCGTTTGTGTGATTGATGTATTTTATTTTTAAGAGTCGTTTATTTATTATTGTTATATTTTCATAAATTAAAGTTGCATTTACAAAATCACATCTGTGAGTGAATATTCTTCCCTTATCTAAAGGCCTAGATACACAAGGCGATTAATCACTGCGAGTGAAAGACGAACGTCAATGGAGAGCCTTGATTTCGATATGTCAACGTCAATGGATCGAAATCAAGGCTCTCCATTGACTCGCGGTGATTAATCGCCGTGTGTATCTAGGCCTTAAGTACACAGTCCTCCGAGCAACAGCTTGTACTCTGCAAATTTTTTATCACTCAAGAAATGTGTTGTGTTGCAAAAGTGTTATTTTTAAAGATAAAATTATTACACTATCTTCTATCACATGCAGTTTATCAACTTCACTTGGAACTTCAGAATTAAAATAAATTAAGTACCGGCTTTAAAGCTTCGGAAGTAAGAAGGACTTTTTCTTCCTTCTTTTTTTTAAAAAAAAAATCCTCTGCATTCACAGTGACAACTTGTGAGTGACTAAAGAGAGGTTAGGAGGAATGAGAACCTTCAAGAATGGTTTCCAATAGTTTAATTTCATGGAATGAAATGAAAACATGACAGAAGCTAAATTATAAATGAGGAGTAACCAAGAGTAAATCGTACTTAAAATAAAATCACTTAGTATAACAAAACTGTACACAACAATGATCGATAAAATTTAGGGTTGAGTTAAAAATTAATAATTGCTCATAACATCACTAAAAAAGTTTGGAGTTCCACTCAAAACAACAGGGAAGGATAGGTTCCTAAGCGGAAACGAGTAAGATTCAATTATAACTACAGATTGTAAAAGTAACATCCTGATGTAAATGAGGAAGGAGGATTCATTATAATCAAACTAGGGTATTAATAATAAAAATGGAGTTGAGTATCACATTTGAACAAACCGCTTCTCAGTTTGCGATAGGTCAGTATCTACCTATATATCTAACTAAAATGCAACTACTCAGTACAAATATGTGAAGTTGGTAAATACTAGGATAGCCGTAATTTGCTTCGATGAATCAAGTTTCAGTGAACCACTGAACAGAATGAGAATTCAAATATGTTGAGAAATAAAAAAACACGTTAAATTTTTCGTCATCAGAATTTCATGCAGAATACAGTTGAGAAAGTTCTATCCATCATTCAAATTGAATTCATTTCTTCTATAAATGACTGGAAACAGGTTTTAAAAACTTGCCTGATTCTATAAATACCTTGCAATAATTAACTCACAGAAATAATTCAATCCTTGGACCAAAAATTCTGTTCTGACCAAAAACTTATTTTGACTAGGTAAGTTAGATAACTGAAGCATTGAATAATAGGGGCATTACTATTCCCTGTTATATTCTAGAAATGTTCAATGTTTGCATTAATATTTCCTTAAAATTTGCTGATGGAATTTGTACCGGCATCCTGTACTTTAAACCCTGTTCAGTGGTTCTTTTTAGACTTTATCTTTCCAAGTTCACAATGATCCCAATACAAACACGCAAGTTTGATGTATTATCAAATCTCTTGCTTGGTTGAATTAGAAAAGAATGCAGACTGAATTGATGCAGAAACTAAGATGCTTTATGTACCAATAATTTTTGAAATTCTAGAATCGTTTGAGAAAAAACGCTCTGAAAGAGTTAAGTGAGAACCACAGATTTTGTGTTATGACTGCGATAGGCTGGAAAACCTCGAATGGCAAAGAAGAGGAAAGACTCGGAAATTAACATAATTATCGGAAGCAATTATCGCTAAAAACAAAGGGAAAGAGTATGATATCTGTTACCAAGTGGTAAGTACACCGTGAGTGCCACTTGATTTCAAAATAAGGTTTGCAAGTCAATTACTTATTTATATTTTTAGAATTTTTCTCAGTTCATTGGTAAAATTCATTAATAACTGTCAGTAAAAATTAAAGTTCGCATCCTCACACTCAAGCAATTTTTTTTTTTGATGAGAGCAATGTAGTATTTTGATTTACAATCTGCCTGATAAACGTCGATGATTCTTGGATAAGCTCTTAGAAACACGAAAAATTCCTGCGGAAACAGTCCTACTAAACTACTTTATACTATCACAATTTTCAAGATAACAAACAAAGCTAAGTTAATTAGGTATGTACTAAAGAATAAATTCTGAAAACTCAAAAAATAAATATGGAATTAGTAAAACTTGTGCAATGAAACAGCGGGCAAATACCACAAACATTATAAACTCAGACGAAGGACTTGTCCCTTCGTCAAAAAAGTACTTGGACCAGTAAAATATCTAAGAAGTTCACTAGGATTCGACATGAACAGAATAACCAAGAATTATTAGAAAACTGGTTTTAAGATGCAAAAATAGGGCCTTGCTTGTACAACCAAAGGGTTCAGCCCGATCAGCGCCAGGTTTTCATTATTCTTGGATATGATATCTTCTATGACCTCCTGAGCTTGGTGATCTTCTGAAATCGACTTTTCAAGTGTTAAGTTTTAGAAAAGAAAGGCTGAAAAGTGAAGTTTTTGGCACTTCTATATTTTACGTGACAGAGGTAACACTACCGTTGTGTTGTGTATGCGAAGCCTCCTGTTCAAAAGTAGTTGACGGAAGCTTGCACCTTCCTAGATGGCACGAGGTGGGAAAAGAGAAGCTCTCCCCCTTAACTAACATTATTACCAAATAATGGTAGTGAAACTGCTGACTAATTTATAACTCTCGAAATTTGCTCATACCGGGTAAAAATTGTAAAGCTCATTGTGCTGGGGAGGTTGTAGAGAACATCATATTAAATGATAAATTTAGGCAGCACTAAAACTCTAGGTTTTAGGTACAGGGTTCTTTACTAAAACAAAATGAAGATTACTGATCACAAAACCGGTTTCAAGGTGCAGGAGTATAAGAGCATTTTAGACTGCTTGGTAAAAATTCTGCACACAGCTTCTAGCATAATTTTCTTTTTCCTTCTTTTTGAGGTATGCATATCGTTTTGAAGACCAAGAGACCTTCCAAGCTAATAATTTAAATTTTAAAAACAATGCAGAAGCTGGTGTTACAAAAATACATTTCCCTGCCCTATGCTAAAAACGTGATGTTCGCACAAAAAACTGTTGTAGGATCACTTGCCTCATTAGCGTACATATAGATTTGTAACATAACAAATAAATATCTAAGTATTAAACTAGTTCTTTGAAGGCACTAAAAATAAAATCAACTGAAACAAAAAAATAACACATCTAAAATCTTTGAAAGTAACTATTTACAAAAAAAAAAAAAAAAAAAAAAAAAATCAATCAAACGAAATACATAAACGTAACTTGGAAAAAAAGAGAAAAAGTGAACAGGTATTATATGAAGTCTGTCGTATTCTTTCCTTTATCTGTAAAATATGGGGGAAAATGATGCTCCAGACAAAGTAATATGATTTTGGATACAATTTTTCCACTCGATCTAAGACCGGGAATAACGAGACAGAAGGCGTATTATCAAAAATTGAGCGTAATTTTGAAATTCTTTCCTGATGCTCACAAAAAGTGTCAACGATTTTCAATCATTCTGAAAACAAGGAAGATAATTGTTTGAGCCTGCTAATTTGTTTTTTTTTGGACAAATTATTATCATTATCTCACTAAAATAATGCGTATATTTTTGGGAGGCAATAAGTAAAACAAAATGTAGGAAAATGAATTCTGCCATACTTGAAAAGAATTTCTTTTCAAGGATTAATAGGACAACGTAGGATAATTTTACTTCATCACGAAGATAACCAGACAACGTTATTGATCACTCACTTTTCAAGTGAGCTCATGAAAACAGAAAAGAAACAGAAAATCAACGATCATAGAGACTCTTGAAATTTTAAAATTAGGCCTCAACTTTCAAAGTCATTTCAACAATGATATAAAATATTTTAATGTTAATACAGGTTCAATGATCATTTAAAAAAATTTAGTCTATGCATTGCACATTCTCACTTCATGAAGTATCAGTCCTGTTTTTCACAAGGCTAAAATCACTTTCCTCCTACAGAAAAATGACCTACAGTTACTTTTGATATGCAAATCTAACAAAAGTTTCTTAAAAAAACACGCAAATAAATAAATTAAGTTAAGGATTATTACCTCACTAATATATATTTCATTTTCTAAAACTTTAAAACCTAACTGTCAAACAAACAACAAAAGCAAGGATTGAATACACCTAACAAATAAATTAATGGCAGAAAAGGCGTGAGCATGGTTCTGATGTACTCTTGCCTTAAATTAAGCAAATTTTCATAGAATAGAATGATAATGATAAAAAAGAGAAAAAAATGGATGGTGAGAACCATCTCGCTGTGATTATTTCAGCTCTTTATACCGTTCTCTATTCTTCCGGAGTGAACCCTTTCGGAACACAAAGGTTTAAATTCCATAGAATCATTGAAACATCATAAATATTAATTCAAAGTCAATTACCTTAAACAACCATTTTAAGTCAGTGGCTTTGTAACTAAACAGAGATTTCATAGCTCGCAATGTGGAATTCCAAGAAAAAATCAGAGCAACTCATAAGCTGGAGTGACAATTTAGTGACTCAATAGTCACCAAACATTCTTAAGTGTTTCATTTAAGAAAAAAAAAAATAAATACACTAGATTGCAGACACTCTTTAGGTTTTTTTTTCTTAAATTGCAAACATTCCTAGTTCATTGCTGTAACATGATCATGTTGCCGTGAAAGAAACTAGTGGCACAAACATGGTGCTTTTGTTTCCAAAAGAGGTTCACCGAGGAGAATTTGTGACGTTCTGTTGATATTTTTCACTCAGAAATCGGAAATTTAACTGTAGAACTCACACTTAAACTGATGGAATATTGGACACAGGAGGCTTAAAAAATTAATGACTGTATTGAAAAAATTCCAATAAAAAGAAAGGAAGGGGCGAAAGTTGAGTCAAGGTACGAAAACCCAGGGTAAACAGTTGAGAGAAGGAATATCACGTTGCCATATTATGTAAGTATGCAGAGGCTGAGTTCAGTAAACCGATTCTTTGCTTTTGTTTGCGCTGCTCTGTCATCTGATCCTTTAACTCATTCAGTTGCTGTGACAGCGTTGCGACAAGAATCTGCGTGTTTTCCAGCTGTGCTTGAAGGCTTCGTAATTCAATTTGCTCACTATCGCTTTCTTCAGCAGCCAAAGACATAGCTCTCAAGCGTGGGAACCAGTCGAGATCTCTGTCGTTAACCATCGAATATACATAACTCTCTGGACCAGTGAATTCTGTTGGGTCTTTCACCTTGACGAGGACGATGAAGTACAAGTAATGCCACATATTATGCTCACATTTCGTGTGCTCCTCGAAAGAAACCGTTTTGTTATCAAAAGCTGATCTGTTGAGGCCACAAATGAAGCATGTATTCTTCAGAATGAGTTCTTTCTGCTGCTTTTCGCTTCTCAGGTCAGCAAAAGTGTCAATGATGACACCAAAAATCAGGTTGAGTACTATAATTATGACAATGAAGAAGAAGAGTAGGTCGTAAATTACTCTGGCCACAAATAGCGGCTCACTGCTGCTTGGAGCGCGGAGCACATCTCCGATCCCGCCTCCGTTACGAAGACCTTGATTCAACGTTGTGACGATACACATGATAAGCGAGTCACAAGCACGCTCTTTGGTTTCTCCATCGACAGTCACAAAATGCTGTAAAGACAACTTTCCATCTGATTCTGTAAATGGCTCATTGATGGCTTTGGAGTATTCCATTGACGCTCCTTGGTAGTTGCAACTGCCGTCTGACGGACAAGTTGATGTTTGGTTGGGCTCCAGGTCTGACTTGTTGGATGGTGTGATTAATTCGCTCTCCGAGTTTATGATTTCTGAGTCGACATTTACTAAGAAATCATCTTTGAAAAACATAAAGCCTATAATCGAGAACATGTAGACTAAAATTAGGGCCAAGACAGCCGTTAAAATAATAGACCGACCGTTGCGGGTAACGGAGCGTATAACGTTAAGAAGTGTTTCTTCCCTGTACACAACATCCAATAAAAGAACAGAATAGAAGAAAGGATGCATGCACAGGCCAAGCACACAAAATATCACGTAGAAAAGATGGTATATTATTTCAACATCACAAAGAATTTGATTAATTTTCTTTGTGAATGTGCCTTGGTTGCCCATTATACTGATTAAATGCACACCTTTCATCAAAACCGTTGTGCCACCAAGAAGCAGGAGTGTTGGCTCTGGACCGCTAGAAAAAATAGACCGAACTATTGTCATTACAGAGAATAATCGGATGGCTGCTCTTTTAGGAATAGCGATGAGAAACGCGAACGATGACAACATTATGATCCAGATGAGCCAAGATAAGTGAACTCCTAACTTTGGTACGAAGTCGGTGAAGGGGTAAAAAAATGCTACGATGATGTTGATCAAAACAGCGCAATTGAAGAGAATGTTACTCCACAAGGACATATGACTGCTCACCCAAAACAACAACGGCTGTCCGCGCAATTTTTTCTGCCACTTCATTTCGTTGAACATGTCAGTTGTTCGTTCGAAAAAGTCCGAGACTTTTGAGCCCTGATCATCCCGCTCAGCAGTATGAAATACCCTGACCTTAGTATCATGCGTTAGGTACTCACAAATTTCTGGTATGGGGAAAACAATCTGCTCCAGTGTGCGATCATGACGAACGATTTCAATCTGTGCGGTATGAGATGCGTAATATTCCAGCGCTTGATTCATCTTGGGATCGGTGTTGACCTCTGGTGGTTTCAATAATGCGGCCAAATCTTTATTGTGATGCGCCAACTGATGACAGAGGATGTAAATATTATGCCCGACCTCTTTTGGTGATACCTCTTCATCCGGTTCACTGGAATCGTCAGTGTCGATATCATCATCCAACGATTCTTGATGAAATGCTGAACACGCAACATCCACCAACTGCTTCGGATTCATATTGTAAAGAATCCTCTCCGCATTCTCGCTGTCACCTCGACTTTCCATTATAGCGAGCAGTAATTTTGAGGCGTTGTTCTTAAGCTCTAAAACCAGGTCCATTCTCGATTTGCCCAATGGATTGATGTCGTTCAGAATCAACGCAGTAATTATATCCAACCCGTTGGATTCGTGCGTTGCTATACAGTTTTGATTATCATGACACGGTCCTTGACAGTATTCTGTGAGAGTTTCCAGGGTCTGATTGATTAATTCGACATTATATTCATTAATATACAACCCTAGTAAACCGAGACCTCCTGTTGTCGAACCGCAAATACAGTCCAGGAACATCAGCGTTTCAGAAACGAGATTAAAGTTGGACTTGTTGCACTGGTTGCGCAGTAAATTTTGTAGATCTCGATTGTGATTTTCACAGAGTAACTGCAAAAATCTCAGTATTGGCTGCATGACCAATACTTTATTGGAGAGTTTATTTTCATCCTCGCGTTCTTTCTGCCTTTCTAACTTTTCTGCCAGGATATCCTCAAGAGCACAGCTTGCGGTCATGTTCTGCCCTTCTTCAGCACCACCATTCAAACCTGCTGCTTGGCTTAGTTCTTCCCGGAGTTCATCTGTTATCACGATACTGCTGACTTTTCGTCCTTTCCGGCGCGCCATTTTCTCCAATTCTTGGTCTTTGTCTTCGTTACCTTTGCCCGCCATGTCTGAAGTATTCACGGTCACTGTCGATTTAATCTCTTGCTGGGCATCTCGCATCTTGTCATAGAAAACCTGTGGCAAGAAAGAGAGAGCAGTCAGGAAAATATTGACTTTGATAGCACTCAATTATTCGCAGTGATTTAGAGTTACCATGGTCAATAAAAGCTAGAGTTAGTCTTAAATTAAGAGAAACAGTTTGAAAATCATCAACTAGAAGACTACATTTTTGAAAAACTACAAGACAAAAAGTACTTATGGCGGGGCTTTGTGGAATCCTTAAAAAAAATGTTGAACATTTTATTACTGGAAACAAATACGTAAAATTTGGTCCCCTAAAATTTGGGCATGGACAATATGGAGAGACATACACATCAGCAGTGAAACTTCCAATTCTTGTACCTTAATTTGCACCAATTGCACTTTGTACCTTAATGTTAGAGACTTCCTGTCATACTTTATTCTTTTAAGTGGAAAACTACACAACATCAATTCTCAAAAACTTAAGTGATATTTCATCGATGTGCCAAGAAAATTCTGAAAAAACCTCAAGAAATTATCTTGATTTATTCTTCTTTAAAAAAATAAAATAGGAGTAGAAATTTTAATATACCACAAACAAGATACATAATTTGGGAGCTTTATCATTAACATTCAGGTAAATAAAATACTTGGAAAGTTTACATGATGTGAGGTGTTCAAGAAAGTCATCTGACCATTAATCAAGCATATTTCGATGGCTAAGGAGGAAATAATTTCGACTGACCTTAAAGAATGCTTGACTGAGATCTCCACCTAAAAGCTTAGTGTGCATGCTTTTCTGAATAATGGGATTTCCGCCTTCGAGTAATGCGATGCCCAACTCCACAGCTTCGACGAAAATTGATGGAGAGTGAACAGATCTTATGACTAGCTCAACCACCAAGTCTGATGCGCCCTCTCGATCCAAGTGACTTTGAACTTCATGTAACGTCAAACCAGCTCTTGCGAGTATTTTGGCTAAGATCAAACAGTATCGGAAAAATATTATCGACAAGCAAGAAAATCATATTCTTTATAAAAGATTGCGGCTAATAGTTCAAATTTGTAGCTCACTGAAATAGTAATGAAACGATGATTGACTATTCACAATCTACAAGCAGCTCAAGTCGCTCTTTTCATCAATTTTATGATTTTTATCCGTGCCTGATATGATCATGACTGGACAAACAGATCTCATGTTCTGGTCAAAGGCAGAAGAAAACTGGCTAACTAACTAACTAACTAAAAAGGAATAACTGAACCAAAAACACTTACTTCTGTGCTTTCTATCGTGAAAGATAAGAGTGAAGTGAAAATCAAAGAGATGGTGCAAAGTTTGCTATGTTAACTTTCTATGATCGATTTAATCATCTCCCTAGCATAGCAGCAATTTTTACAACTTAGTAACACTGAATTTTGTCTTTTTGAATGAATGGAAAACAATTACTATTTATTGAAGCAGGCTGCATCATCTAGAATTGATTATTTAGAATAGATTTAAGGAGGAAAAATAGTGTGTTCCAACTTGGGAGATTTGCCTTTGCCCTGGCATGCTGCTTATGATTTCAGAACGATGTCAAAACCTTTAGTTAGTTTTACACGCTATTCATCAGTGTGATCAATAAATTTTTTAACATATTTTACAGCTCAGCCAGGAGTGCAAAAAAAGTTTAATCTGGCGATTTGCAGATCATGGCAAACCTGAGGCAAATCTTCAGCCGGAAAGTTACAAAGCGGTGATCTCTTTTTTTTCTCATCTTTTGGAAGTGATTTTGAGAAATTGAGGCAAATCGAAAATTTTGTTGCAAAACAGACATGCAAAACAGACAAGAATTTTGCCCTGAATTATTATGAAAGGAAATTATTTTAGTAAATAATGGGAACTGAAATTTTTCATAGGTCACAGAGAGCAAAAAGGTCATGAAAAACTTTAGATACCTCCTGGTCCATGGCTGATGATAAACTTTTGTGTTGGTTTCCCTAGTTCCACAGCATTTTGCTTTTGTGTGAAAGATTTACCAAAATACCTGGTCAGCAAATTGTTGCGCAAAATATCTCCCTGAAATAGAAAAAAAGCATTCGTGAGAGAGAATTGTATTCGATCAATTATTAGATACAGTAATACATAGATTAGCCAGTAATCGAGTTAAATAGCACTACTTATTGTGCACAATCCTGTAACTATGAATTTAAGTCAGGAGTGGAGATGTAAAAGAACTCTTTGAGAGAATTGTGCGCAGTCGAACCTGAGGAGTTCAAAAGTTGTTTTTCCAAATTGAAGCGGCGTTGGCACAAATGTACCTAGGTTGGAGGTCATTACTTTAAAGAGGGCAGGACACAAGTGCCAAAATCGTGGTTGATGAGGCATCATGTAGGGGCAGTCATTTTTATGGTAAAATTTGTTTTTCAACAAAATAGTTTAGAAGTGAAGGCTCTTTTTTTTAACATAACAACATTTTGCAAAATGATGCTGAGTAAGTCTTATTTCGAGCCACACAACAGTAAAATTAATGAAAAATTTGATTTTTTCTGGACGTTGCATGGTGAAGTAGGTTCTCCACTTACTTTAAGTCTGTAGAAAAGTTTATTCTTATGCACAGTAGACTTTAAATGACTAAAATTTAACCTCTGATCTAAGAGACCTCAGATTTTCACCCCTTCACCTTTTTCTTTTCTTTTCCACCATTTCCATCTTTCATTTTCCATTTTTTGTCGTTGTCCTCTTTCATACACGCAGTCCAAATCTGAAATCAATGAGGTCTAATGTAGGACCTCGATGATATTTCATCATAAACCTTGATGAAAATATACCTATAATGGGTAATTAATATGTTACTATTACAATTACCTTCTCTCCATATTCCAGGTCGATTGCCATCATCTCCCGTATGGTCTTCAAAACTTTGACGCATAACTTCTCTTCTTTCTCTTCCAAAAGTTTTTCTGTGTGTTTGATAAGTCTGCAATCAAAAGAAATTATTTTTAATCAATGGACTAATAGCATTATGGAAAAAACGAGGAACTGAAAGAGGTTCATCTTTTTGGATTGCCTAAAAACGGGACACAAATAACTAGCTGTATTTTATTTTGTCCGTAGCGGACACTTGATGTCTCCAATCGACCACAATCGCATTTTAATACTCTGATGATGAATTATGACTCGACTTCTGCCTGATCGGTCCCTCCTACGGTGGTGTGGAAAAGAGCTCAACGCACAATAATTTTTCGGGAAACATTAATTTGCAAAACTAGGCACTTCACACTCTCCTGGCAAAATTTGGGCATTTTTGTCCATTAGTGGCGTCAGAGTTTGCAGAGATTCTGTTATTCATAACTCATGGACAGTCTGCATGATTGTTAAATAGTGTTCACAATTAATTGTAAAACACCGTTCGATGAAAAAAAAGAATGTTTCCTGGGGGAGGTAGGGTGGTCTACATGTATTTTAAGGCGCTGAATTCATAAAATTACTTCCGTTTTTTCCCATCACTCTCAAATTTTACTCAAAAAATTGACAAGTTTTGGGCATTTTTTGTGATTTTCTGATTGTTACCCCCTGCAGAATGTAGGTAAAATTTTTCTCAGCAACGAGATACAACTGATCTGATGTATTCTGAGCTGCTGAATCCGAATATGACCTGGGTTTTTTTCTATCACCCTCCGAATTTCCGTTAAAGCTGATTTTTCCGAACCTGAAATTGTATAAGAACTTTCCCGGACTTAAAGTGAATTCAAAATACATTTTAAAAATATCTGCAATGTGTGAAACATCGATTCCTATGTATTTACAACTGTCAAATTTAAATATGATCTCACATTTTTCCAATCATCCATCATTCTCCTAGAAAAGTTGCTTTTTCTCAGAAAACTCTCCTTTTAGGTATTTTTGCGATGATTTTCCTGTTCTAAGAAGTTTTAAAAAATTTTCTGAGATCCTCTTTAGGTCTCTCCTGCTATATTCAGATGGCCTCAGCAATTCGTTATCATCCACCATATTTACGGAAAACCGGATTGTATAGGAAAATTGTCGTAAGTTTACCCACATTGCACGGGGGGTAACAGTCGCAATAACACCACAAATACTCAAAAACACCCATTCATCCAAAAAATCGGGACTCTCGTAAGCTGAGCTTCAGCTGAAAACCCCGAATATGGCCTTAGAAATTCATTATTTCTCACCATTTTTCGGAAAATTTGACTTTGGATTAATGGGTATTTTTGAGTACTTGTGGTGTTACTTCAACTGTTACCCAATGCAATGCAATGTGAGTAAAATTGCCACAATTTTCCTAGAAAATCGGGTTTTGCGTAAAAATGGTGGGTGATAACGAATTTCTGAGGCCATTCCTGGATTTTGCAGCTAAAATTATAGCGGAATGGATGTATCATACATGCGGAAAATGTTTAGGATTTCCTTGGAAGTGGGAATAGTGCAGAAAAGCTTTTGGCCCAGAAAAATTGGACCTCCTAGAAAATGGGGGGTTGTCAGAGATGAGTGAAGGTCAAATTCGAGCTCACTGTCTCTGAAAACAGCAAGAGAGACCTAAAAAGGATCTCAGAAAATTTCTAAAACTCTTTAGAACCGGAAAATCATCGCAAAAATACCCAAAAAGAGCGTTGTCTGAGAAACAGCGACTTTTCCGGGAAAATGATGGGTGGTAAATACAATCTGAGATCTCATTTGGATTTAACAGTTCAAAATACATAGGAATTGATGTATCACACTTTTCCAACTTTTTTTTTGTTGAAAAACGTGATCAGTAAATTAACCTAGCATTAAATATTCCAAGGGATACAATCATCAATTCATACAGAAAGTAATTCTTGCCAACGTACCTGCGAATAAAGCCACCGTTTTCGCAATTCTTCTTTGGCTCGGTTCCCACTGGGAAAAGTAGTTCTGGATGATAGAGTATGTCGACTAGAAGAGAAAGTTCTGCCTCTACCAAAGGCTTCAACTGTTCTTCTAGAAGGAGGACGATATCTTGAAGTCCCTCAATTATGCTACGATCTAATCTCATTAGTTGCTGAAAAAAGTGGAAAAACTATGTCAGACACAATGCAAGTCTGGAATTGAAAATAAATTAGTTATCAAATCTAACGTTCGCATTCTTCTTAACAGACATTTACAAACAGTCTTGCGACTTAGGACTTTAGTACTTTAGACAATTTACACAGACATTTTTGGTTTTATATGTATTCCATGAGCTCCACTATAAATTATTTTTTTCTCTTCTCCACACGTTTTTATTGGAGAGGTCAGACCTGCAGGGACAACAACCGGATTCGGGCTCGCCACTACGACCGCGGACCAAATTACGAGGCCCAGCCTGTATTTTTGAAGTGGGTGTGCATCCCTTTGACGATCCGCGGAATGCCGCATCTGATCAATGAGTGGGAGAGAGGTAAACGATAAAACGGCGGCTTGTCAAAGCCGAGTGTGCTCCTTTGACGTGCAGCATCTGAGCAAGGAGTGCGAGAGAGAGAAAGGACAAAACAGCGTATGGACCAATCCAAGTTGAGCCTTAGTCCCCGTTTACGGCCGTTCTTTCCAGGGCTCATGGTCGGAAAGCACTCCGGTGTTTTTTCGGGGCACCCGGATTCGGGCTCGCCACTACCACCGCGGACCAAATTACGAGGCCCAGCCTGTATTTTTGCGAGTGTGTGTGTCTCCCTTTGACGAGCCGCGGGTTGCCGCATCTGATCAATGAGTGGGAGAGAGACAAACGATAAAACGGCGGCTTGTCAAAGCCGAGTGTGCTCCTTTGACGTGCAGCATCTGAGCAAGGAGTGCGAGAGAGAGAAAGGACAAAACAGCGTATGGACCAATCCAAGTTGAGCCTTAGTCCCCGTTTACGGCCGTTCTTTCCAGGGCTCATGGTCGGAAAGCACTCCGGTGTTTTTTCGGGGCACCCGGATTCGGGCTCGCCACTACCACCGCGGACCAAATTACGAGGCCCAGCCTGTATTTTTGCAAGTGGGTGTGCATCCCTTTGACGATCCGCGGAATGCCGCATCTGATCAATGAGTGGGAGAGAGGTAAACGATAAAACGGCGGCTTGTCAAAGCCGAGTGTGCTCCTTTGACGTGCAGCATCTGAGCAAGGAGTGCGAGAGAGAGAAAGGACAAAACAGCGTATGGACCAATCCAAGTTGAGCCTTAGTCCCCGTTTACGGCCGTTCTTTCCAGGGCTCATGGTCGGAAAGTACTCCGGTGTTTTTTCGGGGCACACGGATTCGGGCTCGCCACTACCACCGCGGACCAAATTATGAGGCCCAGCCTGTATTTTTGCGAGTGTGTGTGTCTCCCTTTGACGAGTCGCGGGTTGCCGCATCGGATCAATGAGTGGGAGAGAGATAGACGATAAAACGGCGGCTTGTCAAAGCCGAGTGTGCTCCTTGCACGTGCCGCATCTGAGCAATGAGTGAGAGAGAGAGAAAGGACAAAACAGCGTATGGACCAATCCAAGCTGAGCCTTAGTCCCCGTTTACGGCCGTTCTTTCCAGGGCTCATGGTCGGAAAGTACTCCGGTGTTTTTTCGGGGCACCCGGATTCGGGCTCGCCACTACCACCGCGGACCAAATTACGAGGCCCAGGCTGTATTTTTGCGAGTGTGTGTGTGTCCCTTTGACGCGCCGCGGGTTGTCGCATCTCATCAATGAGTGGGAGAGAGATAGACGATAAAACGGCGGCTTGTCAAAGCCGAGTGTGCTCCTTTGACGTGCCGCATCTGAGCAATGAGTGCGAGAGAGAAAGGACAAAACAGCGTATGGACCAATCCAAGTTGAGCCTTAGTCCTTGTTTACGGCCGTTCTTTCCAGGGCTCATGGTCGGAAAGCACTCCGGTGTTATTTCGGGGCACCCGGATTCGGGTTCGCCACTACCTCCGCGGACCAAATTACGAGGCCCAGCCTGTATTTTTGCGAGTCTGTGTGTGTCCCTTTGACGCGCTGCGGGTTGTCGCATCTGATCAATGAGTGGGAGAGAGATAAACGATAAAACGGCGGCTTGTCAAAGCCGAGTGTGCTCCTTTGACGTGCCGCATCTGAGCAATGAGTGCGAGAGAGAGAAAGGGCAAAACAGCGTATGGACCAATCCAAGTTGAGCCTTAGTCCCCGTTTACGGCCGTTCTTTCCAGGGCTCATGGTCGGAAAGCACTCCGGTGTTTTTTCGGGGCACCCGGATTCGGGCTCGTCACTACCACCGGGGACCAAATTACGAGGCCCAGCCTGTATTTTTGAGTGTGTGTGTGTGTGTCCCTTTGACGAGCCGCGGGTTGCGGCATCTGATCAATGAGTGGGAGAGAGATAGACGATAAAACGGCGGCTTGTCAAAGCCAATGTGCTCCTTTGACGTGCCGCATCTGAGCAATGAGTGCGAGAGAGAGAATGGACAAAACAGCGTATGAACCAATCCAAGTTGAGCCTTAGTCCCCGTTTACGGCCGTTCTTTCCAGGGCTCATGGTCGGAAAGCACTCCGGTGTTTTTTCGGGGCACCCGGATTCGGGCTCGTCACTACCACCGGGGACCAAATTACGAGGCCCAGCCTGTATTTTTGCGAGTCTGTGTGTGTCCCTTTGACGCGCTGCGGGTTGCCGCATCTGATCAATGAGTGGGAGAGAGATAGACGATAAAACGGCGGCTTGTCAAAGCCGAGTGTGCTCCTTTGACGTGCCGCATCTGATTAATGAGTGCGAGAGAGAGGCAGGACAAAACAGCGTATGGACCAATCCAAGTTGAGCCTTAGTCCCCGTTTAAGGGCGTTCTATCCAGCGGGGCGATTATTGAAATGATATCGACTGTATGTCAGCGCTTTGTCGAGTCGCGCCATCGACTAAGCCATTGCTTAGTCGATGGCGCGACACGACAAAGCGCTGACATACAGTCGATATCATTTCAATAATCGCCCCGCAGGGCTCATGGTCGGAAAGCACTCCGGTGTTTTTTCGGGGCACCCGGATTCGGGCTCGCCACTACCACCGGGGACCAAATTACGAGGCCCTTCATCTACTCAAACACAGTTACAAATTTTCTGTGATAATTTTTTAAGTATATTGGTCATCAAAAAAGTAAGTTTCTCTACCCTGTATCTTCCGAACGAAAAGAGATGTATTGAATCGGTAAAAAGATACATACTAGGCATACTTACTCTAAGCTTTAAAACAAGTCCAAGTTTTTGAATATCGGTAAAGGGGTTCGCAAGAAAAATTAATTTTACTGAGATAACCTCCTTTCGCGGATGCCCACCTCTCGGGTCAGGATGCGTGGAGAGTAGATTATTTCAGACTCCCGTAATCGCCCCTAAACATCACATCAAAGAGGAATTTTGAAGTTTTCATTAAGTAGGTCTTACCTTCCTTTTTGACGTAGGATTCACATCATTTTTGACATTTTTGGTATCGTTACAGAAGCTTCTTGATGCCCTTCGCGTAGAAGCTCATGCCTTGGCTCCGAAACCATGTCATTGACAGCGATCTGCACTTCCAAATCAGTTTGCTTTGCTTCGGGAAATTTCCCTCAAATCCTCCATACTCTCTTAACATAGCCTTGTGTGACTTCCATCTGTTCCCAAGCGGAAAAACTTCCAAGATGAGAAGCGATTGCCAACCGATTCAGAGGTACAGATCGCAGTCAATGACTGGTTACGGAGCCAAGGCGTGAGCTTCTACACGGAGGGTATCAAAAAGCTGCTGTAATGATACCAGAAATGTCATAAAAGATGTGGAGCCTGCGTCAAAAAGGAAAGTAAGACCTACTCAATGAAAAATTTTAAATTCCTTTTTGATAAGATGTTTAGAGGCGAATACCCGAGTCTGAGATAATCGACTCTCCGTACATCCTGACCCGGGAGTCGGGCACTCTGCGACAGGAGATTGTCTCAGTGAAATTAACTTTTCTTGCGAATCCTTTTACCGATTTTCGAAAACTTGGACATGTTTTAAAGCTTAGAGTATGCCTATTATTTGTTCTTTTACCGATTTAATTTATCTCTTTTCGTTCGGAAGATACAAGCTAGGGAAACCTACTTTTTGGATGACCCTCGTATATTGTTTTGGGTTGGACAAAAATTCCTAAAAAATTTCACCTTTAAAAAGACACCTTTTAAAAATTAAAAAATAGTTTGCCGCTGTGAAATTTGCGATGTTGCGATGAAATTAGGCTCCTTAGATTTTGATTCATTCTAACAAAGATTACCTTCAGCTTTGGTCGTTTTTATTGATTTGAATTTTTAACAAAATGGATATCGGTTCGACGCACAAGTTTTTTTGACAAAAGCGTTGGTGCTTCAACCAACGTGCATTAAAATTCAATGTTGAACTGAGATTCTCATTACAGAGGAAAAAAACTCATTCAAGCGCGAAGTTCCCTCATGGAAATGCTGCTTGGTGAAACACTGGTTACGACTGGTCAAGAAGGCAACTGCAGACGCGTTCCAGGTCTGAGCTAACCCACCATCAGAGCAGCACAGCCAGCAGCCAGCAGTTTTCATTGACGATTAACGATGGTCTAAAAGGTTTAGATCAAAGAGAATCAAAAAAAGAGAAACTCACTTGAGACTGGGTTCTCTCTAATTTAGGACTTTTAACGGCTTGAATCCATTTGCTCGTCTGACGTATGAGCATGGTGGATTTACTGAACACATTTTGAACGGTGGCTTCTAACTCAGCTGGGATTGCGATCGATCGACCTTTGGCTGTAATCAGTTGAATACAAACTTTAATCCAGTGACAGAAATAGCTGCAATTTTCTTCATCTTTCAGTAAGTATTTTTCATGGACATCCTCAAAATTTTGAAACAAACTAGTACTGAGAAATTTCAAGGAGATAATTCATGAAAAAGCCACTAATTAAAGCAAATGTTTACCAAGTTTTTCACCTTTTTGGCGCATTTTTAAACAATTTTGTCTTCTTCTAGATAAAAATACGAAATAAGGTGTTACTTCAAATATTTAGATTATGATGATTTTTTAAAATAATTTTGGGGCGATTGAAATTAAAGTAGGAGAAGTTTGTCTGAGGAACATTTTCGCAAATTTAAGATCTTCAAAATTAAAAATAAGATTACAGGAAAGATAATTTCACTGATCAATACCATTAATTAAACAGCTGAGTCCTCATATATCGGATTCAGACCTTTATTCTTGCGTTGTTTAACCTCAAGATTAATTTAAAAATAGTGATTTTTCTGTGTAGTTAAAAAATCTTTCTGCACGCATTTCAGTATCATGATCCCTGGTAGGAACAGTGAAAATTATAAAAAGCTATCATTTACACATACCAACTTCAGTTAAGGAACGGATAGTATTTTCAACATTGTAATGCTGCGTAGGAGTCAACCAGGGACATTGAGAAACTTTCAAAACAGCTTGTAGAAGCTGCACAAAAACTTGCTGTCTTGTCTGTAAGATAAATAAAAACACAAACATTAAGTAGACAGAATTTCAGCGTCAAAAATGAATGATCAATTGAGATTTTCCATTGAACAAAAATGACTTGAAGAAAGAAATTAATGAAATTTGTTTTGGACAAAATTTAGCAATGCAAAAATCTTCTTCATTATCTTATTTAAAAGAAAGTATACATATGTGGTGATACCAGGTGGAGAAATGGTGCTGGGTCCACACCATTTCGTGGGGAAAACAAAGCCAAGAAGTCCCAAAAATTAAAATTAGAGTCAAAAATAATTTTTTGAACTCTAATGCACACCAGTACGAAACTGGGGAGGGAGAGTGTTCAGCTCAGGCAGTTTGCAATGGAATATTAAGTTGGAGTCACGTCGAGAGATCTATACCGGTTTGGGTCATTTTAGACCTCATCAGTAGATCACACTCGGCAGTGAACCCAACTTAACATCCCATAAAATCCAAGAGTCACTGCCACAAAATCCACTGCCGAGTGTGATCTACTGATGAGGTCTAAAAAGGCCCAAACCGGTATAGATCTCTCGACGTGACTTCAACTTAAAATTCCATTACAAACTGCCTGAGCTGAACACTCTCCCTCCTCAATTTCGTACTGGTGCGCATTAGAGTTCAAAAAATTATTTTTGACTCTAATTTTAATTTTTGGGACTTCTTGGCTTTGTTTTCCCCACGAAATGGTGTGGACCCAGTACCATTTCTCCATCTTGTTACATACAGGTTTCAGGCCACTTCTCAGGGTTTTTTTTTTTTTTTTTTCTTCATATGTGTACCTTTTTAAGTTAGGTGCTTTTTTTAAATAAACCTCTGCATTAGGTTACAAGTATTTGGTGGTGCATTTTTGGGTATTTTTTACACCAACATGTTCTTAAGAGCAAAACACTCCCATACAAGAGTTTAACGCCTCAAATGGAGTTTTTTGGCGTTGAAGTTCTCAATTTCCTGTAGACAGTCATACACGAAAAAATTACCTGAACAGTTGTACTTTGATCTGAGAATGGACTGTTGAAGAAAGTATTAATGATGGTCATAACGCTATTTGTTACGTAAGTATCGAGAACTGTGTCTCTAGTTTCCATTGGCTGAGTGACGGCAGATAGATCAGGAAGAAAACTTTTCTCAAACAACGTCCACATATGGTTTGAGGCATATATCTCCTTCATTTCTACTTCTGTGTCAATGTAACAGTGATTCAGAAAATTGATGTATGCTTCTTTGACCTGAAATTATAATTGTACGTCAGAAATTTGGATAAAGGCATAAAATGATTTCACAATAAAACATCTATCAGAAAATTTTACAGCAGCGTTAGTCACAGGGCACTTGAGATGTAAAATGCGGTGAAAATTGAAAATCCACATTAAATTTCTCATGTCACACACAAAATGAGTCACCATACAAGATATTATTTAAAACTTGATGCTATACGGTTCATCTGGAAAATTTTACAAAAAATATTCATGCAAAAGGAGGTTTGGAAATCATCCCCTTAGCCAAATATTGACATAAAAACTTCAAATTGATCAAATGAAACATGAATCATATACGTGATGTGAAGTTATCACAGAAATATCTCTGATAATTCCAAATTCTTCAAGGTTTTTCCTGCTTATTAAAAGGTACTGTATCGATGCCCAAACTGCAAAACCACACACCTCCCTTGCAGTTTTTTAAAATTTTTGCTCCTACTCTATTTTTCTAAAGAGAAACAAGCCAGCTCTTCAGCTTAAAATGTAAACAAAATAATCTGATGACAGAATAGAAAAATAAAGGAAATTTTCAAGTAATTATGCTTAATAGTTTTTCGAACAAAAATGAAGTATGATAGTAAATATGTGTATATATGTAAATATGTGTGTGTTGAAGAAGGAGAAACGTGGTTTTGACGTAGGCCATCGATATGCAACATGTGAGATTAAATTAGGAATTTGATTGATTCTGGTGAGTTAAGAAACATTGAGTCATAAATATTAAGTGTTCCAAGATCTTATGTTGTAAGATCACTGACTTTTGTTGGATACACAACAGGTTTGAACGTACCTCCGGTATACAATCAGGATGCGAGACCATTGTAACAATATCATCCAGCGGCAGCAAGCTGTGACACTTGATTTCTGTGTAGACGTTTTTCCCCATAGTACAACAGGACAGCAATTTTACTAATTCTATGTGATACCTGGATTAAAAACAAAACATAATGATGGACTTCAAACTAAAACAAGTACATGGGATGATAACACACAAAACCACTAAAACTAAATGTTTCATTGGGCAGTGGTGATTTTTTTAGGATTTCAAGGTAAGTATGCATACTTACACAGGTTTTGCTTGAAACAAACAATTTTTTTTTTTTTAGAATAATGACGGATATCTATTTTTGTAATATTAAATAATTTACTTGTGATGAGTAGAGGTACTTGGGATAAACTTCAGAGTCAAAGTTACGTAAAAATTAGAAAGAAAAAGAAGCAAGTGATTTGGTCCAACAGCATGTTGCTCCTCAACCAACTAGAAGCCTGTAAAATAACAGAACTTATGAAAAAAGAGATAACATTTAATCCCTTTGTAAAAAAAAGACCAAGTTGAGAATCTTCACAGAAGAAATGCGCATAAAACAGAGTACATCTGAAGTGCACGGTCACAGATGAAAGTTAAATAATAGCTACAGGGTTTCCATATTTTTTTCATATTCCGACACTCCCTGAAGATTCCTTCACTTTCTATTAAAAAAAATTGCTTCTTTTCTTTCTTAATTACGCTGACTTTTGCTTATCGGCGAAATCTCTACTTCCAGAGGTTTCAAATTAGGAAAAAGGCACTCAGAAGTTGTTTAAGCACTGCCTCGAATGGTGGCGGCTGAAGTTTCTAGGCTATCACAGCACTCAAGGGCACTGACTTGTTAGGTTTTACCGACCCCCAGGAACCCTGTAGCTATCAACTCGAAACGTAATCCTACACTCAAAAAGCACACACTGTTTTACAAGCCTCTCTTTCCAAGGAATTTCTACAACGGCACTACAATAGACCAAAGAATACACAAAGAAAAATTGGAGAGAAGTATGAGTTTAAACAAACCTTAAAGCACTACTTTCATCCATTCTGTGCCTTTCAGAGCGCATCATTGAGATGAACTGGCTGAAGGATGATTTATCATTGTAGAAGATCAATACATCCTCACCAGCATTTACTAGCTACAGCCGAAAAAGTCACAAAAACAACAATGACAAGACGAAAATTAAAAAATGCACAAACTCAGAGCTACAAAAAAAAAGCTTGGAGCCAATCTCACCCATCTCATATCCTTTGACTAACTTCCGTTTGGACCATATTTTGCAATTACAAACTATTATTTCCAGCTCATATTAGAAACAGCCTATGCGTCATCAGTTTCCCGAGACAGATAGGCACTTTCATGGGTGATCCAGAGATAGGAGTTCCTAATTACAATCAGTAGTAAATTTATGCTGAGTATTTCACAATATGTTTACTCTGAGCCTGGAAGGATTTGGGACAAATGAGTTCAGCTTCAACTGAAGAAAATTGTCAGACAAGCTGCCGTTGAAGTAAAATCTACAGGTTTCAACCAAGATAGAGGTGTTCAAACGAATTCGTGTTGGTAAGCAATCAATCTTGCTTGTTTCCAACTACCGATACACTCTCATAAGACCGCTGTTGTTTGCTGATGCTATCAGAACTGCACAAGCTCTAAGTCACCGGGCACATGCGTCTGGTCACTGGGCTACTTGCCCCATATATCTGACATTCGTGGCAACACCTCATTTTTGCCGGCTCTGAAAACTTCGACAACAATCAATAAGGGTCTTTTTACCGATACTATTTTTAAACCAAGCAATTTTGATAGCTAACAGAAAACGGATAGAACACCCCTAACTGAGACAGATTTTTTAAAAATTCTGACAATTGACAGGCCAGTTAAATTAACTACCTTGTACGTTCCACGGAATTTTGCATGGTATCAGATGCTCTGCGATAGAAAACTTTTGAAAGAAAAATGCAATAATTCAGGAATATGCACACGGTAGAGCACACCACGCATGTTTTTTTCAGTTTAAAGTTCACACAAAATTACAACTCGACGGCATGTCTGACACTTTCTTCTAGCAATTTTAGATCAATTCAAAACTTAAAAAGAAACCAAAAATTAGTTACAGACATCACCTTCTAAACACATGCAATAAGTTTACTCGCCAGCAAGGAGTCAAAAGTTACAAAATACACATTAATAAGAATTTTTTCTAGAATTACGTACAGCACAACTGATGCAATTAGCCTCAAAACACCATCACTCTTCGTTTTTTCGTAAAGTTAGAGAAGATGGATATAAAATTTTCTTGAACTTGAAAACTATGTCATAAGATAAGGAAGATTATCAACAGTTAATGTGGGACAGCTCAGAGATTCATAGCTTTCTTGGCTACAACTTCAAATGTTCTCAAATTTTACTGAACCTAATTTTATTTTATTTTATTTTTATTGCAATGAAACCTTTCGTTGATTTTTACTTTAGTTCCAGCGATTTCTTAAAACTTTTTTTAGGTAGTCCTCTTTTCTTCTGAAACGTTAAAAGAAACTAAACCTCACTCATTCACTTCTTTTCCACATCGGGTGCCGTCTTCTGTCTCTTTTTATGATAGGATCATAACTAAATATCAGAATCAAAGTTCAATATTACATTCATTTTTTTTAACATCAAAATTGCTTGCATCTTTCAGAAAATTATTAGGAGAGTAGACAACTTCAAGCTTCTTCTCATTTTTATTAAAAATAACCATTACGTTTTAAACAAAATACTTTCTTCCATGAGAAATACAACTTTTTCGCACCAAAAATAATTGCATGAACAAATATATATTTCTTGTAGTCAGACTATTTGGATGATGTAGTTTCTGCACAACTTTAAATTAATGTTGTTGCTTACTACTTACATATATAGTGCTCACAGTTTCTTTGTATTTGCATATAGTTAAGGTAAATCTCACAGAATCTTTGAGCTCTAGGGGCAATTAACCTAATTTTTAAGATCTGCTTTTGCCCTCAGAACTTTAAGTTTTTTGTGTTGTGATTTCATGAGCAAAACTACTTTTGATATCTATATGACCTCTACTTATTGCTCAAATAATTTACGATTTGAAAGTTCAGACGATAAATTGAGTTCAAAAAAGAGTTTGGTGACTATGAGTACAGAAAATTTATAAGAAGAAAAAAATGTACGATAGTTTCAAAGCTCTTATGAGTTAAATCAAAAAGGGATTTACAAAAAAACAATGAAACTGAGAAAGAAAGAGAGAGAAAAAAAAGATCCCTGTAAAACTCAAGATTTATATCGATAGCTTATATTAATCGCTAAACTCAAAAATTACAAGTTGCAGTTCTGGTGCTCCTTGATTCCCGCTTCTTATTTATTTACTCAGAAGGAAACTAACTAACTTCCTTGCTTGAAATTCTCCCAGCTAGTTTTTTAGATCTAGTAGAATGATCACGATCAGGGAAATTTGCAAAGAATTATGTTCATTGGTTTTCGTATGATGGGAGGTCTAAAATATCGTTAAGTGAAGGGAGAGCTATCTAAGCTAACCCATTGATGTGTAATTAATGTGTCCATCTTTAAAGTTATGGGATCTGCGAGCATGAAAAACAGCAATTCCCATTTGACCATGACTTTCCCAGGAAAATTTCTTTAACTCAGCGGAAGTTTACGTTAAGAGATTAAAATAAAACTTTCACCGCAAATCAAATAGGGCCACGACTTTGAGAAACGACACTCTTCCGCATACAATCAGTAAAACAGCCTTACCTCCTGCATGACCATGTCCTGACACCTGCGGATGAACTGATTTTCTGCTTTAACAATTGTCTGGAAGAATTTGAGGTACTGGACATGCTTTCCGTGCGTTTCGATGCAATGAACAAAATGTTGGATCACTTTTTCGTTAACCTCATTGCAGAGTGTTGAGTTATCTTGGAATATGCTGCAAACTGTCTGGGCCTCTTGGATCTGTAAAGAGAAGATATCGGGTGATGGATGTCCCAATCTCTTTGAACATGTTGAGAAATTCAGACCAAGTCTGGATTTAGTCTAAATTTCTCAACACGATCAAGGAGATAAGGACAAGAGGAAGAAACAAAGAAATGCAATCATTTGCTTAATCAAGTATACGACGTTCAAGTTGAAATGACAATCAATGAAAAAGGAGAAAGCTTGACTATGAGTGGTATTTGAACTATTTGTTTATTCCTAAGCTGTCCATTTTGTGGCTTGAAGCTATATTGGTTTGATAATTTAATAAAATGGTATAAATAAAGGAATATTCTATTGTTAAAATCATGTTATGACACTTCGACCCATTATGAGACAACCCCAGAGTTCCAATCTTTTGTACATCAAAAACTACCACAGTCTAAACCTTTTTTTCATGAAAATGCAATTATTAATAAATTGACTCACCTCAGGATTCAAGAACAAATCCAAGTGTTTGTGAAGGAGGACTTGATTCTGCTGATTGCCAAGACAAAAATTCTGGAGGAACTGGTGAGCAAGGCGCATCAATTCATTCATCCGAATGTCTTCTTTTTGATCGTACGGAACTTGAAGTAAATCCAAAACTATTGTATGTACACCTACGTTTCTAAGTAAGCGTTGCTCGTGCTTGCGCGGCTTCACTGGAGAGCCAGCAGCCGCAGGAGCAGTGCATAATTTGATCATTCGAATTAAGATCTGAAAGAGAATTGGAAGACCAATAAATAAAAGATCTTGTGATACCTCTCATTTCATAATGAGACAGTAAATATGAATAAAAAAATTCACCGTTCAAATTCAGCCTGACAAATTAACCTTAATTGTGAAGTCCTCCGATTTAAGATGTTATTCAAGGGAAACACAATATGAAATAATTTCCTTGATACAGAAAAAATTGCAGGATTTTTGAACATGTTGTAAAGAGACAGACAATTTTGATAGAAAATGTTCTTAACTTTCTGGCATGGCATAACGTTCCCTAAATTTTTCATTGTTCCTCTTACCTCAAGAGCTTGTTACACTGATTATGAATTGAACTTCATTTTGCAGTATGGAGGTACTGTTTCTGGCGCATCCATAAAAGCACCTTTGAATACGGAAACGAACAGCACATCTGCTGTTCCAAGAATGCTTTAGAAATAGTAGTTCCTTAGGGCAAAAAGTAGTCCAGTTGCAGCTGATCATCATTTCAACTTTTGCTACCTAGAACTATTTTATACACGTTTTTTGGCAACTTGTAGACATTATATTTGTCTCAGATAATTATGAATTAACTAAAAAGTTGTGCGAAACAGTAATCGTGGACCATCCACCCTCATTTCTTAGATACCTAAACTAATTATGATCTTGACTTGATCTGTTGTTTTTACTTTCTTTTGATAGTTTACTTTTTCATGGCGACTATAAAAAACAAGTTAGTTGCTTGCAGATATTAATTGGACGTCTTTATGCTAAAATGAACTATGTTACACGCAAACCTTAGGCACATAGTTCCTTTTAGCTTTTAGTTCGTTTTAGGAACTATGTGCATAAAGTTTGCGTGTAACATAGTTCCTTTTAGCATAAAGACGTCCAATTGTATGGATCAAAATGAAGATTAAATTATTAAGATTCAATTATAAGATGCACATTTTTGTGGCGTACACATCACTGGCGTTCATTCTATTACATATCGCAAAAGGAGACTGTTAAAATGAGTTGTCTTCTCGATTATATTCACTTTTTACTATTTAAACTAACCAACCATCACTTTGGTTTGTTGTTTTTCATTGTTTCCCGATGGAGGAACTTAACTTCGTTCCAAGGTTGCAGAATTGATTAAACCAATTTCGGTTTTCACGTGTATGTATCTGTCAATTTTTGTTCAAAATTCTTCTGATTTTTGCATGACACCAGCAGAAAAATCGAGGAGATTTTCAGTTAGAAATGCCCAAGATTGTCCCAAGATTGCAATTTGCCTGGTGAAATTAGGCAACATTGAAATGTAAATACATTCTTTCATGTAGAAAACGACGTATTTGAAGAGGTTGCTTTCTTGAAAGGTTGTATGGAGATTCACCTGTTGTATTTTTTTGTACTCTTCAGCCTGATCTGGATGGAGCGGTGGTCCAACATCCATGTCCACCGCTGAATTTTGTTTGCTTAGAGAAGGTTCCTTCACGACAGGCTTTGTATCCCTGACTGCCTCTTCATCGTCATCCCGCTTGCTCCGTTTTTTAGCGTGATCATCCACGGTTCGCGACTTATAAACCCACAACTCAGATTTCTCCACCGACTGTCTCAAAACATCTAAATCAGCTTTGATTTGTTTGTAGGATTCCACATCGCTATCCGAGACCAGTAGTTGTACCTTCAAAAACAAACGAAAAGTTTAATTTGTTCTTTGTTTCTCCATTGAAAATTATAAATGATATTAGCGACTGAACAAAGCAAACAGATCAGCAAAAAAAAATAAAACTGCTCATGGAAATTTTCACAGAAAGAACTGTTGCATTTGCAAAGCCTCTACTTACAATTACGCTGAGAGAGAGATTATCGATTTTGTAAAATAAAGTAAAAACACAAGCTTTGCGATTCAAAGATAAGGCAGAATAGGCTGAGGGTTTAGGGTTTAGAAAAATCTACGGCAATCAGTTTAAAGCAAATTATGCCTTGGGAAACAAGCATTCATCAATATGTAAATATCTCGGTCATATAGTGACATTGAGACAATGGCACACTTCTTGCAGAATATTTTGTCAATTGCATGGGTAATGAATATTTAATTGAGAATAAATGTATCTAATGCATTTTTTGCATTGTGCTTCTTGACGACCTATTAAAAATCATTAGTGATATTTTTCTTGAAAGCTTAACAAAGTAAAAAGGTTGATTAATAACTTGAGTTTATCTTCGAGTTCACTTAGTATACCTCATCTGACATGTTTTCATTTATCGTAAAAACATAGGTGAACTTCTTGGCAGCAAAGGCTTATGTAAAGGGAATTTATGCATGGTTTGCTTAGATAAAGAAAGCTGTTCTTCAACTTAAGAGAAGACTAAATATTGGAGGGGACTAAGTCCTTTCGCTCTGTATTTTAGAATACACAAAAGAGGAAAGAAAAAAATAACGCTAAGATTATTTTCACAAATTTCCAGCAGATGGATTTTGGAAAGAAATTTACGAGATGGACCGACAAAACACTTCAAGCATACAGATTCAGGAACTGAAGTAATGTTCCAGAAATGCGTAAAGCCAAAATTGCTGCATAAAGCAAAAATTCAATTTGCAATTGAAGCAACACAACTAGACGCAACAACAAAGCACTACATACTTGCTTGAAAGCTTGCAAAACTTCCTGCCGTTGACTGAAATGGCGGAAGAGGAGATGCAGAGCTCCTGAAACAAGAGGAGGGTAGTCGTGCATCGTTAAATGAAGCAAGACCCGCAGGAAGGTTCGACCTCCGTAGCCATCGAGATCCAGCGCGACACACTCTTCCCTACAAGAAACAAGCAAAACCGTGTAAAGCAGCTGAAATTTAGGTGAGAGGGGGGCTTGAATAAATTCATTTCCTCTCAAATTTACTTACAAAAACCTGTTGAGTGACAGAAACATTTAAAAAGCTGTTTCAATCAGTGGAAATGGAAAATTTTCTGGAATAATGAAAGGGATGATGATGAAAATACGGCTAAAAAACAAGAAAAGTACACTTAAATTAGGAATAAAATAGCTAGAATTTATAAGACTCAAAACTTTCCTTACTTTGTGTTTGTCTCGGACGACGTTTCAAAGGGTCTGCCCTCCGACAAGTCGTCTGGGACAAACATTAAGTAAGGAAATCTTTGGGTTTATTAAATTTTAACAATTTTATTCTTCACGAAAGGGATTTTACTACATACATATTTTTTGAGTACTAGGAAGTATAAAGAATACAGACAGTGAAACTCTTAAATCATGTATCTCGGTTTGTGATTTCACAGATTTCTTGTCATACTTGATTTTTTAAATAAAGGACTACTCAACGTCAATTCTTAAAAACCTCTTCGTACCTGACCCTGATTTTTCTTCTCTGTGCAAAGCAAATTCTGAAAAAACTTTAAGGTATGATGTTAATTCTCCTTTAAAAAACACCACGAATGAGTTACGTGATTTGGGAGTTTCACTGTCGATATATGAAGTCACATCAGGATACAAAATAATTATCTAGCCTTCATCAATGATGATCTCAACAATAGACAAAGTGTACACTACAAGGTTTTGTAAATCTACCTGCTTTTAAACTTGAAACACTTGACTATTTTTCAACTGAATGCATCTAGTGAATGTTGTTAAAAGATTTTTCTACAGAATCTAAGAGGTGACAACAAATGATTTGAAGGGGAATCATTTTGCCAGTTCATGAAAATTGTGGTTAAATTATGAGAACTTGATGTATCTCAACTCAGCTTGTTGGAAAGCTGTGAGAGGATTGCGAAATCTGATACACGAAAATATGTACCTGGAGAGATATAGGAGGAAAAAATATGGGTGCAGAATACTCACCTATTTCCAAAAATGCCTTCTGCTTGCGTACCTATCAGTTCAAGATCGATTGCTTTTTGGTTTATATTGAGGGTGTCAGAGGTTGTATTAGTTCGGCCTGCTTGGTCAAATTCCCTTTTAAAAATTGATAGCAAACAACTAATACGATAATCTAACCGTACATCTAAGATAAACTGAAAACAGAGAAAACGTTGAAATTCCAATGAATAAATCATTTAGAAAGAGTTGTATAATATGAAAGATTATTTAACAGTTGATGGAGTGTGAGGAATTTCAAACAAATTTTCTGGAAAAAGGGTCCATTAAACATTGAAAAGGTTCTTATGATAAGAAATTCTTTGGCAATGATTATATTCTTCTTACTCATTATTAAGCCTACATCATCTTCAAAGTGGAAACGCCTGACAAATAAATTGATTATGGTTGCTCTTCATTTGATGTTATAAAAATTAGTAACGACATTTATGAACAGCAAAAAAATTAAAGAGCCAACCACAAAACCTTGCTTGATGCCTCAAAGAATCTCAAGCAGATCAGATTTTACCAGATCTAACTTTCCAGAATTTATTTGCACTTATTGCTAACAATGTTCCATTTAGCTAAGTTTCCGTTGAACGGATCTCTTGCTAAAGCTTGGCTTTGACTACATCATGGTTAAGTTTTAAGTTATTGAATTGAACGGTATCAAACTCCTTGCTGACAAGGTGGAGAAATGGTGCTGGGTCCACACCACTTTGCGGGGAAATCAAAGCCAAGGAGTTCCAAAACTGCTCCTTGCTGATATAGATACCAAGTAGGGACGACTTGCACGGAGCCCAAGGGGCAGAGCTACAGCCGAAGTGCTGAGGTCTTATCTCCTTACTGACAAAAAGCACATAATTAACCTATGACAATAAAATACTTCAGAACTTTTCGGAACTGAACAAATAATATACATTATTTTCAAATAATATACATTATTTTCAAATAATATACATTATTTTCAAATAATATACATTATTTTCAAATAATATACATTATTTTCAGTACATGCATTTGTAAGAAATTGAGAAAAATTTGCATGGGTTGACTAAATAAGTTGACTTCATTTGACTAAAAAAGTCAATTAAAGATCTTACTTGTAAAATTTCTATGATTTTCAGTTTAGTATCCATCACGAAAGGATAAGCTTCTTTCTTAAGAGCGGTTGTGGTTGGTGTGCACGGAACAGCTGGCTCAGCTGATGCTCTACGAATTCCGCTAGTTCCTAAGGTTAATCCTGTCACAACGACACCCATATCACCAATACTCCGAAGAACTCCACCTTCAGCTACGGGAGAGATAAACATTCCATTTAAATGCAAAAAGCTGAGCAAATACACATACTTAGAGTGCAGAAAAATTTGTTTTACTAACTTCTCTCATGATCCATGAGACAGCTTTCCAGCCTGTAATTTTTTGCCGATAAATTTGATTTGAAGATTTTGAAAAGGTGACAAATAAGCATGGGTAGAAAATTGATCATTACTTCAGCATACCCTGACTTCATGGTAAGGTTTTCAGCTGGGATTCATCTTTCAAAAAAATATAACAGAGGAGCTTTAAAAATTATACAAGCCCCTAGGTTGACGCAAAATTTTCTATTCATTAGATTCCTGCCTTTGAATATTAAAATGTAAAAAAAATGATGCCATACAACTACACAATAGTAGATCTTAAACATTGAAAATTGATACGCCCACCAAACAAACTATTGAATGGATCAAATCATTATAAAGGATATATATGGGGGTATATAAGTTTGTAGAATATCATTTTAAGTATAAACAGGCAATTCAATTTATAGGATAATACTATTCATTGCATCATAAATTTTCAAGCCGGTTGCAAACGAACATTACAGAATCCCGTAACAATTTCATTTTAAAAATTCTTCCTGATGAATGAAAGTTGTCACTAAAGGCAGATTTCATTTGACCTCATTGAAAAAAACATTAAAGCAATAATTGAACTTACATTGGATCTCGCTTGTTGGAATGTAGCTTTTGCCTGAGTTGCCGTCCGAAACACAATCAAGAATACTGAGCAAAGTTTTCGTCAGACTGAGTAAGTCACTGAAGCTATAAAATCCAAAATAAATCAACTCTCTTGCCAACTTGACAACTTCAAAAGTCAATTTATTTTGTGATGGGTCGGCAAAGCTCCACATTTTAGCCACAACGTTGCACAGATATTCTTCGACAAACATTATTGTGTTGCTGAATTTGGCTCGGACTGCCTCTTTACTTAAATCTGGCATTCGAGTACTGTCATAGCTGAAGGAAAAACAAGAAATAAAGCCTGATTATTAAAGCACCAAAGACAGAAGGAAAATATAGAAGAAAATAGAAAAAACTTCATAATTTTGTCATGAAAATTTCCTGGAGCAAAATAAAAATTGATACATTCATCAGTTTGAGACCATACGTTTGCTTAAATATTTTGGAGGCTGAGAGAGGAAAAAATATGTGACATATTCCGTAACTTCTTTTTCTATGAAACAATTTCTAAAAAGCAAAATTTCCTACACCAAAAGTTAGAGAGGAAGGTTGCTTACTCTTTAATTGACATTTTCGATGGAATCTCAGACCACAACCGCGCGTATTTGACAGGCGTAACAGGTTCTTGTGGGTCTCGGTCAACATGAAGGTGCAGCATTAATCTACAAAAGGAGGCTCGTAATTCGTACGAAACATTTTCGTCTGACATGCACCTGAAAACAGTAAATAACACAAAAATTTTTGAGTGTTCAGGCAAATAAATGATCACCAACTTCAAACACTTTTATTTTGAAGGACTTCCATTTTTCCATTTTTGTGCTGCAATAAACTTGCTGTGAACTAAAATAGAAAAAGAAAGAAAGAAAAAAACCAGAGATTTGAAAGACTTTTACTGAAGGACTAAACGAGGCGTAGTAAATTTTATTAAAATTGTGAACGTGAGAATTTTTTTTTGTTCCAAGCGCAGTATCATTTTATGCTAATGGTAAGCTGAATTTTTTTATTCGTTTCAAATTTACAAGTTTACACAGACATTTATATACTGCTTCAATCTTTACACATTTGTTTTTATCATGAAATGATCAAATAAAATATTGGATCCATTGCAATTTTAAAACGCTGAACAGTTCTGTTTATTTTGCTTGAAATGATCAAATAAAATATTGGATCCATTGCAATTTTAAAACGCTGAACAGTTCTGTTCATTTTGCTAACTTTAACTGAGACTGTAAGGGGTAATTGATTGAACTGGTTTACTTCACGGGTGAAATCAGGGAATTTTTAAGAGTACAAGTGAAATTGAGGAAATCATTATGAATTAAAAATCAGGTTTGATAAGATCAATATAAATTTAAATGGCATGTATAAAAGGGACTTTGCTAATAGATCAATTAAATTACATTTTGCGATTGGGAACTACAATTTCTGGCTTAGTTGAGAAATAACGTATGTATGTTATTAGCTTCTCTATGCACCTAAGTGTTTTTATGGATGAGCCAAATATTGTGAGCCTAAATGCAAAATATAGTCCAATAAAGGACCGAGTCTATACTTTGAGAGGTTTGGGAGGTTAGGATACAGGGGGAAGGAAATGATTGACTCTTAGTTGATGTTTGGATTTCATGTAAAATGTTCTCCTTACTTGAGAATGAGCTCAATTCCTAGGTGAGGTGTTAGATTATTCAATGCCAAGTATTGCCTATTCAAACACATATTAGAGAACAGATTCAGCTGATGCCTATAGTATTCCAGGAGCGATTGTTCCGTTTCATTTCCAAGAATTGCATCACGGGATAGAGTCTCTAACGACTGTGAACACTGAAAAAGGACATAAATTTCGTGTGAAATTGTAACATCAGTATGAAAAATACAAAAACATAATGATGATGATGATGAAAGAATTAGACAAGTTAAGCTTCTCAGTATTTTGGAGCACATTTTGCGATCTGGAACTACTATTTTCGGCTCATTTTAGAGACAGCATAAATGTATGCCATTGGTTTCCCTATGCAGAAAGGTGTTTTTACAGAAGAGCCGGAGACAGTGGTTCCTCATTGCAAAATGCAATCCATTTGTGATTCCCCTTACCGAAAAAACTGTGCAACTGTGATTCTCCTCACTTGAGAATGGGCTCAATTCCTAGGTGAGGTGTTAGATTATTCAATGCCAAGTGTTGCCTATTCAATTGATTGAGAGAATTGATTGAGAGGAAAACTGTTTGTCACAATTTTTAACAGTTGAGAGATGAAATTTTGCTTGAAGCAAGAATGAGGATAACGGGCTTTTTGGCAGGGATCTAAAAGTTGGCCGATAAAGTGAATTGACTAGGTAGACTTGCTGGGAAATAGAGTTTAATTTGATACTTACTTTTCTATTATTCCAAAGTAGAATGACTTCTTCTCTAGACTGGATTATTGAGACTGTTACTGGATTTCTGCTCCACTCTTCGACATTGTTTTCCTTCTTTACTTCTTCTTCAATTTTCATCATCCTGGCAAAAATTTTAAAAAAAAGTTAGTAATGCAGTTGAAAAACATTATCCAAAATGATAATAATTTTCAGAACAAATTTGGATTAACTGTCAAAATTTCTGAGTCCAGATGCGCACAAATGACTCCATGAATGGATACTTCAGAGAACGTCATCCATGGCAGTTATCAGTTTCTGCTATGTGTCAATGGTATCCTGCCATTATTTGTTGCTTAAAAATTTTTAAAAAAAAAAAAACCCAGAGGAGTAGAGAGAGAGAAAAAAAATCTGAAAATTAAAAAAAAATAATGAATCTCTTATCCTTATGTCGAGGAATCTTATAGGTATTTCCAGGTTTGTAAACTTTGTTTTTTCTTTATAGAACTGGACTTTTTCATTTAAAATTTAAAGTGAAAAATTCTCTCGAGATTAAAAATGATATAATTTTAAGTTGTCTTCCAGCATTTTAAATTGGAAAAGATTGTCTCTGTCTATCATGATTTTTTAAATTTTTTATCACAATTTTAATACAATGCCCGAATGTTAGAGGACAATTGTCAAGCGAACCTAAAACTTGTTTTTTCATAATGAAACTTTAAAGAAATATTTGACCGTGCATACCTGGTTTCAATTAAGATATCAGAATTTTTGGCACTTAGAACACTTTTGCATATCAGCTCCTGCGTTATTGCAATGGCTTTTTTATTGGATATGCACAAGTCTGAGAGATAGTCCAGGAATCTTGATTCCCAGTTGTGCATATTTTTCCGAACCAGTCCGACAAATGTTTCAATTTCAGCAGCAGTAATATGCTTCTCCAGCAGTTTACGATTGTTATGCAGCAGTGCAGTGATAGTGTCCTCGGCCAAAATATCATATCCTATCTGCTTTTGCATGAATCCAAAATGTTTTGCTATGTATTCCTGTCAGAATAAAAAAGAGAAGATATGATTTCATGAGATACAAATAGGGGCAGAATTGCAGTGTTGAACATGATAATGAAGAGGGACGGATTAAAATGTATTTACAAGCCTAGGGACCATAAAAAGATTGACAAAGTATGGAAAGATACACTTTTCAACAGGACCAGGGTGTCTACTAAAACAGGCTGGCCGAAAATCAGTACTTTTACAGTACTTTTTCAGTACATTCCCGAGAAATTCGGTACCTCCTCAACACGAAAATTCAGTACTTTTTCAGTACCTCCATTTGATGAAATTCGAAAAATGTCAAAAAGTTGAATTTTTTGCTCAAACTGCGACAAAAATTACAAAAAAATGAGTAAAATTCCGGACCTTCTGGCGGAATTTCCGCACTTTATCAGTACTTCCGTACCGCCCTACAAAAATCAGTGCTATATCCGGACTTGTAGACACCCTGAGGACAAAAAACACTTCAAATTTTTAGGTAAAAGTATTATCATAAATACTTCAGAAAGTAAAAATGAGGCAAACTTATAAAATTTTTTTTATAAAAAAGAACTTGCCAGGGCATAAAACTTAATGAAAGTACGTACCTGGTTTTTTCTGTAATCTTGCTGACTCAATCGTAAAATACGGTAACAGAGGCGAAACATGTACTTGTAAGGAGCATGTTTCGGATCATTCAACTCTTCGATTCGCAAAAACGGTCCACCACCTTCATTTGTTTCTAGGAACGGGGCTTGAAGAATTTTAAACAGCTGTTTTAGAATATATTGCTCTCTGAGTAATTTTTGCCGATCTCTATTGTAGACAAACAAAAAACAGTACATGTCAAAGGAAAGCAAAACTGCACAATGAAAATTTGTGACATTGTTCTAAGATGATGATGTTTCAAAAGTTTTGAGGCAATTTTTTTTTACTTCTATGTTTGTTGTGCTTTAAATTTGACTGTGGCATTTTTTTATTCAACCCAAGCGTTTACCTAACAGAGAAAACTAAGAACACTTTTTAAAAGAACTTCACAAGAATAATGTCTTAAATATCAGTATTTTTAAAAAAAGACTCATCTGCACAATTACTACTTATGCATTTTCCCTTGAAACGAGTTCAACGAGAAAGTAACTGTGCGAATGAGTCTTTTTTGTGAGTAGAACCGCCCGTCAATCCGCTTGGGATTTAATATTCTCAATTCAATTTTATAAACTAATATTATTGCATCATTTAACTAAATCCTTTGTTAACTTACTAAAATTGATTAATGTTTCTAACTTCAAAGGTCGATGTTTATAAGCTCAAATTAACAAAATATACGTAGTTGCTAGTTAGTTGACTCAGAAAACTGAGTCGAAAAAATTTAATGAATCGCTCAAAACTTTACAAAAATAAACCAACAAGTTTGAACATAAAACAGGATTTCACTTGAAAAGACAAACTTTATATAATTTCTTTTGTATATAAAACTGAAATAACTAGGTGGATGAGAGTATACTGACTAAAAAATACGAAAAAATAGCCCAAATAATTCAACAAAAAACAAACACAAGCAAATGGATAAACAAGGCTGACTCTACAGACACATGCAAGTGGGGTTGAGACCACCCTCAAAAAGTGCCATGCATTTTAGATGTATTTTTGCCTTGTTCACCTATTTCCTTGTGTTTTTTGTTTCTCTTTTGTACCAAAAAATTAGTAAGACTATCTATGATCTAAGTGAAAACTACAGGACAGTACTTTTAGAGGGGAACAACAACATAAATAATCTACTTTGATACAATACTGCTCTTACCGGATGGGATTTGTTACTATCAAATCTAGGGCTTCAGATTTATTTTGCTCATTTTCTAGACCAGCAATGAAGTAAACTATATCCTGCAGCAAACTGGTGACAGCTCTGGAATCAACAGAAATAAAATTGAATGGTAGACATAAAAAAATTAGGAGGAACTTAATTAATTGTATAAGAAATTCCATACAATTTACGGCCAGATACTAAAAGATCATTAAGCAAATTAAGACAGTATTTCACATTTAGTAAAATACAATTCTAGAGTTCTTGCAACAGAGCCACATCAAAATCAAAACAATGGCTTTGCGCCTTGAAAATTAACAATGTTTATAGTCTTCAAATTTGATTCTGTCAGTTTGTGATCTAGACATATTTCTTATTTACCTCCTTTCATTATGGGATATTGTGCCAGACTCTAGTTTTGACGAATTAGCGGCTAACACTTTGCAAGCATCATTTGCGAAATCTAGATCTCTGACTTCTGTTGGTGATACTGATATAAGCGCAAAAGCCTCCTTGTCTTCCTTAACGCTCGCACAGCCAACCTGGAAAATAAAATCAGTTCTGATAAGTGAGACTGAAATGAAAATTGAAGTGAAAATTTGGTATTTGTGCAAGAGGAAAAGTATTCAAAACTACATCTTTTCAAAGAATTGTTCATAATACAGCAACAACTAATGGCAGCGATTCTTTACTTTGAAGAGGACTTGTAAGAAAATCGAAATACCTTTGACATGACAGGTTTCTCTTCATCTTTGTCAATAGGAATAGATGTGCTGTGAACCCAAGTGTTTGTGCATAGATGATGGAGACGAACATAAGATGACTGCGGGACTAGTGAATCCCCACGGGTGAGAGTCGTTGGATCCAACTCGAACAATGATGAGATTTCGTTCGAATGTGGAACAGACACCAGATGGTACATAGAATGCAACTCTGAAAAATGATACATCAAAATGATTTAATTGCTAAAATGCTTAAAGTTAATGTTGGAAATTGACAAAATTTTTGTACACAAAATTTTACTGAAATACCTTCTGGCCAAAATTTAAAGAGAACCCGCTTCTTGAAAGTTGAGAATCTGGATTGGTGTAAATGAGGGTTGGAAATACCGATTTTGTCATCTCTCGTACAAAGGAATTTATCTCGATTGGGCATTTTAAGTTTTCTTTCCTTAAATTTTATTTGTTTATACAAAAACTGTCACATGAATTCCTCTGAAATTTCTTGTCATTTTTTTTCATCCATGAGAGAATAGACTCGGAAATTTCCAGATTCATTCACAAGATGGTTCTCCCATGAAGAAAGAAAAGTTTGTAGAAATACTGGAACAGCGCCAACAAGATATGTTCCATCGAGCAGGAAACGATGATTTCAAGGAGCGGTTACTGAAAAACAAGTATAGAGCAGCAGTAGCTATGCCAAACGACAGAGATTATTACTTTCCACTTCGTTAACGAAACTTACAAAAAGAAACTGAAAAATAATGCTCCATTGCTTCCATTTACCAGAAAAATACAAGGTAACGAATTTTCAGTCAGAGTTGGTAAATCATTTGACATGGTTAATTCAAATCCATCCATTTTTCACAGATGCTCTTGGATGTAAATGCTAATGAAGAGCTTTTAGTCAGTTGTTATATTTAAATATTTTAATTTCATTACAAATACTTACTGCTTCTTTTTTGATCGATGTCTCTGTTGTCATCATCTATTTCAGCGGCTAGATAGTGGCCAGTGGCTAAATGCTTAAACCTAAACAAACAATTCCAGTGCCCGGCACCTCCTCTACATGGATCGTGTTGAACTACCTGTGAAAGTTAGATCAGAAATGGCGCAGGTAAATCAACGGCTGAGGAGCAAAACAAGGTATCCCTGTTTGTGACGTAGCTTTCCTGTCACGTTTCTTTTTTTCTTTGGAAAACTAGTCAACGCAATTTTTTATAACCTTCCTTGATTTTTCTTTGCTAGGTATCAGCAGAATATTTTTCATGAGTTTCAAGCCATGAAGTCGGCTTGTTACATTTCGCAAAAATAAACTAGAATTGGAAATCTGGAATAAATGTGAATTTTTAAAATTGATGAGAATATGATGGGTTGATAAATCTACCTGAACATCTACCTGGTTGATTTATGTTACTTTTAATACGTTACCTCAACCTCCCAGAGGGCCTTGCTACTGGTGGCAGCCGTAGCAGATGTGCGTCCAGTTGTGCGCAAAAATACATGTTGCTTTTTCTTATATTCGTCCATTGTGAGAAATTTTTCTTGTTCCGCATGAAAAAGACGAACAACATCACAGCCTTTCAGAATTTCCTCTTGATTTTCTTTGTGCTCCATGAAGAGAGTTACTTTCCAAGAGGTTGATGAGTTGACAGCATTGACCTAAAATGAAGGAGAGAATACCTGTAATTAAGAAACTGCTAAAAAACCAACCACGCTGTTTCCAGAGCCTGTAAAAGGTGTAAATTATTCAGGAGTCCCATTGCGGCTACGCAATCCTACAAATGATGTTCTGTGCCTTCATAGGGCCAGTTTGCAGCAATAAAAAATCAGCTTTTGATTCTGTGTAATTTTACTTCACAACCCAAGAAGATAAAGAATAAAAACAAATAAGCCAAAACTTTAAAACACTGATGTCTTGGTAACATTATTTGTCATTCAAGGCTCCAGCTCTTGAAACTCCGCTAGATTTTCCAGTAGGAGGCTTTTCCTGTATAAATTTGTAAAAATAAAAAAATTATCTTTCATCAAATGTTCCAATTGCTGTATTCTTTTAGACAAAAACTGATCAACAGTTGTTCTTGACATTTTCTGTGAATTTTTTTCACTCATTGTAAAATATTTACACAAAAGGTGAGGGAGATATTTTGGTTAGAGTCCACGCCAAATAAGTTTACGCACTTTTAGACTGCATAGAAGATGGTCTGACGTCACTTTGAATGTGACGTAACGCAAGTGGAGGAGGCAAGATGGGGGATCTTCTTTCGCAGTCTAAAAGTGCCTAAACTTAGTTAGCACGGCAACCCAACTTAGTTCCTATATTAAAAAAAACATTATTGGCGATTTACAAATGCTATGATGAAAATACATATGTTTTTACTTCAGCCATTGAAATACTCAAATAAAATCACATACCTCTTTGCAACCCAAGTTGTCTGGTAATTCATAGTTGGCAGCTACATGTAGGACCTGCTGTCCTGTATTAACTGGGTTCATGATGACTTTGTCGCCCAAAACCACATTATCCCCCACCGACCGTAATTTGTAGAATGGCATGATGTAGAACCAAGAGCCCTCATTACCATTGGCATCCAAGTAGACACGCATTGCATTTTTCTCTAGAAGAGCCGGCAACCGCTTGTTGACAGTAAGGTATTTGTTTGATTTTAAATGGAGAAGCTGAAATAATTGAAAAGATGACTTATTAATTAGACTACTTTCTGTACACACATCTAGTACAAAAATGTTCATGATACTCTCTTATTTCATGCTCAGATTTAGAGATTGAACTTCTGAGAATTTAACAGCAGACAAATGTGACAAATGCATGCTGTGGTTAAATCAGGGTTTCATTTACTACATTGAAATAATTGAAATATTTCACATTAATTGTTTTGGAGAAAACAGATATATTACACAGAGCCCAGGCCTCATACCTCATAAATATTTTGAAAAATGGGATGACTAAAAAACAGGAGTGCTAACGCTGGTTTGATCCTTTATTGTTTGTGGTATCTTCAAGTTAACTTGTTTTCAATTGAAACAAATAATAATTTATTGTCTTTTAAGGATGATAAAAGAGAACTGAAGAAAGAGCCTTTCCGAAATTCATTGAGGTGAGTAGAAAATAAATTTTACTGTTTAAATCAACAGAGCAAACTGTAGTTTTAAAGAGATTTTCTCTTTAATTTTTCTCTTTGATCTTTTGCCCTTTAATTTTTCATGTTCTCTCTTCATTACAAGACTGCATAAATGAACACTTGCTCAAAAAGTAGACTTACTTGAATAACACTGCCATATTGGACGATCATCCCAAACAATTTTTTGTTTTCGGATTCATTCTGTTTCTTTTCAATCTCAGCAGCATGCTGTGAATACAAACCAGAGTTGAATTAATGGATAAACACACACAATAAATATAAAATGAGCAATAAATAAAATTAAAAGAAAAATGATTCAATTGCTGAATTCTATTTGATTTCAATTTACTACTCATAGAAAAAGCATTGGAGATGGTTACATATTGATATTGAATTATGATCAAGAACGTCAAAACAAGCTCAAAGTTATTTGTCAATTATGCAGCATTTTTGGGCGTGGATGGTAAAAGTAAAAAAAACAACAAAATTGAAACTTCTTAAAATATTCGCTGCTTTTTTTAAATTGTTTTTTCACAGGAAAGCAAGAACACTTCAATGTTTTAAATTTTTAAACCATACTTGATAGGATGAGAAAAAATGAAACAGAAATCCAAAATATTATGTTCATTGGTTTTCTTTAGAAAAAATAAAAAAAGGACAGAGAAACTGCGACGTTGTGTATTGAGATGCATATTACAGGATTTCATCAATGTCAGATTTCAAACGAAAATTTAAGGGCACGCAGTTCCTCCTAAGAGCTATAGTAGGCATTGCAGCAGATTAAAATGCCTGCCCTTTTTGACAAGCTTTAATGTGAACAGTGTTTGTAACTCGGCATGAGGTCATTGCAGCCATCTGTCCAGCAACTTTTTTTCTTAGGGGCCAAATTGAAAAATTGCCCTTTCAAAATGCCTGAAGACAGGAATACCCCATTGAATCGCACAATACCATAATGTTTGGACAAGACCCGATGTTTTACGAAACTTGACGAAGATAGACAGGAAGAATTGATAACATGACACAACATGGCACCTTGCAGAATGCGCCAAAAAATCCCGAAAAAAGAGTTTAACAACGATTTTCTTAGTGGCCAAGCTTGGGCGCTGGTTTCATTTCTTAGCAGCCAAAGGCAATTTCTTACCAGCAAATTGCAGTTTGGCCGGCGTGTGTCACAATCACTGAATGTGAAGCAAAAAACCAAAGATATTGACTGGATAGAATATTACTACTAGGTATTGTTAAACTACTTACATGTAATCTTTTCAGGAGTACAGCATCGGTGGTGGAGCTGGCACTTTGTTTCGCTGCTTTCCAGAACTGCTTCTGGGCAGAGTACCGGTTCATGGGACATATTTTGAACAGACAATCTGAAAAGTTTATTATTCACATTTCAGGCTGTTGAACTACAGAAGGTAAGTACCGCTACAGAATGTTAGTGACAAAATCTTCTGTTTGGAGAAAATTCTGTGAAAATTTTAAGCGATGGCTGGTTTCTACTTGTATGAGAGAGGGAGGGGAAAAAAATCAAACAAAAATGAAAATTTTTGGTTTTTGACTTCAACCATCAAAATTTCAAAAATAAAGTAAGTAAATCTCATTCAGATCTGAAAATCATTCTTGATAAGGTTCCATTTCAACTTGACAGTGTTGATTTTTGTGATGGATAACAGATCTATTTAAGCCAACACATCTCATTCTTCTGAAATTTATTTTCCCTAGAAACCTACAGCTTTGCCATTCTGAAATCATCAGGATTTTTAGAATCCAACCCTAAATGGGTAAAGAGTCTACACTAGGAAAAATAACTCTGAGAATTTTACCTCTGAATTTCTTGGGCGGATTGTTCAAGTCTCCTGCTTCGGGACATACTACAGTACGGTCATCAACCAAACTAGACAAAAACAGAAGCGACATTCAATAGAAATGTTAGCAGAGGAGCATATGGACGGTGCAAGTTGGCAATCACATAACTCGATTTGCGATGTCGCAGACTTCCTATCATACTTTATATTTTAAACGGAAAACTACTCAACGGCTTTTCTTTAAAATTGCAGTGATTTTTCTTCTCTATGCGAAGAAAATTCTGCAAAAATTTCAAGGAAGAATGTCAATTGGTTCTCCTTTAGAAAAATAACACAGAGGCGGAGATTTTCAGACACCGCAAACGAGTTATGTGATTGCCGACTTGCACCGTCGATATGGGCTTTAAGGTTTGAAATTGAAGAAAGGTTTCAAAATTAAATCCAAAGATTAAAATTGGGTTGGTTAGCCTTGATTTTTAATAGTATCAATTGGAAGTAGTGCTTGGTAATTATCAATGCTTTGATGCCAGTGTCAATTCTGAGATCAATGCATCTTCTTCAATACTTTTGTTGATACCTGGTATCAATACTTACTTACTTACCCTAGTATCGACAGACCTTATAATAGTTGAAGTGATGTTTACACATCATGACTTCAAAGAAAATACAGCTCAGACAACATTAGCATAGTGAACTTTCTGACAAAAGAACAATGATATCTTACCCTAGAGTGCTAAGAAATCCGCAGACACTCCCTTCCGCGAAGAGCGACACAATATCGCCCAGATGAAGAAAACTGGCAGATCCAATCATTTCATTCATTTTCTATCCTCGGCCAAAATTTAAGAAGGATCAAATGGAGTCAGTGACCTGTAACGTAAAAATAACTTTGACTAAGAGTTCCTGACACTGCGAAGAATTGGAATAGAATTCTGAGTGCACGAACTTAACCCAGAGGCTCATCGGAAAACATGAATAAACGTTTTAGCTTTGCAATGCGAATATAAACATTAAAAGTTGGTGCGCATTCCTGACAGCTGATAACACATTAAAATTGACTAGAGACGATTGCTGGCAAACATGTTAAAGTAAACAAGAGTTGATAAATTATTTACCAAACCAGCGAACTGAAAAAACCAGATGAGTGGTAACTGTTTGTTTATCTGCCATAGTTCTTTATCACATCGAGGAGGTTCTTTTCTTAGATTGTCCGGGGACACCCTTAATTCAACAAAATCTGACTTCACTGGAAGAATAGAACACTGAATGGCAAAATGTTAAATTTATAAACGACGCTATTGACATCATTTTTGACACAGCTAAAAAATTTCTTATTCTTCAACAAATTGACCTTGTTTTGAAACCCCTTACCAGCTTGAGCACGGACTATGAGGCACCATTACGCTTATCAGTAGTTGATTTTCACACGAAAAAAATGACTGGGGGTGAAGAATCTTACACTGCTGATGTAACTAAAGAAAATTTGTGAAAAACAGCATTTTTTATGGGGATAAAACCTGTAAATGCACCCCGTTATTGCACTTTCACATTCACTTTTCGAGTCGTGTGTTGCAGTTGCTGGTCGAGTGTTTATCAAAAATGATCTCAAGGACGTCATTCGATTCTTCGTCTCCAGCTGATCAAACACTTTCTTTCGAAATTTATGAGCGTGAAAATTTGGTTTTTCGGCTCGTATAGGGCAGTTTACGAGTGTTTTGCAGTTTCGTTTAAATTTACCCGTGGTGGGAATTAATTTTGTGCAGAATTTCCGCCCCTCCCTAGTCATACGCGTGGAAATCGCACTTCGATTTCGATTTGTAATCTGAGCATGATAAAATGAGGTTAGAAAATTTGTGATAAGTGCTTTTTAGCGGTCTCCAACTACAGTCCGAAATTATGAGGTAAAAATTCCTCTCGGGACCTACAGACGATTCAGTACAGACCTACATGCCCTGGAGTCCAAGTTACCACCAATAAGGTTCGAAATAAGTCTATGTGGAGATACTAGTTCCACAAATGCGAAAAATAGAGCCCTGTGCAAGCTTTGTTCCACTCCACCAGGCCCAAAAGGTCTCTCATAATAAGAATTTTTGCCACGGCTTTCTTTAAAGCCCATATTTTATATCACAAGGATTTTTGGTTATGTGACTTTTTTGTAATGCACTAAGAGTAAATTTTACGTCCTCTTTAAATGGTTCCATGACATTTTCCTCAAAAGTCGACGGTTTAAAAGAAAAATGAGAAAAAAGGTCACTGATCATAAGAAGTTTTACCTCGGCCGTTTTCAAATTCCTTATTTTCGGCCTCAGATATTACTTTTTCGAAAATTTTGTGTAATGATCTGATAGAAAATTGTATTGTCTTTCACCAACGTTCTCAGACATTTTCCCCTAAAATTGACAGTTTTAAGGGAAAATTAGAAAAAAGGGTCACTGATCGTAAGAATTTTTGCCGCGGCTTTTTTAAAAACCCATTTTTCGGTCACAGGATTTTTTTTTTCACAAATTTTTTGATGACAACGAATAGGAAATTTTGCGCTCTTTCAAATGACTCTGGTTTATTCTCGTTTAAGTCGAACAATTGTGGAGTTACAAGCGATAAATTAACGCGAAACACGCGTTCCCCCATAAGGCAGCAGCAGCGTAGTGGAGCTCCGAAACCCGGTCAACCCCCCCCCCCCCCCCCCCCCCACCTGGAAGCACACCAACCTCCAAGTTTTAGGGGCTCNTCGGTCCATCGTGGAGCGACCGAGACGAGAAAACGGTGGCCGCCAGGGTTGCAATTTTTCATGAAAAATAAAATCTTGAAATTTCACGTCAAATATTTCATGAAATTTCAGAAAAATATGAAAAGTTGTGAAAAATTAGATTTTAATGAAGTATTTTCGTCCCCAATATTGAGTAACTGGTAATGTAAAACAAAATGCCACTGCTTACTTCTCAAAGTCGCATTCCAGCCAACTTTATTAAAAATATCATAAAACTTACAAATTAATAACTGTTTTTTCATTGATTGCTTAGGTACTCAAATGAATTGAAAATTCAAACAGGTATGTAGATAGATAGGCCATACATAATTATACATATAATTGTAATTCAAGAAAATTCTTGCGGGGGGGGGGGGGCATTCGAGGGCCGAGGGTAGAGAACAACTTCCACAAAAGGGAGAAGGAAATTTTTTAGAAAATTGGGGGAATATAAATTTTTTTGGACCTTATGTGATTCCTGATGAGATTAATATTGTTAGATTTTATTTTTATATGTATGTGGATGTTGCAAGATTCTGGGAACAGAATCCTTCCCAATGGCACCCTTCAACGATACTAGTGTTTTTTTCATGACATTTCCCGCAAGAACCTTTCATTTTAAGACAAAAAAGACTGGCCCGGTGCTCTTTCCCCCAAAGAAGCTAAGATTTTTTCTTGTCATTTTTCAGATTTCCAATTAGAGCAAAGACAGGAACTACCTATATATTTTTGCTGGAATTATATGTTTGCTAAGTAAGTAAAAGTATTGATATCAATATTAGCTGTCGATTTGCGGCGAGAAAGTCCGATTTCTCATATTTTTCACAGGTTTGTGAAATTTCATGAAATCTTTCACTGAAATTTCCAATCTCTCATATTTTTCATTTCACGCTTACGCCAGGTGCGGGCGGAGCGTGCATGCCGTACGAGCCGCGAGGAGAAGTCTGAGCAGGAGAAATTCTACGTGAGCTTCCCCGACATCTCACTATCGATTAATCGATTATCTATCGATTTCCGATTTATCGCCAAAGCGATAAATCCTGCTTCCGCAGATGGAGGTCTCAAAATTCGACTATCCGCTTCCTGCTTGCACAGAAAATGGTCGGGACCTGTTTGAGAGTTTTCGGGCTGGCCGGAGGAATCACCCGAGGCCACCGACGCAGGCAGCCCGCTGAGCTCGCCCCGTCCATCACCCCTCGCTCTCATCATCCAGTTTCGGTACCTCGGTAGCCGGTGCCGGCTTTTCGCTTCGCATCACAAGATTTTCTCTCACCCCGCGCCGCATGCCGCGCCCGATAATTATTTGCGGTCTTCTACTCTGTATTGTGTCTCACATTCTTGGCCATCATTTATTAATTGTTTCGAAATATTTAAGGGTTTTTTGGTTCAAACGGCGTTCTTCCCTAGCACGGCAGGTATTACTTAGCACATTTTCCTACCTATTTAATCAAATCAGTGAGAGTTACTTTCCTCCTCTTGAATGTTGTAATTTATAGCTTGAGCACTTACTCCACTCAGTGTCTACTTGCAGTATTTTATAGTTATCCAGATTTTCTACCTCTTACGGCATTTCGGTTGGGTCCTATCCAATAAACCTTGAAATTGTTTCCAGATATGGAGCATGATCAAAGTGCGTGAAAACAAGAAAATTTAAAAACTCTTTTTATTTTCTTTTAGAGGCATAAGAAAAGTTCAGCAGATTTTTTAAAAAAATGTCAGTGTTTATTAAAAATAAACTTGCATATCACAGGAGAACCAAGCTTCACAATAACCCTGATCATAGCTAAGACGTGTTTAGGTATTTCAGACAACATTTTTATACATACTCGTTAGGGAAGAGGTAAAAATGGAATAGCATTAACTTGACATTCGAACGTCAAAGTATAGGTATTTGGGGGGGGGGGGGGTATCAGAGAGGCATAATGCGTCCTCATAATGTACTATTTAAAAGTCTCCCTAATTGCTGAAGATCTAAGCAACAATATTACTTACTTTGGAATACCAAGCAGAAACGTTACATACGAACTGAACAGAGGAGGGAAAGGGGAATTTCTCAGAGGTCTCACCTATCTTCAATCCATGATCACGACAAAACCAGTATCCAATAGGTATTTTTGTACCTACCGACGAACACTTTAATTTGCGCTCACATCAACAGGTTGAATTATTAAACTAATTCCTCACAACAAATAGAAATTATAACACTGCCAGGTTTCAAATAAAAGGCATACTTCTGGTTGATAAGTGTCCACATAAACTACCACTGCGTGTGAGATGTTCCAGCTTTAATTTCATGGAAGTAGGAGCCGCGTATGGGAACCAAGGGAACGCGTACGGGAAGGCGTAGGTACCGAAGAAAGGAGTGTCAGTGTAGTGTTGAACTCAGCGAAGGGTTATCGGCCTTGTCTCCACGGGACGTTTTCATTGGATTTGTCCCAAAGTTCGAATCGTAGGAATGAAACTTCTGGGATTTTTCTCAGTTACCGTCTCCACGGGACGAGGCTCATACGGTCCTGCGACTAGTTGGCGCGGGAAGATAAATTATAGATAGGTAAAGTCGAGTATTTAACCGTCATTAAAATAATAAGTGCACTCAATTGACAATTAGACACATATTTTAACTAAACAAACAGGAACAATGGAGTAGGTATTCAACAAAATATCGCACAATCCGTTTACACTTCTTCTTTCTCTCTCGGTGGGTCCTAGGTAGGGCTGTTCTATCGGTTGTCGGTAAGCTACCGAAACTGTTCCGTTAAGAAAAAGTTACGATAAGAGCGCTCTTGCCGATAGCGATCAGAGTTTTCGGAGCTGGCGAAAATAAGCTGTTGCCATGTGTACATCTATTTCATGCGCCGGCCGCCGCGCCAGGCAATCTGATAAACCGACACAAGGGGCAACAATGCATTGAGTGCGAGCTCTCAAAAATCCGATAAGGCCGGCTGTTGTCGATATCATCGCCACTGTCGGTACTGCCGCCAGTTTCAATAAGAGACGATATCGAAAGAGTTCCGGCAAGAATTCGTTTGAACACCCCTAGTCCTAGGAGTAAAAGGACCATACTTGGTATTGGGAAAAATATTGATAAACTCAATATTTTTCCCAACTTCGTAAGTGGGATTTTTCCCTGGGACTTTCGTGAAAAGGCCCGTGGAGACAAGACCGAACGCAGAAGAAAAACGGGGTAAAAAAAATACTAATGCGTGATCAATTTTCAAGGACAATTCTGTAATTTCTCCTACAATTTTAAATAGATTAAAACGCGTAATATCCGAAATCTAAGCTCAGATTCGGATTCCTCGTGAAAAATCGATGCGATTTCATGTATCATATGTTAGCATAACATGAAGGATAGAGGTTTAACGACGCGTTTAAATCAAGACCAATCCGTCCTACTACCCCTTCGAACTACGCCACCGCGCCGGTCGCCCGAGATGCAACCGAACGGGGAGACGCCGGCCAAGCGTTCGGTTTCGTCCCGAGGCATTCCTGAGCACTACCCATGTTGCCACGTTGCATTCATATGCTCGAATCAGTATGCCTACGTTACGTGTCTTTCCTTCACGCTATGCTCGGGTATGATACATGAAATTGCATCGATTTTCAACGAGCTCGTTCCTACGAATCCGAATCTGAGCTTCGATTTTGGGTATCACGCGTTTTAAGTCACATGTTCCAAATTCGAAAATCCGAAATGACGGGCGTGGCTTAAAATGCTATCTCGGCTCCTGTTCGATGGATTTTTCTGAAATTCGGTGTCAAGGTATGATACATGAAATCGCATCGATTTTTTACGAGGAATCCGAATATGAGCTTCGATTTTGAGTATCACGCGTTTTAAATCAAAATCTGTCAAAATTCAAAAAATTCAAAAGTCGATAATCCGGAATGACTGAAGTGGCTTTAAAATGCTATCTCGGCATGAGGAGCGCTGAGTCATAATGTGTTTTTATTCCTGTGCTTAAATCGATTGATAACATTTTTAATAATGGACGCAAGAAATAGCTGACCAGGAAACTTAATTAATCGTAAAGTGTGAGTACTTTCGTTTTAATTTTTGATAGTTTCCTTTGAAATTTTAAGTTTGAATGCTGCCATGACCAGGGATTGATAGTACGTAAAAATGCATTCAAAGGCGCAATGACCGAGTTTCATTATCTGAGCCCTGGTTCACCATTTTTGTGTATTGTAATATGCTACCTATTAATACAATGGCCATTGATAATGAATGAGATATTTGTTATTTGTTGAATTCACGGTCTGCATGCTACTTCTATGCACACACTGGGTCTGGCCCTCAAACTGCCCATGTTTTGGAGGGAAAATTTTCCATGTTTCGTACAGCCTTCTTTTGCTTCTCAGCCAATTTTTTCAGCAGTTTTTGTTTCGTTTGTGTGAACAAAAGTAGGGTCAAAAATGAATTCTACGAACAAAAATCCCCAAGGATACAGAGTTTTAACACGAAACGCCCACATGAACGAGTAAAATTTATCTTTGAGTGACTATTTATATTTCTACGGAAAGTTTGAAAGAACGCGTAAAATTGTGTATTTGCGTCATTTTATTGAAAAAAGTAAGGTCAAAAATGTATTCTACGATCAAAATAACCTAGGGGTGCTTTAGTTTAGCACGGTATCCCCAGGAACGAGTCTGCCGCAGCCGCGGTACGGGACGGGGCTCAGTTCAAAGCGGCACCACCAGAGTGCGCTCCGCGCATCTTCCTCACTTGCATCAATTAAATAATTTATTTAAATTATTTAATTGAGATTCTTGCTGTATCATGACTTTAGATCTTCAGTTCAACCTAAAGGCTAAGCGCACCCTCAAAAACCCTAGCGCATTAGCGGGTGTTTTATGTCATTTTCGTATTGTCAGTCCGGTCCCTCCGGGGAAGGTGCCCAAGTTGAGCACCGCTGGCCTCGGGTGATTCTTCCATCGTAGCCGCTGGGCATCAATTCAGCTCCGACCGTTTTCTGTGCAAACGGTGAACGAGTAATCGAATCACGGGGTCTCCGTTCACGATGCACGTTTCTCTCGATTCTGCGATAAACCGATAATCGACAATATATCGATTAGTCGATAGCGTCTGGGAGATCACGTTGGATGACTTCTGAGTTGCGGGTGCCTCTCGAATCCGCTGCCTTCAGCTGCCGCCCGAGCCTCCCCCCTCCCTCGCGGAGCCCGCGTGGTACGCTTCGCTTGCGCCTGGCGCCCGGTCTCCGCCCCGCTCCCTTCTCCCTTTTCCTCGGCCTCGCCCACCTTTCCTTGTTTTTCTCGCGCCCGGCGTCTGGTCTCCGCCCCGCTCCCTTCTCCCTTTTCCTCGGCCTCGCCCACCTTTCCTTGTTTTTCTCGCGCCCGGCGCGCGGCGCGGCGTCTGGTCTCCGCCTCGTTCCCCACTCCTCATTCCTTGGCCTCGCCTTCTTTGCATTGTTTCTCTTCCCTCGATCGTCATCCTGGCCGCGCGCAAGCACGGCGAGACAGGGAAACGCACTGTTCAGCCCTTCAACTCAGGATTTTTGGTTTTGTAATTTTTTTGTAATAAACTGATAGTAAATTTTACGTCCTTTTTAAAAAGTCCTGTGACATTTTCCTCAAAAGTCGGCGGTTTAAAAGAAAAATGAGAAAAAAGGTAGTTAAGAAGTTTTGCCTCGGCCGTTTTCATATTCCATATTTTCGGCCTCAGATATTACTTTTTCGAAAATTTTGCGAAATGATCTGATAGAAAACATTTTTCTCTGAAATTGCCAGTTTTAAGGGGAAATGAGAAAAAAGGATCACTGATCGTAAGAATTTTTGCCGCGGCCTTTTTAAAAACCCATTTTTCGATCACAGGATTTTTTTTTTTTTTTTTTTTTTTTTTTTTTTTACGAATTTTTTTATACTGATATTAGGAAATGTTGGGCTCTTTCGGATGAATCTGGTTCATTCTCGTTTAAGTCGAACAATTTTGGAGTTACAAGTACAAGCAATAAATTAACGCGAAACATGCGTTCCCCATAAAGGCAGCGGCAGCGTAGTGGAGCCCCGCTAGAATCGCGAAGCGCTCGGACTCGGAACGTACCGCTCTCCCCGCCCGCCTCGATTCCGCCGCTGAGCAGTGGCTCGGCTCTCCACTCATCAGCCCATCGCAAGCGATTCTCCAGAGATCAAGGATCAAGAGGCAACACGCTCCGCAATCATCCACTCTGCCGCTTTTCTCCTTTTGTGACTTTATGTATATCTGTCTCTCTCTCTCTCTTCCTTATTTTCATGCATTTTGCTTCCTTCCGCCTTTTTCAATAATATTTACCAAAATTTAAAACATGATGTAGGTAATATATACGATTTTCTTCTTTCTTCTGAAATCTTTGGGCAAGCTGCCCTCTGCTTATCCGGACTGCACGCCACTGTTCTGATACTAAAAGTTTGAAAATAACCTCCAATCATGTGTCATCATTGTTTGTGTCATCATATATTAACATAAGTTTGGCCATAAATGAATTTTTCTATCAGAATACCATTAGTTTGCACAGTTTCAACACGAAATGTAGGGCGACAATCTATCGGTGAGTACCTTTTCTTTTTACCCCTGAGATCATGTGTTTGTGTCAACAAATCAACAAAAGTAAGGACAAAAATGAATTCTACGATCAACATTCCCCTAGGATTACGAGTTTCAACACGAAATGCCCACAAGAACGAGCAAACTTTATCTTTGAGCAGCTAAGTATATATGTTTCTACGGAAAGTTTGAAAGAACGCGTAAAATGGTGTATTTGCGTTATTAAATTAAGAAAAGTAAGGTCAAAAATGAATTCTACGGTTAAAATAACGTTAGGTAGCTCCTTCTGTTTAGCACGAAATCCCCCGAAACGAGTGGAATAGCCGAGACAAATAGGTATTGGTAAAGTATAAGGCAATGACCAGGGCCGGATATTACGCTTCGGCTCGAGCGGGTCCAAGAACGGAGAGGCGGATTTCTGGACACATTTTGTGAATGATCGATTATCGCTACGTCCCCGTTAGAAGCTATGGTAATGAATCGACTGTTCGATATTCGAGCAATCGAGTATTTAGATTTTCGATATTCATCCACCTGTAGCGCGGAATTCAATATGGCGGCTATGTATAATTTTCATTTTAATTGTTAAAAGTGCTTTTCGGGATGTGAGCTCTCGAGTAATGTCACTATTTCAAATTATAAATTAAATGATGGAAGCTTCCTTGTTGCTTGTTTGATAATGTGAGGAGCCGCTGAGTCTTCATGAGTTTTTGTTCCTGTGCATCGATTGATAAAATGTTTAATAGGTAAGGGACGCAACAAATATAGCTGATCAGAAAACTTAATCGTAAAGTCGTGTAAGTACTTTCGTTTTCATTTTTGATCGTTTCCTCTGAAATTTTAAGTTTGAATGCTGCCATGACCAGGGATTGATATATAAAGGTAGACAAAACAAATCATTCAAAGTCGCAATGACCGAGTTTCATTCTGAGCCCTGGTTCACCATTTTTGTGTATTATACTAGCTATTAATACAATGGCCATTGCTAATGAATGAGATATTTGTTATTTAATGAATTCACGGTCTACATGCTACTTCAATGCACACTGGGTCTGGCTCTCAAACTGCTCATGTTTTGGAGGGAAAATTTTCCATGTTTCGTACAGCCTTCTTTTGTTTCTCAGCCAATTTTTTCAGCAATTTTTTTTTATTTGTGTCAACAAAAGTAAGGTCAAAAATGAATTCTACGATCAAAATAACCTAGGAATACTTTGGTTTAGCACGAAATCCCCAGAAACGAGTGGAATAGCCGAGACAAGTTGGGTGGTAAATAAGGCGATGACCGGGGCCGGGTTAGCCGGGTAGCGCCATGGACCAAGAGAATAAATAAGGACCCCCAACTCCGGTTAGCGCTGACATCAGCGCTCCCTGGCAGAGGGTGTAGTGAACTAAACCGATGATTGGGTCTTCCTGTTTATATTTCCATGCACCACCTATTTAGGCTTATCACTCAGTAGTGCTCATAGAAGTTTCTAGATCCTCGTATCCTCGTGGTCGCCCTGCAGTTTTGAAGAGTTTAGTGTGAAAAGTTTCCCATTTTCTTTTCAATCTTCGTCAGTCTTCGTGTACATAAACTGGTATTAATGTGAAGTGTTATTTCTAACCGTTTTACTCAGCAGCAACTGCTGTTGAGAAAGCCAAAGGAAGTGTATATATGTAGTGTGCAGCAGGAATCAGGATTGTACTTTTAGCCGAAGGCGCCTCTCTGTTAAGTGAAATCTTTTTAGTGAGAAATAGTGTTGTACTGATAAAAATCAACTGAGTGTCACAAAATCAAAGATACTTGACTTCAAGCATTACCTTTAATTTGATTATTAGCAAGTCTCTTTGATTCTGCGTCAGAAGTTGACTGAATCATCTTTGCTCGTGTTTTGATAAGATACTTCAAATCAAAGTCTTTCGCATTGACCTCTGCCGAAGGTATGTATCTATACAATTTCATTAGTTTGCGAAAGTAAAATGTATTAAAGTATCTACACAAATAAATAAATCATAGATAAACAAAGAACATTGCATGGAATAACATACTATAGAGGTACGATCGTGGACCGCTGCGGCGTTAGTTCACCGCACCCTCTGCCAGGTTCGCTGCGAGCGCGCGTTAACGGTTTTTAACACAGGGTAGTATAGGGAGTTGGGAGTCCTTATTTATTCTATTGGTCCATGGTAGCGCTTCGGCTCGAGCGGGTCCGAGAACGGAGAGGCGGATTTCTGGACACATTTTGTGAATGATCGATTATTGCTACGTCCCCGTTAGAAGCTATGGTAAAGAATCGATAGTGCGATATTCGAGCAATCGAGTATTTCGATATTCGATATCGTCCACCTGTAGCGCGCTCTAGTAGCGCGGAATTCGACTGCGACGCCATATTGAAAACTTATTTTCTTTCTGTTCTGAGAGCGGGTCTCGTCAATTTCGTGTTATTTTCTCGTGTTCCTAGTTATGTTATTCGTTATTATGAGTTTTATCCGTTTTATCAATTTTTTAAATCCATCTGACAGCCTATTGAGGCTACCAGATCTGCCAGAACATCATTTTGAACTGCGCGGCAAAGACGGTACGACTTGCGACGTCACTCGATTCTCAGCGCTGCCGCTTCGACACAATTTATTATCATTATCGCAACCGTAAAGTTTCGAATATTCGAATAATCGCATGCATTCAAAACTTTCAACTTTATATACGTCCCTAGTGTAGTGGTGTCCCCGAAGCTTTGAGTTTTTTGCCTTTCATGTCAATTGCAAGGCATTGGAATGATAGTTTTCAAAAGAATCAACGTTCATCCAGGATCTCTCGTCCGAAGATCTGCTATCTCCGGTTTTGAGGAAGGAAGTTCATGTCTCAAATGTTTCATGAACAGTTGTCGATGGAAATCAACTAATCAGCGTCAACTTAAGTAAGGAGGATTTTTTATTCAAGATACCACATTTAAGCAGTTAGAGCTCTTTCAAAATTTTTTAAACCGAAAAATGGTCGAAAACTACACTTGCTTGCATGAAACCTAAAACTTGGGACACGTTTTGATATCACCTTTAGTATCATCCTCAGCCGCGACTGAGAATGAATCTAGATCCGGTAAATCTGAATAAGGACCAAGGAGAATCAGTCACAGTTAAGGACGACACCAAAGGTGCTGAAATGCGCTCCAAGTTTTATGGTTAGTGCAAGTGAGGTGAATTTTCGTTCATGTTTTGGTTTTTCAAATTTTAATCGTTGACTTGTGTGGCACCATCTGTGTGTCTTAAGAGCTCTTCTAATATTGATGGAAGCATTGAATGCACAGGCAACAAGTTTGGTGCCAGTTCCCTTGGTTCGGTTTCTTCTGTCGCAGGCTGGATTGCTACAACATTGTATATCGACGGTGAAAGTACCAGACCTTGTATCTCGGTTTGTGACGCCACAGACTTCCTATCATACTTCATTTTTTAAATGGAAAACTACTCAACATCATTTCTTGAAAACTTACGTTATTTTTCTTCTCTGTGTGAAGAAAAATCTGCAAAATCTTCAAATAATGATATTGGTTCGTTCTCTTTCACATATATAAAACAGGAGCGGAGATTTTCAAACACCGCAAACAAGATACGTGGTACGGTAGTTTCAACATCGATATGCTAATACTTATGACTATCTCTAAGTTAAATACCCTAACTAATGATCTCAGTACTTAAAAAGTATCTGGAGTCTTCAGTTGGCCCATTGTTTCTTTACTGAGGCACTGGTGAGGAATTTTCGCAGGGTTGTAGAGTCTACCTCAAATAAGTTTACGTACATTTAGACCTCAACGGAAAATCTGCCATCTTGATTCTTGTATTTACTTTCAATGCTGAACTGAGGTCAGATAATCTTCTGTCGCAGTCTAAACGTACGTATACCTATTTTGCGTTGATTTTAGTGTAGTTCTTTGTACACGAAAGTTTGTGGAAGGACCTAAAAGATTAGTAAAAATGTTAAAAAATTGTTTTGATTGGGAGTAAAAGCCAGGAGTAGAGTTGAGGTAGCTAATCGATACCTATAGACGAAGAAGAGTCAGGGAAAGTCAAGGAGTGGGAAAATCTGAGGGTCAGAGGGAACTGGGAAAAGCAGGGAAGAAAGAAAGTAATTAAATTTTACTAATCACCCTGATATTGTTTCGGTGGCAAGCAGACAGTCAGAAGTTGCAAGCTAGCGGATTGTCATGTAAGGGCTTTTTTTGGTATCAGAGCCACAGAGGATTGCAGTGGAAGACAATGAGACGCCTCTCTTTTTTATCCCACCCCACTGGTGCTGTCCAGCCCGTTCCTTATGTTCCAGTGGAACGTTAGGCTCCCCCTCACAAGGTGGATTGCAAGAGGCTACAAGCGATCCTAACCTCAGTTGAACCACCCCAAAACGTAAAGAACCGGATCCATCGTTCCATGCGCTTCCTGTATTTAAAAGAAGCTCTCAAGGCAGCGTAAATGAAACCTGACGTGACTAAAAGAGGCAAAATACAGCAACAAATTATTCTTTTTTACCTAGCAGTTTGATTGTTTTTCACAGGTAGTAGGAAGGATGGACTAAACAGGGGCCAATCCAAGATCCATCGTTTGTAGATCTCGTACTGCAGTGCTAAATCCCGATTTCACCCCCACATGTTTGAACAAACTGTCTATTTTTCAGATCAAAATGGCAAAGTGTGGTCGGCCTGGAAGTTCATGCTCAAATCAATTCAAAGTCAAAATTATTCTCTGATGCTGAAATTGACTTTATGGCTCGACCCAACACAAGAGTCTCACTGTTCGACGCTGCCATCCCTGGAACTTTACCTGTAAGTTCATTTTAATCATATTATTGTCGATTGCATAGGTAGGGGTCTTGCCCCATATCTGTTGGTGTCCTCTAATAACTGGCCTTTTGAGAATTTATCACATGCAAGGGTGCCCCAGGTAAGTTCTAGAGCGCAGACTCTTCCTTGCGATTCAGCGTTTTAGACTCATGGAAAAATGTTCAATGTCAAGGCAAAATGCTTGATTTCCTCAAGTTAAGAAAGAACAAAAAAAGAAACAAAATGTCCTCAAGCTTAGGATGTACTTACTTCGTATTTGTTGCTATTCTAAGATTGCTAGACCTGGCATTTTTTGCACCTTTGATCAGTCAGTTAGGCAGACCGTAAAGGCCATGAAGACATTAATAAAGACCATGTAGATGTTGAATGTGAGGTGACAAAATTTTTAACCCCTGAACTCCCCTGGAAAATTTGCATTGCTGCTGAATATGTTTAAGACAACAGTTCATACTAAAAAAATGTCCAATTTATCAGAAAATGTGATCCTTACATAGCTTACGGATGTATCCAAATAGTCATCAGTTTTCTACCTCATGCATTACTAGTTAATAGAAGGGTAGATGTATTTGTATAAGCAGTATTGTAAGATGTTTTTATTTTTTATAGGTACTGAACAAAAGATGTGTGGAAGCAGGCGTTCGAGCTGCTTTAGCTCTCTCCTCCACCATCAATCCTGTGTCTCTTTTTGACAGGAAACACTATTTCTATTCTGATTTACCGGTATGTCTTTGTTTCATCAGGTAATTATGATAACTGAAATGAATCAAAAGCTCAGGGTGTCAACAAGTCTGGATATAGTATTGATTTTTTAAGAGCGGGCCGGAAGTACTGAAAAAGTGCAGAAATTCCGCAAGGAGGTCCGGAATTTTTCATTTTTGTCGCAATTTGAGAGAGAAATTCAAAATGTTGAAATTTCTCGAATTTCGTCAAATGGAGGCACTGAAAAAGTACTGAATTTTTCCGTTGAGGAGGTACTGAATTTCTCGGGAATGTACCGAAAAAGTACTGTAAAAGTACTGATTTTTGGCCAGCCTGGTTTAGTAGACACCCTGAAGCTGCAATCTCCATTCTAATGTTTAAAAATTTGGCAGATGTTTTAATTTTTGAAAAGGAGTAATCACTAAGACTTTGTGCTTAAAATACCGCCATATTTTTCTTGCTAACATGTAGATAATTCTTGAGGAAGTAGGCAAATAGAAACTCACCTGCTCTCTTTATGATAAATTAGTAAAACGATTGCAAAATTTTTAGACAGTGCAATAGAGATTACAGGTTTTTACCGCAGGTGTCCCAATTTTAAAATGAATGAAAATTAATCTTTGAACAATACTTAATACACGAAAATAGCCTGAATAATTTAACTGAAAAAAAAACAAGAAAACTTTTAACCAAGGCTGACCAAAGCTCATTTTTCTTTTTTGCCTTGGTTACCCGTTTTCTTGTGTTTTTTCAGTTTATCTTTGAATCGTGGGAATTTAAGAAAAAAAACTCAGAATTCATGTGGTGAAATATGTCTATAAAGGTTAAGATTCTAGTTCAAATAAAAAGAATCCAGCATAGCCAAAGGAGCTTTGTTTTTAAGAAAATTTCAGTAGTCATTCAAATAGCCTGTTTTAAAAGCATCATCTTTTTTCAATTTTATTTTATAACATCTATTTTGGATATCTTTTTGAGACAATTACCTCCTGCTGATTCGATTTTTTACAATCAGTCATGATGAAACTTAAAACAGTTACCCTAATCCCAAATGATATAACGAATTTATCAACAAATTCTAGATTTTTCTCCGTTAAGTGAATTTACCAAACTTGCCGAAAACAGCTTGTTGCCATGGGTATTTACAAAAACTTTATAATTTACTACTGAAATGAACAGGATTTTTTCCACACCTCTAAAAGTAGATGTAAGTATTGTCAAATTAATATTTTCTTGGTTTGCAGGCTGGTTACCAAATCACACAGCAGAGGTTACCTTTAGCACAAGGTGGCCATTTAGAATTTGAAGTGTTCACTCAAGGCATTCATGATAAACCTTACATGAAGTCATGTCAGCTAACTCAACTTCAGTTGGAGCAAGATAGTGGTAGATCTCTTCACGAAGAGGAAAAATCCAGGTCAGTCATCGAAATTGAACATCTTTCCTGAGTTCAAATTTTAGAGTCAATTGTCTCTCCATGTATGTGAATAATTACGGTACTAGGTATAGAGAAAAACATCTGCAAAAGTTACCTTTCTTCTCTTACTGTCTCAATGGATTTTTAGGAGAGTCCATACCAAGTAAGTTCATGCACTTTCTGAGTGCAACAGAGGACTAGCCGTATTGATTCTCGGATTTATTTTCAACCCTGAGCGGAAGACAGTTAATCTTCTGCTGAACTGTGGCAGTATGTATACTTATTGGACACAGACTTTATGCGCCTGCACACTCATGTAGAGAAATTAACTATGCATTCAAATTAAGAGAATGTACCTCAAGAAAATTGAAAGACAATTGGTTGGTTGCATGTTCAACTTGAGCTGAATTGAGGTTTTGCAATAGAACTAATCTGGAAAATGTGATCTCTTAGACTTTCATTTCCAAAAAATTTTATTTCCTGTATAACTGCAACCATAGCAGCTTCAACTATTTACTAATGCTGCTGAAAAATCTACTCAAGCATTATCCTGTTAACCAAATAAAATTCCTATTCTCTGTGTTTTCTACCCTGTTAAACTCAGTCCTATCCTCAGCTGGAGGATTATATTTTTCAACATCAATCAATCGTATTTTTCACATCATACTGATACTGATATTATTCTGTTTGAAGGGCAGATGTGCATCGCCATGTTAGTGTAATTTTGCAGTTTTTAACGAAGACTTAGGAAGTTTAATGCACCTCTTCCCTTTTAAAATGTCTAAATAAAATTGAAGAATTTTTCCGCAAATTGAAGGGCAGATTGTGCAATTAAAATTGTTAGAAACGATATTGACTCTTTGTATCCATCATATTTTCTTTACTGATCAATAGAGATAGGGAAATTTGCTGTTATTCTTTCCCAATTTCACTGTTATTTTTGCTGATTTCGCCGTTATTTTTGTAGTGCTTTTTGCGTTTGACGGCTTAAAATATAGCTTTTAATTTGATTTAACGAGCCATCACTCAGTCTCTCGTCTTTTGATGCCACTGGCGTACGTTGATAGCCAGTAGACAATGACGACCAATGCTCAAGAACAACTCTGTAATTTCTTTATTTTGAAAAAAATCTCGGCAAATGTCGTCTTACTCGCGTATATCTGTAAATTTCATGAAGATGTACGGATTTTGTCTATTTTGTGGATAAATATGAATGATTTCGAGAATTCCTCGCGATTTTGCGTTAAATCCGGAAAATGGCCGAATTCGCGTTATTTCGCTTTATGTTTTCGTAATCAGGGGATTATGATTGGTGCTTCTGTCTGGTTTTCAGATTCCTAAGCACATTTTAAAAATTTTGCGGCGGCGAAATTTTCCAATCTCTACTCATCAAGAATAGGACGACACTCTTGAACAGAATATCTCTGTCATTATTGAAGATTTAATCAAAACTCTGTTGTAATCGGTTTTCCAAATTTTTTTTCATTCTTTATCCTTTAATTTCAGGACGTTAATTGATTTGAATCGAGCGGGAATCCCTCTTATAGAACTTGTTTTTGCGCCTGATCTCAATGATGGAGAGGAGGCTGTAGCCATGGTGAGAGAGTTGTGTCGGATTTTAGAAGTCCTTGACGTCTGCTCAGGCAAAATGGAAGGTAATGTTCCTTTGAGTTGGGTGACTGAAACTTTGATTTTTTTTAAAATTATCAGTACTTAGACTTTGGTGCTCAAGGAAGATTGGGTAGCACTTACATCCAAACCTTTTCTAGAATTAAACTTGTTGACTGAAGTGAGATAATATCCAAGTCAGGAAGTCAAATGTGAGGTGAAAACAACTTTTCAAGGTCACCCAATCAATTTACCCATCTCTTACTCGTTGTAACTTTGATTTGTTTTGGTTTTACTGATCAGGTGACATTTTAATTACCTTTTTCAGTCCTTTTTGCCCAGTGAGATTTTTTTTTAATTGGTCATCACAAATGAAAACATGATGGCTAGTTCTGCCATCTTAAGGTGATTTATGAAAAACGTAAACTAGAACACGAAACCCAAGGCTTTAGCGCAAGTCTTGCTCTCTCGTTCTCGCTTTTGTACATCATCTAATGATGGATAAATTGGACAAAATGGTCATTTTATTTTAGTTTGTGACAACCGATAAAAGAAATCATCGGGTGAAAGAAAAAAAGGAAAAGATACTCATTGTAACTCATTAACAATAAACAGACTGATAACTTAAAGTTTGTGTTTGTCTATTGGACCAGATAAGATTATGAAAGACTGGATCCATGCGATTGTTCAGTTGTATGATGAATCAGTTGTCCTGTCTATATGAGGCATTGTAGTGGACTGGTTTGTTGCCTAGCAAGGAGGCCCTAGTAGCAGCGGCTGTTGAGAGAAGTTGTAAAAAACTCGTTAATTTTAAGAGAACTTAAAATTTACCTCAAAACTACTTGAAAATTTGGTAAAAAAAAAACTCTTCAAATGTTTGTATCAGGAAACCCTTTTTGGGGCTTTTTTTTACATTAAATTGAAGACAAATTTTAAGTAAAATTTACCAATTTTTTTATAAACTTCCTGCGGGCAAAAACGAGGAAAAAAGTGGTGAACAGCAAAGTGTGAACAAAAAAGTTGCAGCCCATAAAAATTAAGGATATAGTTTGTTGATTTTTACGTAAATTTTAATTAAAAAAATAGTATTATTTTAATTAAAAGAATCCTTCAAAAGGGCTCTCTATCTTTTTATTTTAAAGAATCCCCCAAATGGATCTCCTAAAACAAGTATTTGAAGGGTTTTTTTACTTAAAATTTACGAACTCTCAAAATTTTACAAGTTTTTTACATTTTTTTGGACAACTTTTTGTAAAATATTTAAAATATTCTACAAAATTGAAAAAATTATATTTTTAAAGAGCCACTGCTACTAGGGGGTGTGTTTAGCTCGTCCATTATCCAACCAGGAAAAGGTAGAGCAGAGATGGACTTATTATTTTAAGGAAAATTGTATACCTCATATTCGAAGTAATTTCCAAACCAATCTAATCATTATCATTGCTTTTATTTTCAGAGGGAGCTCTGAGAGTAGATGCCAACGTCTCTGTTCGCCAGATAGGTTCATCAGAGCTGGGAGTCCGGAGCGAAGTGAAAAACATTGGTGGTATAAGAAGTGTAGGCAATGCTATCCATTTTGAAGTCAAGCGACATATAAGTATCCTTGAAAGTGGTGGTACAATCGTCAATGAAACTCGATTTTGGGACCCACAATCCAACAAAACTTACCCGATGCGAGACAAAGAAGTTGATCAGGTTAGTGAAGGCAATGCAATTTTTGAACATCTACAATTACTCCTCGGTTATTTTGAAGCACGTAATTTCATGAATTCAAAACTGTGTAAAGTTTCAAACTGATCACAGCATTTACTCTCCATTATTCTTAATTAATCAATCTCTAATCTCTTATCTTAATCTCTTAATTGTTGAGCTGGAGAGGCAAACATTGCAATAAAAATAATTTAGTTGGATTTCGATTTTGAATTACAGCTGTGGTGCATTGGCTAGTCTAATCGTTTGTCTATCAACCAGTGAAATAGGTTGTCGATAAACTAGTTGAGTTGTCTCTTGATAGTGAGATAAAATGGAGAATTTGCATGCAATAGGGATTCCTATGATGTTATTTTATTTTCTGGCTGGAAATTTTGCGAGAAAAACTATGCAGGCATCAAGAAAAGCCTTCTGAGTCTCCTAAGTGCGGAAAAAGCTTGTGAAAGTTTCTGGGTCTGATGATGTCAACCTCAATAATCGCAAGAAATTCCTGGAAGGTCAATTATCCCCTACTTTCATAGAGTGAATTAAAGAAAAATGGGTGCAAATTCTTCATTGAGTGGTTAATTGTGAGACAATTTGACCAGTCTATTATATTCCCTCTGATCGATCGACAGTCGATTTGACTGACCCATTGGCTTTGAATCCACTTGCCTATCAACAGTCGAATCAACTGGCTCATCGACGGTTGATTCAACTGGCCTATCAACAGATGATGAAACTGGTCGATTGACAGTCAATGTCACTGATCCATGGATAGACAATTGGGCTGAATTATCGACAGAGGATTTGACCACTTTGACTGATTTTCTAAGAGGGATCTGTGAAATGAAAGCCATGATATTGATCTAATGCTGGTTTGTGCCTTTGTTTTGGCAGGATTATCGTTTTATGCCAGAGCCCAATTTACCCCCTCTAAGAGTTGACTTAAGTGGCAATCTCTCAGACCCAGACATAGTGAATGTACCAAATATAGAAGCACAACTACCAGAGCTACCGCGAGAAACAAGACTGCGGCTGAAAGAGCACTTCAAACTTCCGGGGCCAGTTGTGACAGCTCTAATGGTAAGTCTCTTCTCTCTGTGTAAATGTTGAGTAAAGCAAATTAATGGCAGAATTTTTGTTCTTCTTTAAAGATTTTTTCCTGGATTTGTTTCTTTTGCTATTTTTAATAGTTGAGGCCAAAAACTTCCCGGAAAAAATCACAGACAGTGATTTTCAGTCACTGTTTGTGGTTCACTCTCAATTCATTGATGTAAGTGATTTATCATTTCAAGAAGAGCTGAATTTTTCTATGAAATGCATCATGCTTTTTATTTTCTCTTTTTTCAGAGTGATTCAAAACTTCTGCGATACTTTTTAGACATTACTTCCGAAGATTCGAATCGTAATCCAAAAACAGTAGCAAATGTCGGGACAATTGAATTAAACTATGTTTTAAACAAAGCAAATATCAAAACAGAATACTGGTGAGTAATTCATTCCCTCTCCATTTGGAATATTTGAATTTTTTATTTTAGAAAAATTATCTGGCTAATTAGATTCATCCATCATCATCTAGGTATATGTACTCAAGGGAGCAGCACCCTGACTTAATGAATTTTTGTGCTATATCTTTTTATAAAGAGAATAATAAATAAATGAGTAAATAAAAACATCAAATAAATAAAATGTACACACTTTCAAGTAATCCTGTGTTCCTAAATTTTCATTCAGCTCAAGTATCACACGCTTAGCTTCGGTTCATTCCAAAAATGCGGGAAACATACATGCACATGAGGACCTTTCCCACGAAACAATTTATACCCATTTCAACTTTGCTAAGATTGTGCATACATTCAACTGTTTAGTTGGTAGAGAGCTTTAAGCATTTTTTTGAAATTTGCCTCAAATTTTCTTTCTATTTTTCTGAATATTTTGGCAGAGAAATGTATTGTGTGGTTGATTTCGGATACTTGTAAAAAGAAGGGAAAGTTTCACAATCTTAGCGATGTTGACATGGGTATAAGCTGTTTGGTTGGAAAATCCCTCATATGTAGTCTAATTCAAATTGTTTCCCTGATTCAAGTTAAAATCAACATCTTCCCTATGAATCTCATGTATGGATTACTGATCCCTTATTCAAAGAGATTTTTTCCCTTCCTCTGTTTTTAATGTCTTATCTTGTCTTCTGTTACAGTAATTTAGAATCAACCACTTTAGGAGAAATTGTTGATCTACTTCAAAGTGGCACAATCAATCTCCCTACAGTGAAGAAATTACTTTTTGAATTGATAGTTAATAATTCCTCCAAGACTCCAACGCAGGTAAGCAACTCGAATTTCTGATGGGGGCCGTATAAGGTTTATAGAGAAGCTGTAAAAAACTGTAGGTCAAGCATAGCATATCATTCATACATTTTAGGGTGCGTTTTTGTTCAGAAATTACAACATAGGAATCACATCTTGTTCTCAAAATTTTAAAATCTTGAACTTAGCTCTCTTTTCCTTTATAAGGGAGATGCAATTTCAATGAAAGTAAAATCTAGGTAAAGTGGAAACTGTGGTCCATAAATGAAAAATGACCAAGAACCATATTACCATACTAAGGAAAAACACTGCATGAACATTTGAGAGCTGCCAAATTTTCTCTGATAAAAAGTTTGTTTTTGAAGAGAGTTATGAATATTCTCTCTTTAAAGTTTCAAATGATTTAGATCTGTTTGCGAATGGAATTCTCTGAGAGTTCATATTTGATCAAAGGAAAGTTAGCAACATCTGAAGGCTCATGTGGTGTTGTTCCTCAGCATAGCAGCATAGAAGATCAAAATCTCAGTGAATTCAAAGGAGTACAGTCAATTTTAATTTTCAATAGCTCATATTAGGTACAATGAAGTTACCAAAAACAACACTGCTGAATCAATTATGAAGAAAAACGAAGACAAAATGACAATGAGATTAAGCTGTTCAGAGGAAGTGAAAAAAAGTTAGAGCATATTTAGAATCAGAAGTAGGCCTTCCTGACAACACAACAATTATCTCATATAACATTACAAGAGATGGTAAAGAGTCCATTTTAAAAGTCATTACAGACGCTAAAGATAAGGTTACGAACACGATGGGGAAACTTAAAGAAAATGGTCTCAAACTTGAGATGATGACTAGGTCAGAAGTCATTAAATTTAGTCCAGTACCCGCTAATGTGAACGAAACACAAGTCCTAAGTGAAATTAGTCAAGTTATTGGAGATAGTACAACAACTAAAAATGATGTGGAACAAAAAATCAAAATTTTTATAATAACATCATCGAGAACTTCACCAGGAAAAATAGTAATTTATATGAGAGTTCCATCCCCAGTTCTAGAAACGATGGTAGAACAAAGAGAATTTTACCTTAGCAGCACAGAAATAGAGCTTTAGCAGAACCAATCGTATTAATTTTCCTTGTCTCAACTATCTTGATTTATAACATACAACAAAACTTAGTCCAAACTACGGAAAGACTCCCCTTTGCGTAAAATGCGGTCAGGGAAAATGTAAAATTAATGAGTTCAAAAATGAAGAAGCTTTCCCTGCCTGTGTACCTGTTTTCCCACAAAATGGAGACAAATAGGTCTGTGATAAGTTATCAGCTCAATAAATTCAAAAGAGAACATAAAATATTTTAATTTTTACCAACTACTTTCTTTTTTTTAAATCAAATGTCAGCTTGTGGAGGACAACCAGTGGCAACAAATAACTGAACCTGAAAAAATAGCTGAAATATGCCGGAAAGAAATAGCAGGCAGCGAAGATCTAGTCGCTTCCTATAAAGTCCCAAAAAAGAAAGATGCCAGCTTTAATAAGATGATGAAAAATATTGCCGAATCTTCTGGAGGGAGAGTGAATATGAAGCTTGCTGTCACCATCATGAGAGAGCTTCTAGACGGCAACAAGTAATGTAAGTAATCTTAGCTCTCATTTTACTTTTCAAAATAATGTTATTAGCAGTGGTTTAGTGGTTAAGGCAGTTCCCGGTCATCACTGAGGTCACGTATTCAATCCCCAGAAGTGACTGTGAATGACTATGCTACTTAGAGTGCCTATATAGCAAGAGTTTGGACAGATCGCTTCATGGAGGGCATAAGGCCCAAAAGTGCAGCCATTGTTCCAACCAACCTCCAACACACTGCTAGTCTGCGGTGTCTGCAGATTTCAATTCTAACCCAGATGGCCAAGAATGTACATAAATGAGCGTTCTTCCGCAAAAATGAGTAAATTTATGCAAAAACTAAGTCAAATACGTGCTTTATAAACAGCAGTTCCTAATAATTGTAGCAGTAAATAGTTCTGGATAATTGAAATTCATAGGTTGGCTGCAATTCTGGGCCCTAAGTTTGTTCTTGGAGGCATCAGTGAAGGCCTGATGGATTTTCGGAGTTTCACATCTGTCTTTTCTCTCACTACAAAGGTACTCTTGACTATGCCTCTCCAACACCCAGTAAAAACTTGCAAATCAGCCATCATCTTCGCCCATCACTACAGAGCGCCTCTGCACATCAAAGGAAATTGATGAGAAGGGTTTTGAGAGTAAAATATGCCTATCGTCTTCAGTGTTAGAGCTCCAAAATATTTTGATTAAAAATATTCCAAAAAATGGAAAAGAAAAATTGCAAATCTCAGATTGCTACGATGTAAGTCTCCACTCATATTTCATTTTTCAAAAAAAGAAGTAATCATCAGTTTCCATTGAAATTATCTATGAATTTTCTTTATTTATTCCAAACAAATCACACAAAATTGCAATGAATTGGGATCAGTCCTCCTTGAAGGATAGAAAATGTAATCGCACATTTTTACAAATAGCATTAAAATACACTTTTTTCACATTTAGCCATCAATTTGAAGTTGCAAACAGTATTTTTTGCTTTCGTTTATTGAATCAGACCTGAACGACTTTCTTCTAAGTTTGTCAGCATTAAAACACTTGGAAAGACAATCCTCGATCTCTGGGAACAGCGCATCCAACAACTACACTGTCTCACTTCCTTGAATGCAAATAAGTGTCGTTCAGAGTTTACATCTCTCTAGACTATTTACTGATAACAAGGAACTCATGAAATCGTCCCTAATCCAGATAAGCTTTATCTAACACTCACTCAGATTATTGAGGACATTGGTGCCAAATTGCACCTTATCATGAAAGTTTTTTCATCGTTCATTACTGATTATTTCAATGCTCCCGCACAATCTGGTAATCTTTAGTAGCTGATGATGCTTTGCTTTTCAACTACTAAAAATCTCTGTCCGTGATCTGTCAGTTTGATTTCTGGGCGCACCAGTGTGTTTTCTTTTCCCACCGAAATGGACTGGGGATTTGTGTGCTAAGTTAATAATCAGGCATGCAGTAACTTAGTGATTGGGGAGAAATTGTAAACATTGTATATTGTTCATTTCTTTTTGCGTGAAACTAAAAACTGATCTTTTGAGCCTTTTTGTATGATAGTGGTTTTTTGAAGGTTATGCAGTTTATCATCATTATTACTGTGTTGTTAACATAAAAGACTTGCTTTCCGGTAATTTCAAACCGGTTTCGAATGAAAGTGAAAAGTCTTTTGTTCGTATTTCCTCTAAAGCGGTGCTAATTTTTCAAAACGTTATTTTAAGTTTGGAATAGTGGTTGCTGCTCTTTGTTTCCTGGAGATAATGTGTTTACTCTAAGAATTATTTTCTCGTCTCGGAAAACTCTTTAGTAAGTTTATTTTGATCTGTATTCAGTTGATATCTTCAAGCTGATGCTTGACTCATTACAAGCTCACAAAAGTTGATTTACTTGGGGATTCTCTGCTTCTTAGAACAAGTGTATGAACTTTGGACATTTCTGAAATTGACGAGGGTATTGGTAACACGAAGGTCCCTCTATTTTTCTGAAAAATCTTCCCCCAATGCGAATGAGCCGATGGGCAAGGGGGTCGCCATTTAAAGATATTTTGATTCGAGCTTAACTGCAGGCTCCGTAGAATCAAACTGGGGGAATAGTCTTCCCCTGTCCAGTTTTAAAAGAGCACATGTTTGACATCTCAGAATTTCGCAGTTGAGCTGTTGCGATGGTGAGAGTCTCGGAAAACCTAAAAAATCAGAGGATTTTGCAATTTACCTACTGTCAGAGTAAGAAATTTCTGAAATTCTCCCCTCCGTAACTGTCAACAAAAGTGGCACCCCATAAAATCTTCAATAGACCATTTTTTTTTCAAGTTGGGGGTATTGAGAGTAATTATTTTCTTGTAGGGGGATTCCCGGATTCCTAGTTAAAAGTGCCCGAAAATCTCAGGAAATTCTTTTATGCGGGCGAAAATTTATGGTCATTACGGGGAGGGGGCAAGCCAAACCTTGAAGATTCCCTTCATCCGTCACAGCCATGCCTCTGAGAAACAGAGTACAAAATTGCACAATCTTAGTAACACAATGCAGAAGTTTGTACTGCACAAAATCTGTAAACCATTATGTGTTGATGGAAGCGATCAATTTATAAGCACATAAATTGTATTTCAAAAAAATTTTGTCATGCTACGGAAAACCGCCGTATGGAGCCTTCAAATGTTTCAATTTTTCTTCAGTCAAATTCAAATTCACTGGGAAGCTTATGAATATTTTTCTTCCAATTTTTCAGAGAACTTTGCTCCTAATTTGATTTAAATCACCTGAAAAACTCAGGAAAAATTCGACTTTATTTTGCATTTGGGAACTACTATTTCTTGATCATTTTTAAAACAACATATGTGGTGTGTGGTGTGGTTCCTTATGCATATAGGTGCTTTTACCAACGAGGTAGAAATAGTTGCTTCTAATTGCACAGTGCTGTCCAATCATTCATCATTTTTTAAACGGAAATATTTAGTGCAGGGGAATTTCAGGAACGTTCAAATGTTGGTACGGCGTCTTTCCTCAGTGCGGCTTCCTGCCAAAAAAGTGCCCCTTTTTTCCAATTCTGCACCAAACAAACCTAATAATTAGACAGCCCTCCAGTGAAAGTTTCAAGTTTAGTTCAAAGCTTGTTTTTGCAATACAGTGTTACGCAGTTTGCATTTTTTACTGTTAAAAATGCTAATATTTTGAAGGTCTTTAATTTGAAAAAAAAAAACCAGTTGAATCCATCTTTTTTCTATCTATTTCTGGGGCACAATTTCATTAGTTGGAGCAATGTTTCTCGGGAATTGAGACCGTTCTTGACCCTACGATTTTTCAATCAGTCGTGATGCAGCATTAAAAAGTTTAAACAAAGTGTCCCAAACAGGTCACCCATGTCAAGCTTTGCTGTCGCTGAGGCAAGTTTGCCATGTGTGCACAATTTGCCATTGTGTTTTGGCCCACTCATAGAAGAGGAACAAGGGGTCAAGGGCAAAACCTTTACGTATCATTTTGGAACGCATCATCAAATTGAGTCTAATTTTTGTTTTTTTTTTAAAGTGCAAGATTTTAAAAATACCTATCAGCATCAGCTATAGAAATCAAATTCCTTAAAATTCCTTTCAGTGCGAAGTGATAGCAATTTTTGATTTGCTAGGATGCAAACATATAAATCCTGCAATGTTATGGCACTGTGCAGTGACTCCAGCTGAGCAGAGACCAGTTTTCCCGTCCACCCACTGCTTTCCTCCGGGGGAACAGAAACGTGAACCAAAAATTCGCCATTTTTGAAAGTCTAACATGCGACTGCATCGCCATAAAAAAAAGATCACATTTGATAAAGGACCAAATCTAACAAGCGATACAACAACCCTCTTAAGATGAATATAATCAAAATCAAAATTCGCAATTCAGTCGAAAATTTCATGTCCGACTTCTTCTAATGGCTCGTCCTACTGAGCGACGAGCTTCGCCAGAGGAAGGATAGCACCATTTCAGGGCTCTCACTCAGTGAAAAGGACAGGGTGTCTACTAGTCCGGATTTTTTAATGCCTGTCCGGAAGTACTGAAAAAACGCCGTAACTCCGCAAGAAGGTCCGGAATTTTTTCCTTCATACCATGCAAGTTTTTTTTAATTAAGCCTGGAAAGTATGGAATTCCCTGCATGTTGATCGAGTAGTATTTGCCTACAAGAGTACCAAGATCTTACAACAAGAAGTACAAGATCTTGACTTTGCAGTCAGTTACCTAATAATGAAATTTTGTGTCCACGTCATTCGTCTTAATTCGAGCGAGAACGAGAATGTCAAATTTTCCAAATTTTTCGAATGAAGGTACTATATTAGTACTGAATTTTTTTGTTGAGGAGGTACTGAATTTCTCGGGATTGTACTGCAAAAGTGCTGATTTTTGACCAGCCTGTCGCAGTTGACACCCTTTGATATTCTGGCATGTGAAAATGGTGCGAAAGCATTGTTTCATGTACACTTGTCTTCGTTGTCATCGTTTTTATCGAATAATTTCATCTTTCCACTTATTCGTAACGGCGCGCCACTTGTTGCTGCGTGCACTGCTCCGAGGACAAGGGCGGCCGAAGCGCCTTCAATTTTTTCGTACGCAACACGCGTGCCATAGAGTACGAATAGTTGTATCGAAGTGTTATCATCAACAATTGAAGGCGTTTCTTATGTTGACCGAAACATCAGCATAAGATGGCCCGTCCCGTCTTATTCTACCTGAGTGCCGTCAAATCAAATAAAATTTTTATTTTAATTTTAATTAAAGTCCTTCCGTTGAAAAACAACTTTAATCATCTTTTTTTTTTATTTAATAGGGTGCAATTTCTTCAAGTGATGTTACTCGGGGATTAAAACTGTTGTTGAAAAATTCCCCAGCCCCCCCTTAAGGTCCATTCCCTAATCTGCCGTGCTAAGGAAGAACGCCGTATGAACATCAGAGAGTTGCCAAATTTCCTTCGATAAAATATTTATTTTTGAGGAAAGTTATGAATATTTTTCCTTGAAATTCTCAGAAACCTCAGATGAAATTGTAAACAAAACTGTCTATAAAATTGGAAGGAAAATATCCTTAAGTTTACTGGGAAATTCGTGTTTTATCAAAGGAAATTTGGTAACGCCTGAAGGCTCATACGGCGTTTTTCCTTAGCACGGCAGAATTCGTGTGCGTTTGTGAGCGACATTTGACAACCGTGTAGATAATCCGCAAGTAATGAATAACGGAGCCCTCGCGAACTCGGATGCCATTCATGGAGAAATGTGCCCAAATTTTGCCAGGAGAACGTCTTGCCAAGTTTCTCATACTAATATTTCCCGGAAAATTTCTGTTTGCTAGGTACGTATCTCAGAGTTGCACGGGTGAAATGAAAAGTATGAAGTATTGAAAATTTTCGTGAAAAATTTCACGAGATTTCCCAAAGTTGTAAAAAATGTGGAAAATGTGAAACATATTTTTAGCGGCTTGGAATGCAACTTGCACCAGAAAACACCAAAAAGCGAAAAGAATTCGCCTTCAATTTAATTTTGCATTTAATTTCGAAAAATATTTGTCAATATTTTTCATATATTTCTGAAATTTCATGAAATATTTCAAATAGGCCTGTCCCCGAACCGATCGATCGATCGATCGATTATTTCGATGATCGTTCGAAGACCTGTTTCGATCGAAACTGCTCGATCGAACTGCTCGATCGAACTGCTCGATCGAAATGTTCGATCGAAATGCTCGATCGAAGTGCTCGATCGGAATGCCCGATCGAAACATTTGTTTTGAAAGCCGTTTCGATCGAAATGTTATTTTTTAATGTTGAAAAAAGATTTTTACCATGTTTAGCAAATAATTGCAGAATTTTCATATTGTTGTCAAGAATTCCTCTTCCTCTAATTTTTTTCTTCGTTTCGAATTCGATTGAAATAACAGCATCAGCGTTAAGTACCGTAGCAGTTCTGTCCGCAAATTATATTATTACCATGTGTTCTGTATACATAAAATTACCGAAAAGCATTCCATTTGCTTAATCTTCTCCCCTCCCCCTCCCCCTCCCGCAACAAAACAAATTAATTTAACCACACAAACCATGAAAATACCAGGTCTCTATTCTCGTCTATTTACTTAAGTTACTTTATCAGATCAATTTTTATTCAAAATATATGCGCTTATCGCATTCACTTCATTTTTTACTAACCATTTATTTGTAAAGTATCAGAGGTCCGCTACGCTACCCTACCTCCCGATCTCAATGCTCCTTTAGCTCCTAGCCCAAATGCCCATTACCAATAACAATAATGATCCAATGGACCTTGGTAGTATGGCTCGGCGCTCGCCAGCGCTGTGCGTGCCGCGACAATGATAATGATACTAGCTGCATTTAGACAGTTTTGACCATTTCGTTCGAATTTTGCATCCGCTCAGTATATATATGTCGGCCCGTACTGCACGCACACACACACACACACACACACCCCCCCTCACACACACGCCCTCATCATCCTACATCGAATCGTCCTTATCTCGTCCCCGTTCGTTTTCCTCATATCACACAATTACACTCTTCTTCGGTTTTTCGTTTCGGTATTTGGTTTGACCCCTGGCGCCTGACCTGCTCCAGTGCTCCTCACACCTCGCATAGCTTTTGTTTCATGCACCTCTCCTTTCGGCGACGGCACCGCTGACTAGGTATCTCTGTTTCCCCTTACCGCCCATGACTGTGACTGTGACTCTTTCAAGATCTCGATCCTAGCTCCCGTTTGACTGAAGCTCTTATCGGTGCCGCTACTGCCCACTCTCTTCCCTTCCTCACCTTTGTCGTCCGCGTGATCCGCGTCTCCT